ACGGGAAACAACACAGTCGGAATTGGAGCCGATCCAACAGTCCAAGCATATCAAACTTGGATATCACCTAATAGGCATAAATTCGTTCGACTGTCATACGAAAACCAAATTTGAATCTGAGCATACTGCAACACTCGGGACAACATGGGGATCAAATCAGAGCACAATAGGCTGCCACACCTGCTTCGCCACATGCGCTGGCAGCGCGTGGATAGCTTGAGAAATTTCTGGCTCAAATCACCCAACAATAGCTACACCTACGTAATTAGGGCAATTAAGGGAGCAACTTATACAACTGGGCCAACCTCCAATTTGGCAAGGAAGTGGTGGGAAAACCACTTCAAACACTGAAATTTTGTAGGTTAAAAATCGAACTTCCAAAACTCCAAATCAACTCAAACCAACTACCAAAACAGCAAGAACGCATTGAGAGGATGAAAAATCACACCCAACTCAACGGATTCCGTTGCCAGAATCGCTGGAAACAATGACTGAATCGCGACTTTTCTCCTCATTCCAGTCACTTCACGGCTCGAAATCGGGTCAGGAAAATCAGTGGGTCGTGTAGAGGAGGTAGAGAGTAGCATTTTGCAAGTCGTGGTGTTGGATTTGGTGGTCGGATGGCTAAAGCAGTGCCCGTTTGAAATTCCGTCTTCGAAATTGAGAGAGAGAGAGAGAGAGAGAGAGAGAGAGAGAGAGCTGATTTGTTTTAAAACCCAACTTCAAAAAATTTACGATTGTGCCACTACACTTTCGTTGACCACAACTTCTTTATAACTCTGATTTGAGCCTACTACGTGTTTATGAACTCGTGAGAGCAAGCTCTACACAATGGTGCCATTCAAATCCTCAAAGTTCTTCCAGATTAAAAAGTGACCACAAAGACCCTACTTCCATGGGCAAAATTGTAATTTCACAAAAGGAGATTAAATTGAATTAAATAATTAAAAATTAGGCCGAGGATGTTACAAAAGAAGGGGAGATGAGGAGAGGAAGGGAAAGATATAGGCGGAGGGGAGGAGGGGCAGTGGCCACCACACCCTTTTAGCTTCTTTGCAGTTGGTTGTCGGCAAGGAAAAAGAGGACCAGGGTACGGCTAGTCCTTGATATATTTATTATTAGATATAGAATATGTGATTAAACTAACAGTCTATCTATTTTATTATGTAATTTTTCTAGTCAAGGTTTTTTGTACTTCTATTTTAATTGCTGAATTATCTCTAATGATTGAAATTCTACTTATTTTGCCTTGCTATCTATAAGATTTGTGAGGTTTTTTTATTTATTTTATGCTAGGAAATCTTTGAATTTGTTAGTATTATCTTATAATAAAGATGTTATACAGTCAAAATTTTGCCTAATTATATTTTAGAGAATTTTTCTGAAAATAATCCAAACACTTAAGAATAATTCTATTATGTTTATTGCATTCAAATTTAATACTTTTGGACTGGCTAATTAAAAGATCTATAATATTATTTCTACATTAAGAAAGTATGATCGTGAGTTTATTAAGATGGTAACATAATTATAATAGCTTTTAAATGATGATAGTATTGCTAGCAATATCAAGGTATTAGCGGTGTATTAATAGTGGCCGATGTATGAACCACGTATCAACAATAAGAGCGGTGTATTAAAAGTGGTCGATGTATGAACTTCGTATTAGGAGTAAGAAAAAGTATGAAAAACAAAGGAAGTTTTATTGATTAAGAGACAAGGGGAGAGTACTCATATTTTTTTCTTCTATGATGTACTTCTCACTTTAAAGAGATTCGAGCATGGTCTGGTTCAATTCAGTTCTAACCTAAAATTAGAATTAGAATCGTATTGTTCATCTGGTCCAGTTTAGTTTGATTTTTATTAAAAATGATTGAGAGAGCCAAACTAATCCGAACCTCTCAAATTTCGGTTCAATTTTACCAGTTTTGTTTTAAACCGGAGCCCATTGCAAATTTTTTTTTTGTTTGGGTTTTTTAGCCTTAAAATATACAAACCCATTTCATTGAATTCTTGTTTTTTATTTTTCAGCCTTCATCTGAACATCACGGGATCCATTTCATTGTTCCTTTTTCCAATTTTTCTCCGGCAAGTCACATAGACATAAGGAAATGAAACAAATGGAGATTAGAAACCCAAAAGAAATAATAAACATAAATGAGATCCAAAATATTTCATGTATCCTTCTATATGAATCTAAATAATAAAAATCATAAACAAACATTAATCTAATGAAACCCACAGAAGAAATTTGGCACTTAAGCTGCTTTTAATTAAAAAAAATTTAATGAATTTTAAGTTTTAAAAATATTTTTTTTAAATATTATATTATATTTAAAACCACGCGGCTCTATGCTGTTGGATGTGTGAGACCATTTTGATGTGTGGAGGGTAACCTTAAGAACCATTAGTGTCACAAAAAAAAACGTTAGGGACAAATTGTGATAATTTCGTAAACCTCAGGGACCATTTGTGATTTATAAAATTTATAAAATAATAAAATAAAATAAAAAACCTATTTATGCAGCTCTTCATAGTCTTGCATGAGACTCTGATGCTTTAATCTAGTCCTTGGATCATCATAACCAGCTTTTGAAGAAGGCTTCATAGCAAGAGGGTAGAAAGAAGCACACAAAAAAGTGCACAGAGAGAGAGAGAGAGAGAGAGAGAGAGAGAGAGAGAGAATTGGAATCATAAAGAGGAAGAAGAAAGAGAAAGGGAGAAAAGAAAGAAGAAGAAAAAAGAGAGAAAGAAGAAGAAGAAGAAGAAGAATGAGAAAGAGAGAAAGTGAAGAAGAAAGACAAAGAAGTGGCAGACAAAGGAAGAAAAAGTAAAGATAAGGGAGAGAGAAATGAAAGAAAAAGTGGCTTTAGGGTTAGGTGTTGGTTAATGGGCTTTAGTTTTTGGGTTTGGGGTTAGGTGTTGGTTATGAAAACTCCACAGAAGACATATTTATGCATCTTTTCATAGTCTTGCATGAGACTCTTAAGCTTGACTCTAGTCCTTGGATCGTCATAAGAAGGCTTCATAGAAAGAGGGTAGAGAGAAGCACACAAAAAAATACAGAGAGAGAGAGAGAGAGAGAGAGAAAAGAAGAAAAAGAGAAAAAGAAAAAGAAGAAGAAGGACATAGAAGTGGCGGACAAAGGAAGAAAAAGTAAAGATAAGGGAGATAGAAATGAAAGATAAAGTGGCTTTAGGGTTAGGTGTTGGTTAATGGGCTTTAGTTGTTGGGCCACCAAAATATATTCATATTTTTATTTTTTATTTGATTTCAATTTGGTTTAGTCCGATCTGATTTTTAAAGATGTTAAATTGGAATAGGAATCGGTCTGAATCGATTCGTTTTGATTTTTGGTCAACTCAACCCGATTTTTGATCAACCCGGTTTTTTCAATCCAATTCAACTCGGTTTCCCATTTTTCCGGTTTGAATGCCCACCATGTTTGCCTTAACGCTCCTGTTAATTGCCTTATAAATTTACATTTCACAACACTGCAAGACATTCACATTCACATCACACTACTTCACATACAAACAAACAACACACACTTTCACACACCACTTCACATGCACACAGAAAGACGAAGCATGCATTTCAAATCATTCAAATAAATTAAAAGTACGTGCACCTCTTCATATTGGGTTCACATGTTTTGTTCTCCGATTTTTTTTTTTTTTTTTTTTTTTTTTTTTTTTTTTTTTTTCAATCGTACGGACTCAAAGGTCTTTTGTTGCTGAAGATAGTTGTGTCTTTGTTGAGTATTTTGGCTTGTTTGTAGGAGAGGATGTATTTTGGGTTTTTTACCTCATTTGCCTTTCCTTAATATCTCACCTTGAAATTGCAGGAACCTCCAAGTTGCTCCCATCATGAACTTTCCTTGCAGGTGAGCACCGAACATTTTGCAGCTGAATTTGCAGACTTTCTCTTTTTTGGGGGTGCTAGAAAGAAACCAACCACATGGATATGGCTGAGTCTTCCGCTATTGGCAAGATAGAGTTAGGATCCACAACTGTCCAAGAGCTGCTCGCCAAAGGCAAAGGCAAAGGGGAACAAGTGCCAGATAAATATATCCATAAAGTTACAGACGGTGGCATTGGAGCCCCAAGTGCTTCTTCTGCCGCGTTGATGGATATTCCAGTCATTGATCTTGGCCTCCTCCTCACACCTTCCTCAATCACTGCACAACAACTTGATAAACTTCGATCAGCTCTTACCACATGGGGTTGCTTTCAGGTCTGAATTCAAACAACTTTGTACGTAAACAATTTTTAGTTCAGGAAACTTGGCACAAGGGTCTAGATTTGTAAGCATATCCCAGGATGATTATACTTATTTCCCTGCTTTTTGTTTGATTTGATCCACCTGTATGTAATGTAAAACATGTTTGAGGATTCTTAAATTTGGTGTTCCAGGTAATAAACCATGGCATGACCCTTGAATTCCTAGACAAGGTTCGCGAAATGACAAAACAATTTTTTGCACTTCCAATGGAAAGAGAAGCAGAACTACTTGAGGCAAGTCAACGATACTGAAGGATATGGGAGCGACATGGTTTTTTCAAAACAACAAACACTTGATTGGACTGACCGGCTATACCTTTCTGTATATCCAGAAGACCGCCGAAAGTTCAAATTTTGGCCTCAAAATCCCAAATCTTTTAGGTAACTTGTATTTGCCATACATGTATCTTCTTCCTTCACATTGAAGCAATAAGCATATCATGATCCCTCAGAGTTCAACGTATATTATTACTGCAGTGAAACTTTAGACCAATATACGATGAAGTTACAAGTGGTAACAAAAACTGTCCTGGAGGCCATGGCAAGGTCATTGAATTTGAATGATAATTGCTTTCGGAACCTGTATGTAGAACACGGAAAAATGGATGTGAGGTTTAACTTGTATCCCCCGTGTTCAAGGCCTGATGTCGTCCTGGGTGTGAAACCGCATGCGGATGGAACAATAATCACCCTCCTTGCAAGACAAACAAGTGGAAGGTCTTCAGTTTCTTAAAGACGATCAGTGGTTTAGATCTCCCATTGTTCCTGAGGCGCTTCTCATTAATGTTGGTGATCAGGCAGAGGTAAATAAAATGTTCTTTCTCAACCTGTTCAATTATTGGTTTTAACTTTTAAAGCACTGCATAAAGAGTAAAGCTTAATTGAAATTTGGTGAGTAATTGAAAGCTTAAAAATGTACCCTTTGGCCAACGGGGTCTTGCATAGTGGAAAGGGCCCTAACTTGAAGACCCGTGGTCTCACGTTCAAATTCCGTGGCATCTTTGTAGTGTGTGTGAGAAAAACCCCCTCCCCAATATCGCTTCTATTCAAAAAAATAAAATAATTAATAATAACAAAATGTACCCTTTTGTATCACACCGTTGTTATGCCTAAAACCAAGTCATCAAATATTTTTAACACTCTTAATACAGTTGGCTTAGCTTAGAAGCTTGATTGTTCATTTCCTTGTGATACACAGATATTGAGCAATGGAAAATTCAAGAGCCCTATACACAGGGTAGTGATAAATCCAGACAAAGAGAGGATATCTTTGGCTGCCTTCTGCATCCCTGAATCAGATAAAGAGATTGAACCCTTTGAAAGCCTGGTCAAGGAGTCAATGCCGAGATTATACAAAAAGGTGAAAGATTATTCTGGTATCTTTTTCGAATACCACTACCAGCAAGGGAGGAGACCAATAGAAGCAGCAAAAATTTAAAGTTACCCTTAAAAATTATGCTGGCATCTATTTCGAATACTACTGCCTGTTTTTCTGTTGTACCTGTGCTGGCTAGATAAAGTTTCCTATTGATCTATCAACCATTTGCAGTTGATAAGTCAACTTTCTTTTATGTTTGAGTGTGCCACTGTTGGCGGTTAAAAACCCTAACAGACTTGTAAGATGTAATAACTTGTTGTTGTATAAATCATCTAAATCCTATTTGAGAGAAAGATAAGATGCTCATACCTTGGAGTGAATCTTGAAATCAAGAATGGTGTTCAAGTAGAGGGAGCGGTCTCTTTGTTGTTGGCTCTCCCTTTGATGTTGATTCTCCCCTTTGTAGCTCTCCAAATAGGTACAAAATTATGCACCCCCCAAAAGCTTTTCACCAATGATTGAATGGGATGAGAGAATGAGTAGACAACAAGTAAAGAGTGATGCTAGCACCTTCACTTGATGTGATAGATTCAAGGGGTTAGGAAGAGAGAGCTTGATGTTTTCTCTCTTCCAATTTCACCAACTTGAAAAACCCTAAGATGATAGGATTCCATAGCTACACACTTATAGGATCAAACACTTATAGCCACACCTTCCCTTTTGTGTGTCATCTTTTGCTATCTTGATCCAACACATTAATCCTATAATGTGTCACATGTATGCGTAAGTCCATATGGTCAAATCCCTTTTGAATTTCCAAGTTATATAGGATTTTTAATTAAAGTTTCATAACTTTAATTGAATAATTAAATTAATCTAATCAATTTAATTACTCTAGTGACTTGACTAATTCAATCACTCACTTTTCTAACGAGTGTTGGTCCCAGTCGTCCTTAGTTGACCATGTCAAGTGTCGGGTCATCTTTTGACCTTTGACTTTTGACTTTCACATTAACTTTGACCAAGTCACAAAATCATTCATTCTCTTCATAATTTCCCAATCGATTCCTTTTCGGTGTGCGATCTTATAGGTTCTAATTAGCTAGATAGTGGGTATGAATAATTCACTCTGAATCAAGTGTGAATTGTATCCCTCCATACAATTCTCGCTATTGGCGAAGGCTAATTATAATTAGTCCTTATAGGGCTTCCACAAGCCATGTTTCCGAAATTCAAAATTTTGTTTTCATACATCATAATCAAATATAATGTTGCAACGGATTTTTAGAAATTTTATGTGCATTTTTCTTATTTATTTAATTCATTTTTTGTGAAATTTTTATGTTTAAGATACAAAAATGAACCTCTGATGACACATGTCGCCACGCGATATGTCACTTGTCGGAAACTATGATGACACACCAATTTGGCGCTACCATGTGTCATTATATTCCATGTACTAGTATTTTCCAATGCCTTAACTTCCAACAATCATAATAAATTCATAAAAATTCACCAACAATTCCCACAAACTCCCTGTCACATTTCCTTCATCTTTTAAGCTTTAAAATATAATTTTCACATGTACAAAATTCAAGTAATTTCTCAAAGTCAAGTTTGTTTCTATACTAACAATAATACTATGAAAATCATTACTCTCCTCACTACAACTCTTCCTCCAATTATTACTTACAATTTTCCAAAGTCAAAATTTTGTTTTCACACATCATAGTTGAAGAAAATGTGGCAAGGGAGTTTTAGAAATTTTAGGCTTTTTTTTTTCAATTTTTTTTCATTTTTGTGAAGTTTTTAAGTTTAAGAGTCAAAAATGAACCACTAATGACACGTCGCTACGCAATACGTACACCTGTCAGAAGCTTTGATGACACACCAATCTGACGCTACCATGTGTCATTCTCTTCCATTCATTAGTTTTTTCCAATGCTTTAGGTTCCAAAAATCATAATAAATTCATACCAAATCTGAAAAAATTCCCCAAAAAATCCCACAAACTTCTTAGTAAATATATATGTATATATATATATATTTATTTATGAAGCTTTAGTGAATAGTAAATCATGCGATGTTGAAGGTCTAGTGAATCCTTTTGAAGCATTTATTGCTATTTCCAGTGATGTTATGTTGTTCTTCCTTCTTGTCTACCTTCCTACTTAGGGCTAGTTTGGAATTGCTGTCACCTTTAAAAAAAAGTTGTTTTTGCTGTGCTTTGAAAATAATTAGCTGTAAAGTAAAGCAGCTCCATATTTGGTAAATAATTCTTTTAAAGTGATGTTAGTATAAAAAGCAGTGTCAAAATTGTTTGGTAAATTTTAATATAAACCTGTGGTAACTGTGAATAATGACTCAAATATGGTGGTGAAAGAGGTGGTGGTGGAGGTGGTGGTGAGGATGGCGGTTGTGGAGGTGGAGATGGTGGTGGGGATGGAGGTTGTGGAGGTAGAGGTGGTGGAGGTTGAGGAGGTGGTGGCGGGGATGGCGGTTGTGGAGATGGAGGTGAAGGTGGTGGAGGTGGTGGTGGAGATGGAGGAGGAGGTGGTGGCTGTGGTGGTGATGGCGTAGGAGGATGTGGTGGTGGAGGTAATGAAGGTGGTGGTGGTGATGAAGGTGGAGGTGGTGGTTGTAACACCCCGACCCCAAATTATCCCATGTTTTAATTTATTTAAGTGGAATTGAGAAATTACCCGTGGGATAGGGGTATTTTAGTCATTTTCTTACCCGGAAGGAATTCGGGAATTCCGGTTGTACCGTTGCGTAGAGCACGGTGAGATGAGTTCGTAGACACGTAGTGGGCTCGAATCGGAGTTGTAACGAGAGAGATATGATCAAAAGAAGCTCAGTGGCAAAATCGTAAATATTTGGAAAATGGATTTTTGGTTAAAAGACGGAATTGCCCCCGTCACTCACACACTCTCTCTCTCCCGCGCGCGTCTCTCCCTCCTCTGGTTCGCGACAGCCACCATGGCCGGCCACGTTTTGGCCGGCCGTTCGCTCGTCCGGCCACCAAAGTCGACGGGGCCGGAACCAAAATGACCGGGCCGCCGTCCTCTTCCTACCCCAGCCGGGTCTCGCCGCCAGCCGCCGTGATTTCGCCGGAAAACGAGGAGAAAAGCTCCGGTTTTGACAGAAAATTCGCCGGCTTCGTTCTCCGTCGTCCGGCCGCCATTTTTCGCGATCAAGGTATGGAAATTCATCCCTTCTGCATGATCTAGCTGATGGTTGGGTAGGATTGCATCGATTTTGAGCGTAGGATGTCTGATTTTCGAGTTAGGGTTTCGGCCGGATTTCGGGATGAGATTCCGGCCACTTCCGGTCAGATTTTGGGGTACGTCCAAGAACAAAAGTGGCTCAGAATAGGGTTTTACATCTAGGATAGGAAGCTTGGCCGGCGGTTTGGAGTTTTCCGGCCGCCGGAAATTACTCAAGGCACCCACGCGCTGCCGGCGCGTGTGGCGGCGCGTGGGCTAGGAAAATGGACCGGCTCGAGGTTCTAAAATGATCCTCAGGTTGTCATGAGCGCGTAGGTGTGCTCGGATCTTATTTTGGGTACCGTTAGAGTCCCGAACGGATATCGCATATCGCGTATTTTCCGGGTTCGCTGGGTTTGGACCGTTGGATGGTCCTGAGATTGTAATATGTTGATCTAGGTATTACCAGGATCGTGTAGGATTTGACGGATCGTAAAACGGAGTCCCGGATACTCCGGAAATGCCAACCCTGGGGTTAGGGTTTTAGTAACCGTCCGATCGCGTGATCGTGAGCGATCCGACCGTCCGATCTGGACCAAACTTGCAGGACGTGCATCCTAGAGCTTGTAGAACCTATAGGAACTTTCGGATCGGAAATTGGAGGTCGTGGGCCCTGCGGCTCGTTTGACCAACGGTGGGTAGTTTGACCCTGGGTTGACTGTGAGACCTTTGGGATAGTTCTACCTTCTCAGGAGGATTAGAATGACCATAGAGACAGGTCCTGATGTTATGGGGATTATGGGGAATTATTGGATGCTAGTTGTTTATTAAGGTGTTTATATTATTAGAAATTAATGTATAAAAAGTATGTATGGATTTTATGATTGAATGTTAGTTTGCAGTGCTATATGCACTACCCTATGTACCTCCTCGGATGTTGACAGACCCCATACGTGGCCGGGTACGTCCCGACGTATGAGTGGGTGATATGATGGTATAGGGCTGGTGAGAATGTAGCCAGGCCCAGTGTGAGGTCGCACGCGTCTTTGGGTTAGCCGGCGTGTTGACAGGCCCCGTACGTGGCCGGGTACGTCCCGACGTATGAGTGGGTGATATGATGGTATGAGGGCTGGTGAGAATGTAGCCAGGCCCAGTGTGAGGTCGCACGCGTCTTTGGGTTAGCCGGCGTGTTGACAGGCCCCGTACGTGGCCGGGGTACGTCCCGACGTATGAGTGGGTGATATGATGGTATGAGGGCTGGTGAGAATGTAGCCAGGCCCAGTGTGAGGTCGCACGCGTCTTTGGGTTAGCCGGCGTGTTGACAGGCCCCGTACGTGGCCGGGTACGTCCCGACGTATGAGGGGTGATATGATGGTATGAGGGCTGGTGAGAATGAGCCAGGCCCTGTGGGTCGCCGCGTCTTTGGAGTTAGCCGGCGTGTTGACAGACCTACGGGTACGGGTGGCCGAGGTGAGTACGAGTATGAGTGGGAGATATGATGGTATGATGGTGGTGAGAAGTAGCCAGGCCCCAGTGTGAGGTCGCACGCGTCTTTGGATTAGCCGGCGTGGTGACAGACCCCGTACGAGGCCGGGTGCGTCCCGTCGTATGAGGGGAGCTATGTGATTATGTTTGGTGTGTTGTGATGGATAAACCCGAGAATGTATGTATTTATATGGATGTAATGGTTTAATTGATATCAGGAGCCAGGATTGATAGGAAAGAGCTACGTGTGGCTTGATCCCTTAGTAGGGTACGTAGGCAGCCTGGGATAGCGCCTAGGTGCAGCCACGACTTAGACACCACTTAGGTGGTTTTATCGAGTATGATGCGGACCTCGTGGTTGGTCCCGAAACTTGGGTTGAATTGAGGCTTGTCCGGTGGACTGAGTGAGTGAAGGTGTGTATGGATGGATTTTGAATTGGTTATGTGCATGTGTGATGCATGAGTTATTTTGAAAACAGTGTGGGCAGTCTGCTAGAATCATTTGAAGGCCGGAGGCCATTTATGTAAATTGCATGAGATTATATTGTGCGTGCTGCTGGTTGGGTTATAAAATGTGTTTTATGCAGGTGGAAATTTTGGGGAATGTTCAATTTACAGGGGAGACTCTGCCGAAATTTTGGCAGAAAGTCTCGTGCCCTAAATCCTCTCTGGTAAAAGAGGACATAGTTTTAAGGAGTGAACCCGGCGTGGGTGTGATGCCGGGGTCTCCGCAGGGTTCGTCTCGGGTTCCGGGAAATTCGGGACGGGTCCTGTCAGCTTGGTATCAGAGCTTAGGTTCAATTTCTTGTGGACCCGCACCTTGTGTGCATCCTTAAGTTGTGGGATCATGATGGGTTCCGTCACGGGACGTCATCATTTTGACGCGGAGGACTCTTTGACATGGATGGATTTAGGGTATTGATGAGTACACTTAAGGGTGTCACGTTCCTAGAAACGTGTCTATCCAAATTGTTGTATCTCAATATCCTATGGGAGGAAACGGAAGAGCGAAAGTATTGAATCCGCTGAGATGAGACGAATTGTCAGAGGAAGTTGATGGACAAGTTACATGGGAATGGAGGAGTTGTGAGTCCGACCAAGGAGGGTCGTGACAAATTAAGTTGAGAAGTAGTAGTGTTGGATGAAGTTTGTAGAGTTCTATGGGCAGGAGGACATGGAGTTGATCAATCTACTTCTGGAGATCCTCCATTGCCTGAACATGTTGCTAATTCTCGATTGTGTGCAGTGAGCACGTTTGAGCAGAAATCTTTCATCGGAATCAGAAATGGGTCATGGTAGAGAGAGGAAGATGATGATTACAATTCGGTAAAAAAATGATCCTTTCTGACATCCCTCTCAAAGAATCGTGTTGGCAATATTGCTTATCGATTCTAAAGAAAGAAGGAAGATATCAACAAGTCAAAGAGTTTGGATTCTCTTCATGGGAGAGCTGGAAGAGAATCAAATCACAAATGGAAGCATTTAGCTTTCAGAGGGAGATTAAGCATTACAGCAGCTATTAAAGGATATTCCTAGTGGAAGAAAGAGACTTCTCTTCCTCTGCTTGTTTGGATAGAGCTAATGGCTTGGCTGCCAACTTGGTTGTGGAGGATGAAGCATGGGAACCCGAGTAGTAGATGCGGGCCCAATACCCACACCCTTTGGAGTGGCAGGTATGAAATTTCGGGGACGAAATTTTTATAAGGGGGGTAGTATGTAACACCCCGACCCCAAATTATCCCATGTTTTAATTTATTTAAGTGGAATTGAGAAATTACCCGTGGGATAGGGGTATTTTAGTCATTTTCTTATCCGGAAGGAATTTGGGAATTCCGGTTGTACCGTTGCGTAGAGCACGGTGAGATGAGTTCGTAGACACGTAGTGGGCTCGAATCGGAGTTGTAACGAGAGAGATATGATCAAAAGAAGCTCAGTGGCATAATCGTAAATATTTGGAAAATGGATTTTTGGTTAAAAGACGGAATTGCCCCCGTCTCTCACACACTCTCTCTCTCCCGCGCGTCTCTCCTCTCTCCTCTGGTTCGCGACAGCCACCGTGGCCGGCCACGTTTTGGCCGGCCGTTCGCTCGTCCGGCCACCAAAGTCGACGGGGCCGGTACCAAAATGACCGGGCCGCCGTCCTCTTCCTACCCCAGCCGGGTCTCGCCGCCAGCCGCCGTGATTTCGCCGGAAAACGAGGAGAAAAGCTCCGGTTTTGACAGAAAATTCGCCGGGCTTCGTTCTCCGTCGTCCGGCCGCCATTTTTGGCGATCAAGGTATGGAAATTCATCCCTTCTCATGATCTAGCTGATGGTTGGGTAGGATTGCATCGATTTTGAGCGTAGGATTTCTGATTTTCGAGTTAGGGTTTCGGCCGGATTTCGGGATGAGATTCCGGCCACTTCCGGTCAGATTTTGGGGTACGTCCAAGAACAAAAGTGGCTCCAAATTAGGTGTTTTACCTAGGGTAGGAGTCTTGGCCGCGGTTTGGAGTTTTCCGGCCGCCGGATATCGCTTTGGCACCCACGCGCTGCCGGCGCGTGTGGCGGCGCGTGGGCACTGTAGCTGAGGGGCATTTTTGTCACAATGTGATCCTCAGGTTGTCATGAGCGCGTAGGTGTGCTCGGATCTCATTTTGGGTACCGTTAGAGTCCCGAACGGATATCGCATATCGCGTATTTTCCGGGTTCGCTGGGTTTGGACCGTTGGATGGTCCTGAGATTGTAATATGTTGATCTAGGTATTACCAGGATCGTGTAGGATTCGACGGATCGTAAAACGGAGTCCCGGATACTCCGGAAATGCCAACCCTGGGGTTAGGGTTTTAGTAACCGTCCGATCGTGCGATCGTGAGCGATCCGACCGTCCGATCTGGACCAAACTTGCAGGACGTGCATCCTAGAGCTTGTAGAACCTATAGGAACTTTCGGATCGGAAATTGGAGGTCGTGGGCCCCTGCGGCTCGTTTGACCAACGGTGGGTAGTTTGACCCTGGGTTGACTGTGAGACCTTTGGGATAGTTCTACCTTCTCAGGAGGGTTAGAATGACCATAGAGACAGGTCCTGATGTTATGGGGATTATGGGGAATTATTGGATGCTAGTTGTTTATTAAGGTGTTTATATTATTAGAAATTAATGTATAAAAATTATGTATGGATTTTATAATTGAATGTTAGTTTGCAGTGCTATATGCACTACCCTATGTACCTCCTCGGATGTTGACAGACCCCATACGTGGCCGGGTGCGTCCCGACGTATGAGTGGGTGATATGATGGTATAAGGGCTGGTGAGAATGTAGCCAGGCCCAGTGTGAGGTCGCACGCGTCTTTGGGTTAGCCGGCGTGTTGACAGGCCCCGTACGTGGCCGGGTACGTCCCGACGTATGAGTGGGTGATATGATGGTATGAGGGCTGGTGAGAATGTAGCCAGGCCCAGTGTGAGGTCGCACGCGTCTTTTGGGTTAGCCGGCGTGTTGACAGGCCCCGTACGTGGCCGGGTACGTCCCGACGTATGAGTGGGTGATATGATGGTATGAGGGCTGGTGAGAATGTAGCCAGGCCCAGTGTGAGGTCGCACGCGTCTTTGGGTTAGCCGGCGTGTTGACAGGCCCCGTACGTGGCCGGGTACGTCCCGACGTATGAGTGGGTGATATGATGGTATGAGGGCTGGTGAGAATGTAGCCAGGCCCAGTGTGAGGTCGCACGCGTCTTTGGATTAGCCGGCGTGTTGACAGACCCCGTACGTGGCCGGGTACGTCCCGACGTATGAGTGGGAGATATGATTGTGTGATGGCTGGTGAGAATGTAGCCAGGCCCAGTGAGAGGTCGCACGCGTCTTTGGATTAGCCGGCGTGTAGACTGACCCCATACGAGGCCGGGTGCGTCCCGTCGTATGAGGGGAGCTATGTGACTATGTTTGGTGTGTTGTGATGGATAAACCCGAGAATGTATGTATTTATGTGGATGTAATGGTTTGATTGATATCAGGAGCCAGGATTGATAGGAAAGAGCTACGTGTGGCTTGATCCCTTAGTAGGGTACGTAGGCAGCCTGGGATAGCGCCTAGGTGCAGCCACGACTTAGACACCACTTAGGTGGTTTTATCGAGTATGATGCGGACCTTGTGGTTGGTCCCGAAACTGGGTTGAATTGAGGCTTGTCCGATGGACTGAGTAAGTGAAGGTGGGTATGGATGGATTTTGAATTGGTTATGTGCATGTGTGATGCATTAAGTTATTTTGAAAACTATGTGGGCAATCTGCTAGAATCATTTGAAGGCCGGAGGCCATTTATGTAAACTGCATGAGATTATATTGTGCGTGCTGCTGGTTGGGTTATAAAATGTGTTTTATGCAGGTGGAAATTTTGGGGATGTTCAATTTACAGGGGAGACTCTGCCGAAATTTTGGGCAGAAAGTCTCGTGCCCTAAATCCTCTCTGGTAAAAGAGGACATAGTTTTAAGGAGTGAACCCGGCGTGGGTGTGATGCCGGGGTCTCCGCAGGGTTCGTCTCGGGTTCCGGGAAATTCGGGACGGGTCCTGTCAGTGGTTGTGGTAGTGGTGGTGGTGTGGATGGCGGTTGTGGAGGAGGAGGTGGTGGTGGTGGTGATGGCTAAGTAGGATGCGGTGGTGGTGGTGGTGGAGGTGGTAGAGTTGGATGTGGAGGTGGAGATAGTGTCATTTTTAAAAATTAATGATGGTATTTTGGGAATTTAAAAAATTCATTAAAGGCTTATCTCTGATTCTTTTGCAAGCGACTTTGAAAAACAACTCAGAGCCTGCTTTTAAAAGTTGCTATCAAAACGCCAATGCTTTTAAAATAATCGAAATATTTTATTTTTACCAGACACTGCTTAACTTTAAAGTGAAGCAGGTTTTTAACGAAAAAAAGCAATCCCAAACATGACCTTAGTAGCCAAGAAGTCAATACCCACTTTGCACCAACAAATATCAACAATACCGGAGTTTCTATGTTCTCCATCGTATCGGGTATGTTGGTCACATCTGACGGAACTATGCTTATCTTTGACACACAGCATATTGATCTCATAGCTGATCCACCAACATGCTCCCCAAGCAATTTTGATGCGGACCAATTCTCAACACCTGGCATATACCTACCTAAGTGATCATTAGACAATTAGTTAGTCTTTGTATAAGCACCTAATAAATCACTCAGTTTTTCCACCCAGGCGGGTTCATATGTTAAATAAATATCATGCATATATTCATTTTTATGTAGGCTACAACATGCATGTATACTGTCAGCTCTGTTCTCAAGGATAACAAAAGTGTAAATACATTCAATTATTTTTCCCTTTACAATTTTATTTTTAAATTTCAAATATTAAATAGCTAATAATTATAATCATACGGTACCTAGTCAACCTCTCAGTTCTATCTTCACACCCAGTTGCGATCCAACTAGATGCAGTGAAGAGGTTTGAAAACTTGCTAGACGACGGCGAATTCCCGTCGTATATGGCTCTTTTTGTAGTAGTGTCAGTTATTAAGCTCCAAATAATAAAATCCACTGATGCAAAACCAGCAGCACAATGGCAGCTTGACAACTCATTGACAGAGCTATTATCAGTGGAGACGGATTGAATAACACTCAACTCCTTCACTTGCTTCATCCCTATAAACTCTAATGTCTATTGCTTCACCCCTGTAAACTCTAATGTCTACTGCGGCTAAGCTTTAAAATATAATTTTGACATGTAAAATTCAAATAATTTTTCAAAGTCAAGTTTATTTTGATGCTAACAATAATACTATGTTGAAAATCATTACTCTTCTTTACAACAACTCTTCCTCCAATAATTACTTCAAATTTTCGAAGGCCAAAATTTTATTATCACACATCATAGTCGAAGATAATGTCGCAAGGAGTTTTATAAGAAATTTTTGGTGCATTTTTTCATTTTTTATTCATTGTTTATGAAATGACACGTGGTGCTACGCGATACTAACACCTGTCAGAAACTCTGACGATGCACAATTCAAGTGTCACCACTTGTCATTCTCTTACGTTTATTATTATTTTTGTATACTTTAACTTCCAAAAATCAGAATAATTCATTAAATAACATGAAAATACACAAACTGCTTGCGACACTTTGTACATCTTTTGAGTTCATCTGAAAAATTTATAAAATATTAATGAAGACTTCTTAGTAAAAAAATTTTAAAAATTATTTATGAAGCTTTAATGAATAGTAAATGACGCGATGTTGAAGCTCTAGTAAATCCTTTTGAAGCGTATACGAAACATATTTTAGTGGCAAACAAGAGACAGATTTTGATGGCAGCATGAATCATCTTTAAGTTAGCAATTGGATAATGAGTGGAACTCCATGAGTTGGCAATATGACACAAAAAAAAGAATCTGTCATCGGCATACATTATGTACACATGAAAAAACTGTTATAATCCATGACATACCGCTACATTATAGGCAGCAGCCTTCACGCCACACCTACAGAGATAGTTTGCGATGCTCGATGTTCCTTTTCTAGTAGGAACATACGATGATGGTTGACCCTTTCTCTAAAGGCTCCTGCTGCACAAGTGTTTGTCTTTCTTCCGGTTTATTTGGCAGATCAATAATTTCAGAATTCCAGTCCTACCAGAACTTGAAAATTACAATACCAACCCAATCATTCACACTCTGGAAGATGTCAATGTCATTTTCCAAGTACTCAACTGACAACTCCCTTCCTTTTGAGGAACAAGCTCATCTCTTGTTACAACAACAAATTACAAACACCAAGACATGATTCAGAATCTCATAAACAATTGAGAAACAAACGCATATTCGCACATAATCACTACTAGCATAAATCCCTAAACACTAAAAAAAATTCAGAAAATTTGCCCTAATTCCTATATAAATCGAAAATATATACAAAAAGATAATGATTTTCACAGATAATTTACAATAAATACCCAAATATTTTAACCCTAAATCAAATTAGGGATATAGAAATTGAATTTTCAAAAAACATAGAAAATAATTCTAAGAGAAGGAAGAACAATTGTTGTTGGAGTTTTACGGAGTAGCAGGTTTACTTGCACAGAAAGTTGATGAGAAAATATTTCTGAGAGAAAAGAGAGAGGTGTTGAGAGAGAGAGAGAGAGAGAGAGAGTCTGTTAGGCAATGATTGTAATCATGCACACACTCATTGTGTGATCTCATTTCATTGTCAATATATTCTTCTAAGTAGTACAAAAACGACTCAGCCAATACACAGTTGTACCAGCCTGTGAGCTGTACACTTGGCATGAATCTGGACCTATAAGTCCAACAAAATGTGATAGCATATGAGCCATACACCTGGCTAACTAACAATTTAAACCTGAAAACAATTTATACTTCAACACTCCCTTCTAAATTGTTGATTGGTTTAACACCAAGCAATCCTCTCAGATAGTTGAACCGATCTTTAGGCAGAGCTTTAGTGAAAATGTCAGCCACTTGTTCTTCAGACTTGCAGTACCTCAAGTCCACTACCCCATCTTGCAAAGCATCTCGGATTAAATGATATCTGCGTTTAATATGTTTGGTCTTTTGATGAAAAACTAGATTCCTTGTCATTGCAATAGCAGATGTGTTATCTACCATTAATGGAGTTGCATCAGTCTGCAATTCTCCAAAGTCCTCAAGCACAAACCTCAGCCATATAGCCTATGTAGTAGCCTCACTTGTGCTGACATATTCAGCTTCAGCTGTGGAGAGGGCTACACTGTGTTGTGTGACTGATACCCAAGAAAATACTCCACTGCCAAAAGAGAAAGCATAGCCAGAAGTGCTTCCCACATGTCATCTTGGCTTCCACTCCAATCACTGTCACAATATCCAATTATGATGGCCTCTTTTCCCTTCTGATATTCAATACCAAAATCAATGGTGCCTTGAATATACCTCATCACCCTCTTAGCTGTTCCATAGTGTTTCTTTGTTGGGCAATGCATGAACCTAGCTAATAAGCTAGCTGCAAACATTTTGTCAGGTCTTGCAGCTGTCAGATACAATAAGCTACCCACAATTTGTCTGTATTCATTCTCATCTACAGGTTCACTTCCATCATCCTTGCACAGTTTCTCACTTGTCACCAGAGGAGTACTAATTGGCTTACATTGTTTCAAACCAAACTTGCTCAATAATGCCAGTGCATATTTCTTTTGGTTTATGAAAATGCAAGTTTCAGTTTGAATCACTGCCATACCAAGAAAGTGATATAACATACCTAAGTTAGTCATTTCATACCTTCTAATCATTTCAATCTTGAATTCCGCAATTAATTCTCCATTGCTACCTGTATACACAATGTCATCAACATAGATTGAGACAACTAGAGTTCCAAAGTCTTTCTTAGTCTTGCAGTCCAATGAAGCCTCACTTGTGCTTCTGACATAACCACAGCTAATGAGATAGGAATTGATTTCCTCATACCGGGCTCTTGGTGCCTATTTTAAGCCATACAAGGCTTTCTTCAACTTGTACACCTTATCTTCGTAGTGTGTGATCACAAATCCATCAGGTTGATCTACATAAACTTCCTCCTTAAGCACACCATTTTTGAATGCAAACTTGACATCTAACTGGTATAGTTTCCATCCCTTTTGAGCTGCCAAAGCTATAAGAGTTCTAATTGTGTCAAGTCTGGGCACAGGAGCAAAAGTCTCATTGAAATCAATTCCAGGCTTTTGTGCATAGCCTTTGACCACAAGCCTAGCTTTATGCTTCTGTATTGAGCCATCAAGGTTCAATTTGCTTTTATAAACCCATTTAACACTAATAATAGGTTTATCACTTGGTCTATCAACTAGTTCCCAAGTCTCATTTTTCTCAATCATCTTCATGTCTATCTCCATTGCTATCTTAATTGCCTTTTGCCAAGCCTTATCCTTTGAAGCTTCTGCAAAATTCTCTGGCTCAATGATGCTCATATTGCATCTAGCATAGATCTCAGTGATGTCTCTGAGCTTCACAGGTGTAGAACTTAGTGAATTACCTAGTGAATTAGCATTAGTAGCATTTGTAGTCACCTGAACTGGACTAGAGATGTTATCAATCATTGTTTCTTCATATTCCTCTTCAGAGCTTCTGGATGTATCTTCAAACCTCATTGGAACTGAGATAGAATCAACAGTTTGCTTGTCCCAATCCCATAATGAATTCTCATCAAAGGTCACACCTCTAGATGTACTGATCTTTTTGGTCTGCAAATTGTATACTCTGTACCCTTTTTCACATTTGCCAAAGCCAACAAAAATGCATGTTACAGCTGAGTCTTCTAGTTTAGATCTTAATTGACTAGGCACATGGCAGAAACAGATAGAGCCAAACACTTTGAAATGCTTAATTCTAGGTTTTCTTCCACTAAAAGCTTGAAAATGAGTGATAGTGTCTAAAGCTTTTGTGGGGCATCTATTATGAATATAGACAGCTATATTCACTGTCTCTCCCCAGAATTTGTATGGTAGTTTCTTCTCTTTCATCATTGTCTTGCTCATCTCTACAGTGGTCCTATTCTTTCTCTCAGCAACTCCGTTTTGCTGAGGTGAGTAGGCCACAGTTAGTTGGCGTTCCAAGCCAATTTCTTCACAAAACTGCAGAAATTCAGTGGAAGTATATTCTCCACCTCTGCCACTTCTAAGTTTCTTGATTTTGTAGCCACTTTGTACTTCCACCATAGCCTTAAATTTATTGAAAATGTTAAACACTTCTGACTTAAATTGCAGAAAATACACCCAGCACATTCTAGTATAGTCATTGTAGTATACACCCAGCACATCTGAATGAACCAGTTCCAAAGGTACACTAGCTCTCCAAGTTTTCTCTTTACCAAAGGCCTCCCTGTGTGATTTTCCACTTGCACAGTCTTGGCAAAGTCTGTCTGCATTGCCAATTTCAGGCAACCATATACCAGCTCCTGTTGTTGTAACAACTTCAAAATCTGCATATTCAAATGACCAAAACTCCTATGCCAACACCAAGTGGATTCTTCAACTGTTGCTTTCATAGCCATAGAGTTTGCATGTTTTAGTGAGAGTGGAAAGCATCTGTTTCCTGTCATGGAGACTTTTACCACCAAATTTTCCATGGAGCTGTCATCAAATATCTCCACCATAGAATTGCCAAAAACCATACAGTATCCATACTCTACCATTTGACCTACACTAAGTAAATTTTCTTCCAATCTTGGTACAAGCATAACCTCTTTAATATATCTAGGCCCAGCTTTAGTGTCAATCACCAAAGTGCCTTTACAAGTTGCTTGCACTAAGTCTCATGTGCCCATTTTCACTTTCGTAGTGACCTTAGTATCAATATTAACTAGGAGAGATGCATTGGAGGTCATGTATTGCTAGATGCGTTGTCCAAATACCACACACCATTATTCTTTACAACTGCAGCAACATGACAAGCATAGAACATGATACCTTCTTCTTTTTGTGTGATGCATAGTTAGTCGTTTGATCAGATTTTCCTCTGCATTCTTTGGCTATATGACCAAACCTCTCACATTTGTAACATTTTGGTTTACCTTTGAACCAACAGACACCATAGTGCAACTTGTCACAGGTTTTGCAGGGAACCTTTGCTCCTTTAGTCTGATTTTCCTTTACTCATGTCAACACTCCTCCTTAAGTTGGTGCATATATGTCACCAATGCCCAACTTGGTAATTGGGTCATGAAATACTCTTCCACAAATGGCTTTTGTTAAAATATCTATCAGTTAATCTTCTGATTTTACGAATGGCAGGCGAATGATCTTATTCTCAATTTTTTTTTGATGAAATGTATATTCACCTCAACATGTTTGGTTCGATCATGTTGAATTGGATTATGGGCAATATCAATAGCTGACTTGTTGTCACAATGCAACTCCATTGGCTTTTCTGGCTTGAAGCCCAATTCTATCAAGAGTCTTTTAATCCACAATAATTCACAAGCTCAAGGACCTATGAGAAACATTGGGTGAATGCATAAACTAACTAACCACATTAACAGCATATGCAAAATCTGGTCTTGTGTGTGCTAGGTATATCAACCTTCCACCAAGGCATTGGTACTCTTCCTTGGTTCTTGGTCCATATATTCATACAACTTGTGATTCATCTCAATGGGTGTGTCAGCCTGCTTACACCCAAGCATTCCTGTTTCAGTGAATAGATCCATTACATACTTCATTTAAGATAGAAATATACCATTTTTTGACCTTGCTACCTCAATTCCAAGGAAGTACTTCAGATCACCTAAATCTGCCAAACCATGCTCTGTGAGATTGCTTTAACCAATATAATGAGTTTCTGAGCTTGCAAACGTGATTCTTCTTGTCACGTGCAAAATTACATCATGGTGGTAAGTCCATATATACTTTTTCTTCCAAGTCTCCATGTAAGAATGCATTTTTGACATCACTGATGTAATGGCCCATCGAGATTTGCTATTATAGACAATAGGATTCTGATAGTGTTAATCTTGGCTACTGGGGCAAAAGTCTCCTAGTAGTCTATCCCATATCTTTGTGTGTAACCTTTCGCCACTAATCTATCTTTATATCTTTCAATGGATCCATCTGCTTTGAGTTTCACAGTATAAATCTACCTTCATCCTACTATCTTCTTTCCATGAGGTAAGGGCACAAGTTCCCATGTGACATTCTTTTGGAGGGCTTGCATTTCTTCATTCATGGCTTCACAAAGTGCGCATGTGCCACTGATAATCGGTTGAGAGATATATAATTATTGATGGGGTATTTCCCCTTGGCTTTAAGATCCGCTTCATATTGTACTTGAGGTTTGCCACGGTTCTTTCTTTCTGGAAGCTGATATGTAGGCTCTATGCCTTCTGAAATCAAATCATCACGGTTCTTCCTTTCATTAGTGTTATCAATTTCAGGGAAAGATGGTACCTAATTGACTTCCTCAGTAGGTGATTGGTGTGGTACTAAAGCTGAAGAATTCTCCGTAGCGGGCAAAATCTCATAAAACGGTTCAATTTCCTCTTCTTAAGTTTGACAGCGTGGAGATAGCTGGTCATTTTCCTCTGGCGACCGGTCATTTTGAAGCAGGTTCTCCATGTTCGAAGAACTAAGAGGGGCAACTGGTCACTTTCCTTTGGTGACCGATCGTTTTGAAGTAGATTCTCCATGCTTGAAGGACTAAACGGGGGAGACCGATCACTTTTCACTGGCTGTGCTGCTAAAAAATATAAGTCGTGTTCCCAGAGCACAACATCCATGGAGGTATAAACCTTCTGACTTGCAGGATGATGACACCGGTATCCTTTCTAATAAGGTGCATGGCCAATGAAAACACATTTTTCGGCTTGGGGATCCAATTTGCTTCATTGGTGATCATGTAAGTGGACAAATACAACACAGCCGAAAATTCGGGGTTATAGGTTTAGGGTGGGAGGTATTTGGATAGGATGGTGAAGTGTTTGAAGTGGTGTTTGGAAATTTAGGATACTAGAGGGAATCCGATTGATGAGGTATGCTGCAGAGACGACGGCTTCTCTCCAAAAAGATTGGCACCACAGAGAGAGGCACGAACTACTTCTAATAAATGTCTATTCTTTCTTTTAGCCACTCCATTCTATTAGGGAGTGTAGGGGCATGAGCGTTGATGTATGATGCAATGATCTTGAAAGAACTAGATAAGATCATGGTTGAAAAATTCTCCACCATTGTCCTAACGAAGAACCTAAATTCTGGCATGAAACTGAGTCTCCACCATTTGATGGAACTGTTGAAACCTGGAACTAACTTTCCCTTAGTTTTGAGAAGGGAAACCCAACTCATGCGTGTGCAATCATCTATAAACATGACAAGCCATTGATTTGTGAAATGAACATCTTGCACCGAACTTGTCTTAACTTCTTCTACCAAACTTAGAATTACAAACTATAAAATGCTCCAAAAACTAGACTTTCTCATATTTACAATGGTATATGGTCAGTAGCTGGTTCTTCCAAATAATGTACAGCTCAATCCATAAAGTTTACTGATCTGCAAAGACATTTTTGAGCTATCTTGACTAAAAAACGCATTAAATGAGTTCTAAAGCTTAATGAACTGAAAAGCCAAATGACAGTTAAAAGCACAAGTTTCATCCAACACGATGATCAAATGATAAGCTAGGATGGTGCAAAATGATATGTAATTGGAGACTGATAAAAGCTTTTATGAGGCAACTAGCAAGTTATCATATTTCTTCAAGACGTATTTAAAATCCAAATGTCCATGATCATTATCACTCTTTGGTGATTCATCTATGCTTACAGTAGTTATAAATGCAATAGTGTTTTCTTCTTTTTCAGACTCTAATTGACTATCACTCCATGTTATATTCAATGCCTTAGCTTTGCCATTTTGCTTGTTTTGTGTGTTGACACATTCAGAAGCTATATATGACCATAGCCTTTGCATTCAAAACATTTGTCATTTTCTCTTTGATTCTTTTGTTCATTTTACTTCTATGATATAGACACATCATCAGTATAGTCAACATTCTTATTTTTAGGATTTATACTTGAATCATTCTTTGAATCATGACTCCTTGAATTCTAATTCTTGAGAAAGTTCTTGAATATCTTGTGCGAAGCGTGAATTCCTCATCATTGCAATCCTCATTTGAATGCCCATTATCTGCATTAGGAAATTGAGCTTTTTGCTTCAACTTTCGTAGTTATTTTTGTAGGTTCAGAGTATCCATATATCTTGCAAGTTTTTTCCCCAAAGGTTAAATGATACCCATGTTCAATGAGTTGTCCAAGACTTAGAAGATTTTGCTACAAATAGGGTACTAGCATGACATCTCAAATGAACATTCTTCCCTTCTTTTTCTTTATAGCAATGCTTCCCATTCTCTTTGTATCAACTAAATCTCCATTTCCCATCTTTACTTGGGTAGTCTTGGAAGTGTCAATATCACACAGAAGCTTCTTGTTTGCATTCATATGGTTGCTACATCCATTGTCAACAAACCAAACATTGTCTTCTTGTTGTTCAGATGCAGCATGACACACATAAAACATGTTACCATCTCCACCTTGTTCCTCAACATAGTGAGCTTGTTCATTGCCCTTGTAAGTGCCATCCAATTGCATATGCCCAAACCTATTACACTTGAAACATTTCACTTTTCCCTTTAACCAACACTCACCAGAATGAGGTTTATCACATATTTTACACTTATACAAAGTGTTAGAACCCTTCTCATAGTTTTTCTTCTCTTCAACATTACTATTTCCCTCCCACTTCTTGTTTTTTTTTCCTTCTCATCCTTGTCGGCCTTGTCTTTGCCTTGACTAGAACTAGAATGTCTTGATTTTGCAGAACTTAGGCTAAGTTTTTGGAAAGCAGTCTCAATAGCATCATTAGCATCCCTATTTAACCTTCGATCAAAACCTTTTAGTGAACCAAACACTTCTTCAATACTCAAGGTTGACAAATCCTTGGTTTCTTCTATGACTGAAACTATTGGATCATACTTTTGTGGTAAGCTAATGAGGTATTTTTGTACTATGCTTTCATCAGGTAAGGTTTCTCCATAGGTTTTCGTCTAATTAATTACATATGGTAACCTACTAAAGTAAGTATCTAGCAACTCATCATCTTTCATCCTTATGTATTCAAAATCCTTTCTCTAATATTGGAGTTTAACACTTCCTACCCTATTCAAAACCACTGTATACCTTCTCAAGTGTAATAACCCAATCCTAAATTAATATTTAATTATTCAAGTATTCAAGTAAAAGACAATTTTACCCCAGCAATATTTTAATAGGTTTAAAAGTTGACTTTTGATCGGGAAAGAATTTGAAAATTTCAATTGGACCGTTGCATAGACGAGTCCGTAGACAAGTAGTGGGCTCGAATCGGAGTCTTAACAAAGAAATTGCAATATAAAAAAAGTTCAGTGGCAAACTTGTAAATATTTCGAAGTTGGTTTTAGAAAAATCAGAAAACCTCCTTCTCTCTCCTCCGCGCTCCCCGACCCCGATTCTCTCTCTCCTCAATTCACAGTCATCGGGCAGCCACCGGCCACAAGACCAGTCCCAAACCAACAAGCTCAACCTAGACGTCCTGCCCCAGCCCTTCGCCGCCATCGTCCGTTCCTCCAACCGCTAGAAAACATGAAATTTTAGGCTGGTTTTCACAAAATTTTCCAGTCGTTCGATCTCTCTCCTTCGGCCGCCGTTTCGGACGAGTGAGGTACGGATTCTCATATACTCTTCAAGCTCTAGCTGATGGTTGGATAGGATTTGATTGATTTTTAGTCTAGGTAACCCGATCTACAACCTTAAGTTTGGCCTGTATTCAATTCGAAATTCTGGCCACTTGCCGACCGAATTGGACGTTGTCGTAGTTGAAGAAAGTGTTCCACTCGTCTAGTAGTGGCTTTAGCCAGAAGGGTGGCCCTCAATTTTGAAGTTTTTAGGCCACCGATATTGCTTAGGACACCCACGCACTGCCGACGCGTGTGGCCGCACGTGGGCACTGTAGCGGAGGTGCATTGTGTTCCAATGTGATCTCCTGGTTTTCACGAGCATGTAGGTGTGCTCAGATTTCAATTCTGATATCGTTTGAACCTCGAACGGATTTATGCCTATTATGCGTTATCCGGGTTCGATATGTTTGAACCGTTGGATTGTCTCCAATTTAATATATGTTGATCTAGACACCACTAGGATCATGTAGAATTTCGCAGATCGTGAATCGGAGTCCTGGTTACTCCAATTCAATAATTCGAAGTTTAATTAAACAATAATTGTCCGATTCATACCAAACTTGCAAGGCACGTTTATTAAAGTATATTGAACCTACAGGAACTCTCAAATTGTTTATTAAAGTATATTGAACCTTCAAGGTCGTGGACCCCATGGGGTCCCAAGTTGACCTTTTTGAGAATTTATCGCTTATCGAGTCTCAGGTCTTTTCAGAGCGTTCTAACCATTAAAGATGTTTAAAGTGGGCATAGGAATGGTCTTAAACTAAGAACACGCACGTTTAGAACCCAAGGGTCAGGGTTTTGGATCAAATAGCTATGTTGAGTAATTTTATTAATTAAATATTTTTAATGGCACCGTCAGATAGGGTCAAGCTAGCTCGGACGCCTAGTGAGTGGACTTTTGTTTTATAAATGATTTTATGCGATTAAATTTTCATTATTTGATCTTGAATATGATTATTGCTTTCCAAGCATAAGTATTTAAATTCAAATATTTTTGGTTATATTTTGTTATATTTAAATGAGAATGGCTTGGAAAGTATAAAGGACAATGGCAACAGGATTTAAGGATGGAATGAGAAATAATTTTATAGTTTTTCCAAGAAATTTTTTTTTCAACCACCATAGGTACCCACGTTGCCTTCGGCTATAATGTTGCCTTCAGTTATTATGTTGCCTTTGGATTATTATTGCCTTTGGTTATGTCAACGCGCTTGATAGTTGCCCCACAAGTCCTTGGGATATCCGGACTGTGCGGAGCGAGGAATGCGGATCAGGTTGACTAAATGACCCCTGAGTCCTGCGAGGATTTTTGAATTACGGCTATTCTCACTATTCTTTCCAGGTCTTTTTTCCTCTCCAGTGAACCGACTAGAGATGCTGCAAGCAAAGATCATATAGCCTAATTGACTGCAAGTTGAATAAGCTATGACCCTCTTTAGATCGTTTTGTAATATTCTAGTGGTTGCCGCTAGGAATGATGTCGTAGCTCCTGCAGAAGTAATAACAATCAAAGCCGTAGTCGTTACTACTAGCAATGACTTCCTCTTTCATTACTTCATCCTTTCCATATCCCTCTCCCTTGTTCTCCGTTACTCATCAAATGGCACTCAGTTCATATCTTTAAGTTTGATCATTGAGAGGGAGTCTCACTCCCATTCTACTCATTCTTCATACAGGAATAAGTTTACTTGTTCTTTTAGGGGTACCATACAAACAAGATAAGGAAACTAAACAACAAATACTAAGAAAAGACTACTCCTTTCTTTCGTTCGACTCTTCAGGCCAAATGGCATGACTTTGTAGCAGTAAAGGCCACGGTCAGTGATGAAGGATGTATGAGCTTGGTCCTTATGGTGCATAAAGATCTGGTTGTACCCTAAGTAAGCACCCATGAAGCTGAGGAGGGCGTGGCCAGCTGTGGCATCAACTAGCTAGTCAATGCGGGGTAAGGGGAAACTATCCTTTGGGCAGGCTTGGTTGAGATTTGTGTAGTCTATGCACATGCGCCAGCCCTTCCTTGGTTTACGTACCATTACCACATTGGCAAGCCAGGTGGGATAATCCACCTCTTTGATGAATCCAATCGTGCTCAGCTTATCCACCTCCGCCTTCATGGCCTCATACCGTTCCGGGGCATAAGCACGACGCTTCTGCCGAACGGGTCGGACGGTAGGATTAATACTGAGCCTATGAGAGATGACGTTAGGTGATATGCTCGGCATATCGTTCTAAGACCAAGCAAAGACCTCAGAGTTGAGGCGGAGGAAGGCAACAAGATCGGAGTGAAGCTCTTATGAAAGGGAGGTGCCGATCCTGACCTGTCGATCCGGGATGTCCTCATGGAGAGTGACCAATTCGAGGTCCTCCACAGGTTCGCCCTGTTAGGTGGCAGATTCCTCCCTAGGGTCTTTTGGGCGCCCAGTGCCAGATCGAGGTGGGGCTGGGGCCCGGGTTACCTCTAGGGCCTCACCCTTATGTTGGCGATTAGTAGACTTTACGGCCGAAGCATAGCAGCTTCGAGAGCCAAGTTGATCGCCGCGCACTGTGCTCATGCCATGGGGCATAGGAAATTTCAACAGTGGAAATAAAAACCTTCATCTGGGCCATGGCAGGGCGCCCAAGGATGACGTTGTAGGCTGTGGGGCAATCAATAATGAGGAAGGGAATTAGAGATGTGCCCAACGTCGAAATTAGAGATGTCGGCACGGATAATGATTGGGTCATCATGAGAGAGGATAACGCCACGCTCCTCCTCACAGAAGGTAATGAGGGCCCAGCCTGTTTTTTGTGTCTTTGGCAGGCGTCCCTGCTCAGTGCTGAAGACCTTATGCGCATAGGTGGAGCGAACATAATGTTTGATGGAGTTGTTGGAGGATCCAGCCATGGTAGGGCCACCACTGATAGTTGAGATCATGTTGATCTGCCGTTGCTGAGGGTTAGGTGGGGGTGGGAGGTTGTGTACGTATTTATCCAGCTTCTCCTCACGAATAAGTCCTTCAATGATGTTGTGCAAGGCAACACAAGATTCGGTATCGTGGCCACCGAACTGATGAAAGCGACAGAAGACACCTGTGTTAGGCATAGGCTTGCTGCCTGGTTTCCTGGGTGGAGGTTGGGGTATGATAGGTGCCTCATGCACAAGGACATCCTCATAGGTAGTGTTTAGGGTGGTGAACACCTCAAACCCAGGTTTGGGTGAGAATGGGAGTAGGGCCCGATCATTTATCCTTGCGGGGTTGCTTTCACTAGACTGGTGGTGGTTGCCATGTCTGCCCCGCTTGTTATTGCTGAAGGTATGCTGGTAGCTATCCTTTCTCTTGGGGTGCTGGGCACCTTGGGTGCTTGGTGTAAGGGCAGAATGTTAAGGTGGAGCTAGGATGGGTACTGAAGCAGGTGGAGGATCAGCAAAAGGATTACGCGTCGGGGTGGCTGGGCTGCACTTGGAGTAGAAGTACTCTGCCTTGGCGTGAACTGCTGCCTGCTTCATCAGCTTGGCATATGTGTTCCAAGGGTTGCTGTGGACTAGGTACCGGAAGTTGGACTCTCAGAGGCCACTCTTGAAAACACCGAAGGCGGCACGATCATCAGAGTCTGGGCAGCGGGAGTATTCGTGGCTGAACCTGGCTGCATACTCTCAAAGGGGCTCGTCCTCACCCTGTCTAAGCATGTATAGGTCGTCCGCGGAGTAGAGGCGATCAGTTTAGATCATGAAATGGTCCAAGAAGGCCTGCTTCAGATTGTCAAATGTGTTGATGGTGCGGGGGTTCAGCCTGTAAAACCAATTCAGGGCTGCGCCACTGAGAGTGGAAAGGAAGAGGAGGCACATGCCTTCGTCAGTGAGGCCCTTGCACCCTAGGACAGACTGGAAAGAATGTATGTGGGTGAGAGGATCCTCTGTGCCAGTGTAGAAGACGATGCGGAGTGGCTGGATGTCCTTCTCCAGGTGGTAATTAAGGATGCGTTCGGTAAAGGGCCCAGGTCATGGCTTTGCCCAGAGGGGTTGGTGGTTGCGCTATTGCTCGCTCTCCAAGCCCCGGACTTTCTCAAAGAGAAGTCTCATTTCCCGATCGGTATGAGGGAGAGTCCCGGTGTGTAGGTGGTCATGGGCTGGATAAAATTCTTCGAACGCCTCGGTGTGATAAGACTCGTAGTCTTCTAAGTAATCCTGCCCCCAGTTCTCCAAGTCCCCTATACCTTCTCCAGGGGGTAGTTGGGTAGGTTTTGGTGGGGGGCCTAGGTGTGTCACCTTTGGGTCTTGGAGATTAAGGGGGATAAGAGGGGGTTCCGTCTGACGGTCCAGGATATGGTCCCTGCAATCCCTGTAGACCTTTGTTAGTTCATAGGGTCGGTTCCTTGGCGGGGAGATGTGGAGGAGCCGCGACTTGGTCGTCTCTGGATGGAGGAGGCATTTACCCTTGCTGGGCCTAGGCTGGATTGGGACACTGTGGTGGGAGTGCTCCGGCTGGTTTGGCTGGGTACGCTCAGGTTCCCGGGTAAGGCTGCGTTGGGAGCCCTGGGTTTGATTCATCTCCCAGTTACGCTTCATGTGCGGTAGTCATGCTCGAGCTCGACGTTCTTAGCATGAAGATGGTCATATTTCTCGGACATCTTGGTGACACTGGCACAGAGGTTCTCCAGTTCTGCCAGGAGATTGGCATATGCTAAAGGTCTCCTCTAGGAGGTACCCCCATGGAGGGGTATGGTGTTGAGTCCCGTGGCTATCCTCAGTAGGCATAGCTGAGTGTGGAGTGAAGAAGAGGTGACGGGGCCTGATAGGAGAAGGAGCCAGCTGGGCTGGTAGAGAAAAATGGGATTCAAGTATCGCTTCCCACAGACAGCGCCAAACTGTTGATGCTCTTTTTCGGAGAGGGTCAACTTAGAGAAAATGAGGTTTGCCTTCAGCAGGGAAAGGGCCTGGACCTTCGATAAAGGCTAGCCTGCAGAAGATAAAATAGGAGAAGCAGTCGTTAAGCTTCGGACACTGGTGTGGTGCCGGCCGAAGGTCCTCCGATGCTTAAGTCAGCTAAGAGTGGTAACTTTAGCAGAGTAATAGTAAAAGGTAAGAAAGTAGTTAGCCTTTTTACTAGGGTATTGTGCCCTTTTTATAGGGAAGTGAAAGTGGGAGGTTGGTGTAGATTTCCGATGTAGGACTTTGTGCAAGTTGCTACAGTGGTGACACGTGTCATGGGAATTAGGTTTAGCAGTTTGTGAGCTTTGGCAGTCGGGAGTTTCGGCAAGTGCTTGCCACCTTGGAAGAGTGTCTTCCTTCGGCAGCAGAGAAGGCATGTCTACCTTGGTGCTAGTTGTTTTGAGGCTGGATATGCTCGGTTGATTATGGTGTAAATAACTCACATTTTTTTAAATGTTTTGCGCCCCAAGGCAGATGTCATGTACTAGAGCGCCACCACAGGGCAATCACCACTCTTCACTCGTCCTTCCCACTATGTAGGATATTCTGCTGTGATCTTGTCATTCCATTGTAAATTTATGAATTTGTTTGCTCTGAAATTGCCCTAGGTTTTTTGTAAGGCCTGAGGCCATTTAGTTATGATGATGAATTGCTGGAATTTTATGTTGATGCATGCTAAACCGCAAGGTGTCGGACACGCACATGGTTTGGCTCATATTCAAAGTGGAATTTGGGTCGAGTCTTGTCATCAAGTATCTCCCAAGTTGACTGTGCAACTATTTCATTTGAGATTCTAGGAAAGATTTCATTTTATATAAGACTTTGGATGAGACTAAGAGCTTTAGCATCTTTCTTGATAGTGTTCTCCAGTTCTTGTTTTTGAACTTCTAACAAAGCTTCAGTTTTCTCTAGTTCTTCATAGCCATCTTCAATCTGATTCCATAGCCCCTAAGACACAAGTATTCCTCTCATCTTGATCCTCCAGAAGTCATAGTTCACTTCATTAAAGATCGGAATTTGAATATCAACACTGCTACTTGAGCTAGCCATCAATTTGAAGATTTTGATTCTAGAGTTTCAATTGGAAATTTCTCCTTTTCATAAGCAAGAACCACCCACTCAATCTTTATCTTCTTGATTAGACTTACTCTAATATCATTTTGGATTTTATGCGAGATGAAAGAAGAGAATAATGGAGACAACACCCTACTCAATCTCTCTATTCTTGATCAGACTTACTCTGATACCATTTTGGATTTTATGGGCAGGATGAGAGAAGAGAATAATAGAAACAAAATGAACTTTGAGGTAGTGTTGGTTCTTAGGTATATTTTTCTGGTTTTTTGATTGCTTAGTTTTGTTAGATAAAAGTGTTTCCTTCACACACACCAACCCTTACCAACTAAAGTAAAATCTAATAATATCTAGCCTTACAAAATATCAAAATCAACATGTCTTCCTAAAAGCAACAATAGACAAAGTCTCAACCATAAGTAGCTCGAGCTATTTTTGTCTGAGAATTACAATAAGGGATTAAAATGAAGGCTTATTTACTGTTTCACCCTTGGAACTCGAGCTCAGTCTCACTTAACCCCCTTGAACTGAAACTTCCTCACTTAACCACCCATTCAATCATTCTGTCTAAAAATTACCCCTTCTCTCAACACCGTCCCATTGACCCGTTAAATGAGCTTGCCTAGTAGGGAAAGTAGGGGTTGTTGATGTGGAAATGTGCGAGTGTTGTCTCAAAGAAGGGAACTAAAAGGGTTTATTTGTTGATTAGGATTCAAAATAGCTGAGGATTTTCGGATTTTGGCAAAGGAAAATGGTACGATCATACCTAATATTTGCCAATGTAGGAATCCATGCCAGGTGGAGACATCGTGGATTGAAGCTAACCCAAGAAGGAGGTTTCAGTTCTGTCGAAGTGTAAGGAATTGTTTTATTTATTTATTGGTTTTGTGTTTTTCCAATGTTGATATATGGATTGATTGATATAGGGAAGGAAAATGGATGTGGGCATTTTGAGTGGTAGGATCCAAATATTTGGCCCCATTCTAAGGCCATCATACCAGGGTTGCTATTGTGAAATTATTGCAAGTGCACAATTCGCATAAGTAATATAGAGATAAGTGAAATGTCATTCCCACGAAGACTGTAATTTACTTTTAATTACCAATTATGATTAATGCAGAAGTTTATTTGAACAATTAATTAGGAAGATTGATTGCTTTAATTAAACTAAAACAGTTATAAAAAATCGCAATTTAATTAACGATGGATAATCAAGTTGATGAGACACTAAAGCATCCAATTTCGCCATAACCAATTCCACTTAATTCTTATAGCCAATTAACCCTAATTACTGTTCATGTTGACAGTTGGTTTCTCCTAATTAATTCGATATCCCTTCTCAGGTTCAACCAAAAATATTCTTAATTAACAACCCATTCTCTCTCGAGTAACAGATTTAGAAAATCAAGAACCCATTAAGTTCTATGAGAACTTGCAAGAAAACTGCATGAGTCATGTTAGTCCATCTCGGACACTCGTTCAAGACATGGTATTTGTTACGAGAAGCAAACACCAAAAATCTCATCTCGGTCTCCGTTTGGATCATCAATTAAATATTAGCTAGATATTTAAGGCATTAAGAATAGTAACAAATACTCAACATGGAATAGTACTCATAAATTAATATAACTATAAAAATTAAGTATTCATGGTTAGGCTACATTGTAGCCCTAGCAAGAGAAATTAGTTCATGATAAAAGAAAAGATAAACAAGAGAATTGTTGTCATAAAACTGATTTGGCAAATGGATTTGATCTTCAGATTCTCCAAAGCAACACCTTCGTAAGCTCCGAAAGCACTACGACAGTAAATTCTTGGCTCTCTCTCTAATATATTTGTAAGTGTATGAAAGTTGTATATGGGAAGATGATAGTCCATAGAGAGAGCTTAGGGTGACCTTATATAGGGTAAAACAACTAAACCCTACTCCAAAAAGGTTTGGAAAAGCTCTCCTGAAGCAAAACAAAATCCCAAACAATTAAGGAAACAAACTAGGAAATAATTATTCTTTGACTTGGAAACATATCAGCCAACTTGCACGCACATTTTGGGGTCGTTCGGAAGGAAACATGCATTTAATGCTTAGGAAATGAACTTTAGCCACAACCTATACAACAAAAACATTCTAAATTGCGGATTCATTTTGTTTATACTAGTTGAGCTAAACCTTTTTCATTTTAAACCAAGTATCTTAGCCTAGTCTCTTTGAACACAAATAGAAAAAGAAAAAAGGGAATAGATCTTTACCCTTGATTACCTTTTCTTGATTTCTCAAGAATGAACACCTTCGTTGGAAAGGTCATTTGTTTCCCTTGATTGACTCCTTCACCTTAAGGCTCCAAGATTGGAGTCCTCTACCTCACCACACCAAATGCTCCTAGAGATGAAGAGAAGGCAATCAAGAAGTATGGATGCTAGTCTACTTCTTGATTGGACCAATTTTTGGTTTATGGAAGATGAGATACAAAGATGATCACTCATCAACCAAAGTAGGAAACCAAAAAGCCCTATCTAGGTTTTCTCCAATACTTAGCTTATATAGGACAACACAAAAGGCAATTGGGTGTGTATTTGCGGCTCCATTTGATCCATGAGTCATGTCATCTTATGCCACATATCCCTTGGGCCCAATAGCCCTTTGGGCTATTTTGTCTCTTTCCTTTTAAATCTTATTTAAAAGCCTAATCCAATATTTCTATATGTCAATATTAATTCCATAATTAATCTTTTAATTATAATTAAACTAATAAATTATAATTGTAGTCTTACTTAATTAACCTGCTCGAACTATTTGACTTTGGCCAATTGCTCCGGTCAACATGTTGACTTTAGACCGTTGACTATGACATTTGATTGTCAACCATTGACTTATGTCACCTCATTTCATTTCTCCTTATTTGTACCTCTAATCACATTCTTTGGGTGTGCTGATCTGTAGGTTCCCTTTAGCAAGGTAGTGGGTTAACTCAACTCCTCAGAGATGATATACGAATTAAATTCCACAATTTAATTCTTCCTATTAATAAAGGTTAATTGAAACCTTGTAGGACATCAACAAACCATGGTTGTTGCCTAACAGCAAGTCACGGTTATCCAAGCTAAATGAGACGTTGTGAAAGAACCTATTCAAATTGGAATGACCATGCAATTGAATCATTCTCTTATGTCAATACTCCTTATTCACATTATTAGATCATGGAATCCGATTGTCAATATCCTAATGTGAATCATTTCTTTTATATGATTATCCTGGTAAGATTTGAAGACTTCTTCTTTCGAGTCTTATCCACTACTCTGCACAGAGATTTGACCAATCATATCTTTGAGTATTCTCTCTCTTTTACTGAGAGTAGAGATTCATTGTTGTACATTAATTTGCTTCCATGACTCTATTGAGAGTCCTAATGAACACCTTTAAGCTATGCCTAATTCAATATGACTGTATAGTGCCCTCAAAGATTAACAACATAGCCACATAACATCTATGATGCCTCAAGTCTAAAGATTAGTTTGCACCATTGCAATTTATGAGTTCCAGCTTGACATGTGAGTAAAGACTTCCATGTTGTAATTCATGTGTTGGATCGCGTTCAATGTACTTGTTCTTTTACAAGCACCAACAAACATATCGATGTGTCTCCACACTTAATGACTTGAGACCTTGTCATTCCCTACATATAGAGACGATACTATGTGTACTGGTCTTTGCGGAATATTGATGCCTAATCAATATTCCTATGATCAGGAATCAGGATTTTAGGGATGATGAGAAGTCTCCATGTATGCAATCTCATTACATAGCTCTTATATCCACTTGTGTATTCCTTGGACTATGGTTGTTCTATTGAAAGATAATATAGGATGATTTAATGTATAAAACAGCCTTTCTTGCCCATTGATAACATAATATGTCTTTTATCAAAGATGTCCTTAACTCTAACTATTACATAATTAGTTGGCTTTAAGGGCATATTTATAACAATCTCCCACTTGCACTTTAAAGCCAATTTGACATGTATCTAATACCCATCTTCTCCATGTGTCGGTCCAGCTGAAGTTGACTCATAGACTTTGTGAGTGGATCTGCTACGTTTTTTGCTGAAGCCACCTTGAGCACGCTAATATCTCCTTCAGCAACATATTCCCTGATTAAGTGATAGCGCCTCTGAATGTCCTTGGATCTTTGATGAGACCTTGGTTCCTTGGCTTGTGCTATATCCCCATTGTTGTCACAGTATAAAATGACTGGTGACTTAATGCTTGGGACCACTCCAAGTTTAGTAATGAACTTCCTCATCCAAATTGCTTCCTTTGCTTCTTCTGAAGCAGTTATGTACTCTGCTTCAATTATGGAGTCCGCAGTGGTGCTCTGCTTGCAACATCTCTAACTGATTGCCCCTGAACACATATCTAGAAGTGGATTTCCAATCATCAACATCAGATTCGAAATCTGAGTATGTATATCCTTCCACCAATAATTCTAGGTTTCCTCCATAGACTAGGAACATATCCTTAGTCCTTCTGAGGTACTTTAACACAGTCTTTACAGCACTCTAGTGTTCTGATCCTGGGTTTGATTGATATCTGCTCGTGATTCTCACACCATAGCTAATATCAGGCCTTGTACACAACATGGCATACATTAGACTCCTAATTGTGGATGCATATGGGGTCCTGCTCATTTGTATCACTGCTTCTGGGGTTTAGGGCTCATGCTATTGGACATGTGAATACCATGTCTAATTGGCAGAAAACCCTTTTTGGAATTTTCCATTTGGAATCTTCCGAGCACCTTGTCCACATACAGGGATTGAGATAATCCAATTAGTTTTCTCGATCTATTCCTATATATCTTGATACCCAGTATGTAAGGTGCATTTCCCAGATCTTTCATTGAGAAGGTCTTTGATAAAGGAATATGATTGCGCTCCCACTGTTTTTCCTATATACACAAGGTTTATCTTCATTTTGGCTGAAACCATAACCTTTAACGGCTTCATCAAAACAAATGTTCTAACTCCTTGAAGCCTGCTTCAGTCCATAGATTGACCTTTAAAGTTTGCATACTTCCTTCTCTTCATGTTTAGATGTGAATCCTTCGGGTTGATCCATGTATATTTCTTCATAAAGGTGGCCATTCAGAAAAGCCGTTTTCACATCCATCTACCATATCTCATAGTCATAATATGTTGTTGTGGCGACAAGTATACGGATGGATTTTATCATCGCTATGTAATAGAAAATCTCTACAAGAGGGAGTACCTTCGCAAACCTACGGCTAGGGACCTCCGAAGGCTTGTACAAAAACCTAAGGCTCGAGGTTTCCCAAAAATTATTGGAAGCATCGATTGCATGCATTGGTAGTGGAAGAATTGCCCAACTGCTTAGCAAGGAGATTATGGGAATTGAAAGGCCCAAAAAAGTATAATTTTGGAGGCCGTAGCTTCATTTGACACTTGGGTTTGGCATGCCTTCTTCTGAACGAAAGCCAACGATAAAAAAATTTGAATTGCGCTTGCTGACGTCACCACTGATGTTAGCGCCTTCGGGCTACAGCCCAGTCCAAATTTGCCCATGGGCTTGCCCGGACTGGTTTTGAAGTCTATAGGCCATAGTGATTGGGAGTCCAAAGTCAATGTGATGGGATTGCATATAATATTAGTCAAGTATACCATGCTTGGTTGCAAACGTTTCACTTTCACGAAGCGATTCCGTATTTGAAAAATGAAGAAGATTGGCTGAAATTTCATCTTTGATTTTGAAGGCATTCGGAATTGTAAACTGCATTAAGTCTAAATTGTAAACCGCATTAAGTTTAAAGAGGGCCACGATAAGAGGACCAGACCCCCTTATTTCATAGCGTTACTGTCAAGTGTCTTACTATTCAAATTATCCAAGGAAAATATCATCAAGTGTCTTTACTATTCAAATTATCTAAGGAAAATATCAAGTGTCTTACATATTCCAAACACTATTCTCAAATTGACAAAAAAGAAAAAGAAAAAGAAAGAGAAGACAGATTATGAGAACAAACTGTGTGCCTTACATAAGGAAAACATCAAAAAAGACAAAATATAAAGTACATTCTACCCTCTGGAAACTAGTTCCTCTAATAAAATATAAAGTACATTCAACCATGTCATCATCAGATTCACAACGACAACTTAAACCCAAAACAACTTCTTTATAGCACCTCTACCCCAAAAGGAAAGGGTAAGGCAAAGGCAAGGTAAAGTGAATAGGTTTGACACCATTCACGTGAATAGTGTCAGCCTTGCCTTTTTTGGGTTCCACCAAGGGCAAGGGCAAACACTATTCACTTTACTTTATTTTCTATTTTTTTATACTTAACCATTAATTTTGACAAACTTTTTAGATAATATTTTCGGTTGCCGCGTATCACTATTTATTATGAAATTCTCACCTAAAATTTAAGATAACATTTTCGGATAAAATTTTCGAATTAAATTTTGGGATAAGATTTTGGGTTGCCACATGTCCATCAAATTTCAGATAAGATTTACGGATGAGATTCTCGGTTGCCACGTGTCTTATTTCAGAAGTATGATGCTCATCTCTATATTATAAATCCCTCTATAAAACTAATATTATATCATGTTTCTTATTTTCGAGAGAGATATAGAATGCAGTCTCATTTGTTCCAAAAAATCATTCATGATATTTGTAATTACGACGCATACTTCGTTCAGAAAGTATGATGCTGTTGGGGTTTTGGGTTTTCTTCCAGAGCAAAAACTTACAACTGCTTTGCGGATGCTTACTTATGGGGCATCTGCAGAGCAGGTGGATGAGATTGCGCGGATGCGAAAATCAACTATCCTAGAGTGCTTGGTGAGATTCTGTGATGTAATAGAAAATCTCTACAAGAGGGAGTATCTTCGCAAACCTATGGCTAGGGACCTCCGAAAGCTTGTACAAAAAGCTAATGCTCAAAGTTTCCCATGAATTATTGGAAGCATCAATTGCATGCACTGGCAGTGGAAAAATTGCCCAACTGCTTGGCAAGGAGATTATGGGAATCGAAAGGGCCAAAAAATTATAATTCTGGAGGCCATAGATTCATTCGACACTTGCGTTTGGCATGCCTTCTTCTGAACGAAAGTCAAATTTTTCACGCACCAACGATAAAAAAAATTTGAATTGCGCTCGCTGACGTCAGTGTGACGTCAGTGTGACGTCACCGCCTTCGGGCTACAACCCAATCCAAATTTGCCCGTGGGCTTGCCCGTGCTGGTTTTGAAGTTTATAGACCATAGTGATTGGGAATCCAAAGTCAATGTGATGGGATTGCATATAATATTAGTCAAGTATACCGTGCGTGGTTGCAGACTTTTCACTTTCACGAAGCGATTCCGTATTGAAAAATGAAAAAGATTGGCTGAAATTTCATCTTTGATTTTGAAGGCATTCGGAATTGCAAACCGCATTAAGTCTAAAGAAGGCCAAGATGAGAGGACCAGACCCCCCTTATTTCATAGCGTTACTATCAAGTGTCTTACTATTCAAATTATCCAAGGAAAATATCATCAAGTCCCTTACTATTCAAATTATCTAAGGAAAATATTTCACCAAAAAAGAAAAAAAAATATCTAAGGAAAATATCAAGTGTCTTACACGTTCCAAACACTATTCTCAGATTGACAAAAAAAAGAAAAAAGAAAGAGAAGACAGATTATGAGAACGAACTATGTGTCTTACATAAGGAAAACATCAAAAAAGACAAAATATAAAGTACATTCTACCCTCTGGAAACTAGTTCCTCTGACAAAATATAAAGTACATTTAACCATGTCATCATCAGATTCACAATGACAACTTAAACCCAAAACAACTTCTTTAGAAAATTCAAAAACAACGGAAGAAGTAGAAATTACGTATTCCCAGATCCGTATGAATAATAGCAACATTCAACTTTGAACATAGGTAATTTCTACTTCTTATTCTTTCTATTGTTGCTGAAGGTTGTAGTATACAAGTTGTTTTGTGTTTAAGCTGTATTTATGAATTGGATGTGACCTCTAGCATAGGTAGATACCGAGAAACATCAGGCATTATATGAATTGGATGTGACTAAACATTTTGAGATATTAAGTCTTGTCTTAATGTACAGTTGGGTCATATCGGGATTCTTACGTGTTCGTCACTTAGAGGGTTGTATGAGGTTGCCTTTTACCAATGACCATGTACAGTTAGGGCATACATGCCATATTAAATAACATCCAAAGACTTTGAGAACTTTGTAGTCCTGCTGGGCCCCCTCTTAAGACTCAATGATGTATTCTCTTTGGTTTCATTAATGCAAATCTTTCTTCGAAATCAATAATTTGCTTTGTGTGGTTGTTGTTTGCCGACTTCTCAATTTGCATTGATGTTTATATATATACAAAAATCTGTGAGCAACGGAACATACACAACATGCAAATGCAGCCTTACAACCTAATGGCTCATGCCTTCCTTCTCTTCCTCTTTTTCTCTTGCATTACATCTACGAATATTCATGCATGCAAACACACTGAACGCAGCTCTCTCCTGTCCTTTGCCTCCACTGTATCTTCTCCTCCTTTAAATTGGACGACATCCCTTGATTGCTGTCGTTGGAAGGGGATCACCTGTAATCAAGATGGTTGGGTCACCCATTTGCTCTTGCCTTCCAAAGGGCTCAAAGGAGGTCTCTCTCCATCTTCACTTGGAAATCTCACACATCTCACCCATTTGAACCTTTCCCACAATTTACTATATGGTTCACTTGAAACTCAGTTCTTCTTGTCTTTGAATCGACTCGAGTTCCTTGATTTGAGCTATAATCTTCTTTCTGGAGAGCTACCATTTTCTCTACCATCCAGAAATATCCAGACAGTTGATTTGTCCAGCAATCACTTTCATGGTGCAATTCCATCTTCATTCTTCCAACAAGCAAGCAACTTGACTAGTTTCAATGTCAGCAACAATACCTTCATAGGGTATGTCCCATCCTCTATTTGTCTCCATTCTTCTCCCTTCCTTAGGCTATTGGATTTTTCTTCCAATCTATTCAATGGCAACCTTGCTCCTGGATTAGGAAAGTGTTCCGAACTGCAGGTTTTTCGTGCAGGTCACAATAACCTCTCAGGATTACTTCCAGAAGATATTTATAATGCTACCAAACTTGAAGAAATTGCATTACCTCTCAATTCACTACATGGGGCCATTAGTGATAAAATTGTGAACCTCACCAACCTTGCAATCCTTGATTTCTACATTAATCAATTGAGCGGCGAGCTTCCTCTCAATTTGGGGAAGCTTTCCAAGTTGAAGTTTGTGACCCTTGATTTCAACCTTTTAGAAGGTGCTTTGCCCCCATCTTTGATGAATTGCACAAATCTTGTAGAACTACGTTTGGGAACAAACTACTTGGAAGGAAATATCTCCATGCTTGATTTCTCCAGACTTAACCAACTTGCTAAACTTGACCTAAGGGTCAACAACTTCACTGGTACGTTTCCCATAAGCCTTTACTCATGTAGGTCCCTAAAAGCCATTCGGTTGACTGGAAATAATCTAGTGGGACAAATACAAGCTCAGATTCTTTCATTTAAATCCTTGTCCTACCTCTCGCTTGGTTTCAACCAATTCACCAATCTCACGGGGGCAATGAAGATATTAATGCATTGCAAAAGTCTTCACGCACTCATGCTTAGTGGTTCCTTTAAAGGTGAGGGAATGCCAACTGACGATGACATGGTTGATTTTGACGGATTCCAAAATCTTCGGGTATTGTGTTTGGTTGATAGTCGCCTTACTGGTCAACTACCTATGTGGTTATCAAAGCTCCAAAATCTAAAGATTTTGCTTCTAAGTGGTAATGAAATAACAGGGCCAATTCCAAGTTGGTTGGGGACTCTTCCTAGATTGTTTTATATCAAGTTGTCAGAGAACAGATTTTCAGGTGAATTTCCAAAGCAACTTTGTAGACTACCGAGGTTGGTATACAAACCCAATATTACATCTCAAGTAGACGACACTAGTAATGAATTTGAATTGCCTTTCTACTTTCACACTCTCGCCAGAAACCCAAATTATTATTTGTCGTCCAAAATTTCTTCCTATCCAGCAACGATAGACTTATCAAACAATAACATTGTTGGTGACATACCTATTGAGGTCGGCCAATTACAGCTTCTCCGTGGGTTGGTTCTTCACTCCAACAACTTTTCCGGCGTCATTCCAGACCAAATATCTAACCTAAAAAATTTAGAGGTTTTGAACCTCTCCATGAACCACTTGTCTGGAATAATCCCATCGTCATTGGCAAGCCTTTCTTTCTTGAAAGAATTTAATGTCTCATACAATAATCTCCAAGGACCAATACCAACAAGCACTCAGCTCCAAAGCTTCAACGCTTCTGCCTTTGAGGGGAATCCAAAACTTTGTGGTGCACCACTTCCAAATAAGTGTGGTCGACCAAATAAAGGCATTGATGAAGATAACAAGAAGAACAACAAAGACATGGACAATGGGCTTCATCAACTTCCATGGTTTTATATTTCTTCTATTGTGCTAGGGTTCATAGTGGGATTTTGGGGAATATGTGGTTCTTTAATCATTAACAAGACATGGAGAAATGCGTATTTTCGATTCATATACAATGTACAAGATAGGCTCTATGTGATGATAACAGTGCGCATCAACATGATAAAGAGAAAACCTTAAAGGCTAATATGTACTTTTTATTTTAAATTTTTTATTTGCGTTTCTTTTTTTCCTTTTTTCTTTTGCGTTCCTGATGTAATACGGCACAATTAGTCCTTATAATTATGTCTTCTTATCGGATGTAGTTTCTTTCACGCTACCTTTTGCAAGCAACAATAAAGACAGATTTTGGCTGTCCAAAGTCATGAATACTATATCAAATGAATACAAAAATGGGTATTCAAAATTTAATGCAGCACATACTTGTGAAAGCAAAACAAGCAACAAATACAACTTCAGCTACAGATTTGGCTGTCCAGGTCAGTGCAAATGCTTATGGATGAAAATATTTGAGTGAAATGAATTAATTTCAAAGGAGGACAATGCAAATATCTTCTCAAATTAACCTATGACAATCTTCCAAGTTTTTGAATGTGGTCTACAATTTGCCAACATTAGTAACATTAGTTGCACTACTACAAAAATTGAAATAGACGACGGGAATCCACCGTCATCTAGAAGGTTTTCAAACCGTCGTGAAATCGACCGCCATCTTTTGATATATAAAACAACGACGGCAAATAACCGACATAGTTAAGACATTCAATGTCAAACAAAATTAAAAATCGACATCTAAGTACTATATATAGCATAAAATGAAAACTTCAATAACATTAGACGACGGTTTTATTGAAACAGAGATGTCTAAAGAGTGTTACATATCAAGATGAAAACAAGCACCGACGTAAAGATATTTATCCACGTCCCTAACTGAAGGAACACAACCTTGTATAACCTAGAAACTGTCGTGGTTAACTTATACTACGTTAACTAAATAAACAAATTGACATCTAAAAGTGGAAAAGACGACCCATACACAACAGAACAGACATGTTAAGTTTATTACATGTCAATAATCATATAGGCACCCACGTAAAATGCTTTAACCATGACACCCATGTGGAATAACCGTCGCTTATATGATTATCCACGTCACAATGTAGGAGAACACCGCCTTTTTAAACATATTCCACGTCTATTTCTTGAGAGAATCGTCGTTTAAATGATACAAAAAATCCCCTTGGACAAAGTTAGATGATGTTTTTTTTATAATACAGATGTTTGAATATTTTAAAATGGCACAATATTACTGAATACCGACGTAACAAATCCTACCCACGACTACTATTGCTACAAGTTGACGTTAAAAATTATTTTGACGGAGTGGACAAGAAAAGAAATTACATGGATTATATCTTCAATGTCTGTTGTTGTAAAATAACGGAAGTGGTTAATTCCTTCACTACATCCCAAGGATCCAATTGTTTGATGTTGTAATTACTTACCACGTTAGTTTCTAATACACCTTGATGTGGTTGGCCTTTTAAAAGACTCTTGTGTAACACTCCTTGACGTGTGTGTTGTAACATCCCACATCAACCAATGAAGAGGGGTGATGTGCCTTATAAATACATGCTCGCCTCAATTTAGCACGAGGCCTTATAGGAGCTCACTGGCTTCGGAGTCGTGGGAACTCCGAAGTTAAGCGAGTTGGGGCTAGAGCTATCCCAAGATGGGTGACCCACTTGGAAGTTGCTCGTGAGTTCCCAGAAACAAAACCGTGAGGGAAAGAGAGGGGCCCAAAGCGGAATCGGGTCTGGAATCGCCTGAAACAATGATTGAAAAACTGCTACTTTTCACCTCATTCCAGTCGCTTCACGGCTCGAAATCGGGTATGGAAAATCAGTGGGTTGTATAGAGGAGGTGGAGAGGAGAGTTTTGCAAGTCGTGATGTTAGATTTGGTGGTCGAATGGCTAAAGCAGTAGCCGTCTGAAATTCTGTCTTCGAAACGAAGAGAGAGAATGTCGGGGAGAGAGAAATGAGAGAGAGAGAGAGGAGAGAGAGAGAGAGAGAGAGAGAGAGCTGATTTCTTTTAAAACCCAACTTCAAAAAATTTACAATTGTGCCACTACACTTTCGTTGACCACAACTTCTTCTTTATGACTCTGATTTGAGCCCACTACGTGTATACGAATTCATAATAGCAAGCTCTACGCAATGGTGCCATTCAAATCCCCAAAATCCTTCTAGATTAAAAAGTGACCACAAAGACCCTACTCCCATGGGCAAAATTGTAATTTCACAAAAAGAGATTAAGTTGAATTAAATAATTAAAAATTAGGTCGAGGATGTTACAAAGGAAGGGGAGATGAGGAGAGGAAGGGGAAGATAGGAGGAAGGGAGGAGAGGCAGTGGCAACTAACCCCCCTTTAGCTTCTTTACAGTTGGTTGTCAGCAAGGAAAAAGAGGACCAAAGTGCGGCTAGTCCTTGATATATTTATTATTAGATATAGAATATGTGATTAAACTAACGGTCTATCTATTTTATTATGTAATTTTTCTACTTGCTCAATCAAGGTTAGAACACGGAAAAATGGATGTGAGGTTTAACTTTTATCCCCCGTGTTCAAGGCATGATGTCGTCCTGGGTGTGAAACCGCATGCAGATGGAACAATAATCACCCTTCTCTTGCAAGACAAACAAGTGGAAGGTCTTCAGTTTTTCAAAGACGATCAGTGGTTTAGATCTCCCATTGTTCCTGAGGCGCTTCTCATTAATGTTGGTGATCAGGCAGAGGTAAATAAAATGTTCTTTCTCAACCTGTTCAATTATTGGTTTTAACTTTTAAAGCACTGCCTAAAGGGTAAAGCTTAATTGAAATTTGGTGAGTAATTGAAAGCTTAAAAATGTACCCTTTTGGTCAACGGGGTCTTGCATAGTGGAAAGGGCCCTAACTTGAAGACCCGTGGTCTCACGTTCAAATTCTGTGGCATCTTTGTAGTGCGTGAAAGAAAAACCCCCTCCTCAATATCGCTTCTATACAAATAATAATAATAATAATAATAAAATGTACCCTTTTGTATCACACCGTTGTTATGCCTAAAACGAAGTCATCAAATATTTTTAACACTCTAAGACAGTTGGTTTAGCTTACAGAAGCTTGATTGTTCATTTCCTTGTGATACACAGATATTGAGCAATGGAAAATTCAAGAGCCCTATACACAGGGTAGTGATAAATCCAGACAAAGAGAGGTTCTCTTTGGCTGCCTTCTGCATCCCTGAATCAGATAAAGAGATTGAACCCTTTGAAAGCCTGGTCAAGGAGTCAACGCCGAGATTATACAAAAAGGTGAAAGATTATTCTGGTATCTTTTTCGAATACCACTACCAACAAGGGAGGAGACCAATAGAAACAGCAAAAATTTAAAGTTACCCTTAAAAATTATGCTGGCATCTATTTCGAATACTACTGCCTGTTTTTCTGTTGTACCTGTGCTGGCTAGATAAAGTTCCCTATTGATCTATCAACCATTTGCGGTCGATAAGTCAACTTCCTTTTATGTTTGAGTGTGCCACTGTTGGCGGTTAAAAACCCAAATAGACTTGTAAGATGTAATAACTTGTTGTTGTATAAATTACCTAGCATGTCATATCTAATATGAAATCAAAGTAAGAGCAGGAAGCATTAAATAAACTTGGGATTCATGTAAGTCTCATTTGGTCTCAATCTTTATAAGTCTATAAAAGTACGCACTAAAGACTCTAAATCCTATTTGAGAGAAAGATAAGATGATCATACCTTTGGAGTGAATCTTGAAACTAAGAATGGTGTTAGAGAGAGTGGTCTCTTTGTTGTTGGCTCTCCCTTTGATGTTGATTCTTCCCCTTGTAGCTCTCCAAATAGGTACAAAGATATCACTACTACATTTTAGTCTTTGCGCGACGAAAGGGTATTCGTCGTGCAAAAATGTCGCACATCATTATGCGCGACAGAAGTTTCGTCGCGCACAGTCCGTCGCGCAAAGTTTGTGAAGAAAGGATTTGCGCGACGACCAAAAGTCATTCGTCGCGCAGTTTGCGCTACGTATAACAACTTCGTTTCAAAAAACATTTCGGGACGACCTCATTGTCCGTCGCACAAATATTTGCGCGACGAAATAGTGGTCGTCGCAAAAAAAAACTGCGTGACGGAATTTTCCGTCGCGCGAGCTACATGAACCTTGCGCGACGACATCTTATTCGTCGCGCATACACATTTTGCGCAACGAAATTATTCGTCGCGCAAGATTAAAATATATTTGTCGATTTGTTATTTAAATGTTTTTGTGCGACGATTTACGTTTCGTCGCGCAAAAGCAATATATATTATTTAAAAAAAATTATTATTATTTGATTTTTAATTTTGTAAAAAAATAAATTTGGTTTTTTTTTAATTAAAATGAAATTACAATAAAAAAAAATTAATCGTAAAGAAAACATCTATTATATAAAATAAAATAAATGTATACAAATTGTAAAAGTAATTATAAAAATAAAAAACTAATCAAATAATGTCCCGAAATCTACTTGGTCATCTGCCACATGCGGCTCGGAGGTATGGGTGTCTGCAGGGGCCGTGGTGTGCTGGGGATGCTCGGGGTGGACGGGCTCGGAGGTCGACGCACCAAAATTCGGGATTGGATTGCCGGACCGCGCGAGGGACTGCAGAATCACCGACATCTGACCCTCAAGCTCGGCAACCCGCGATGTCAAAACAGTCACCTGACTGTTTGCCTGCGACGATGACCGCGGTCGAGGTTCCCTCTGTCGGGCATTCCCCATCCCCCTACAATACGTTCCCGGCCTCCTCCCGAGAGTCTGATCCAACGTCTGCGTCAAAATCTGAAATCCAGCATCATGCGGAGGATCCACAGACTCGATCGGAGTCTCGGGAGGAAGTTGGGAGGCGGACTCTTGAAGAACCAACTGGCTCCTCTCCACCATCGTCGTCTGTTTAACATTACATAAAATATAAATTCAAAAATGCATATAAATTGAAAGTGTAACATAAGAATTAAAAATACATAATACTTACATGAAGGGACTCGGCCAACTCATTCCCAGGTCGAACATAAACGTCACCAAAGACGTCGATCTCTGGGAATTTCGACCCCCCCTTAATTGAACAAGAGAAGAAAAATATTAGTATGAACAAAAGAAATTAATAATAATGACGTATTAAAAATTAAATATAAATTATATTATTCTTACCCGACGCCGTGCATCCATCCTATATGAGAAGGGCCTGGAGCCGGAATGGTGAAGAAGAGTCTTCTTCTTCCTATTGCCCTTATTCACTTGGGCTTTATTCTGTTATACAAAAAATAAAACGTAATAATTGAACTATAAATAAATTAAATAATAATGAGATATAAAAAATAAAATAAACATTAAACAAATATTATTAAAAAAATACCACATAATCGGGCGCCTGAAAATGACGCAGAGCCACGCCCAACTATCCTCCCGCCCCTCAAGCTCCTTCGGGCAACCCTCCTGAAGAGCGACTTGCGGATCATCAAACGCCTGGAAATGGTGGTGCAAGTCGCTCTTCCACTGCTTGTACCTCTCACCGAAGAGTCTGTTGGCGTACGCCAAAGTCTTCTCGTTGATGTCCTCTAAGTCGTAGTTCGTCTGCAATAAATTGATTACATACATTAAGTAATAGAAATATATAAAGTTTGAAAGAAAAATAATTAAAAGATAGGAAACATACCGACAACTGGCCGCGAACTTGCATCTTGATCTCGTCAGGTATGACCTTCCAAGACTTCCATTGCATCGGGCAATGGGTCCGAACGACGTGGCCAATGTCGTGGGCCAAGGAGCTATGCAAGTCCGCCGTCGGTGCAGCCCGATGGCGCTCGTCATATCCGATGCTGATACGACTGTTGGTCACCCGGGTGACCTTCGCCGTCTTCAGCTGCCGACACGGCCCTCGGGTGTTCCTCTTGGCTGCAAAGGGATATGACAATATTGTTACATATACAATCAAATTGAACCATAAAATTCCCAATTAAAAAAATGTTAAAAAAAAAAAAAGAAAGGGGAAGGGTATTACTTGGAGGTGCCCCCGAGGCACCAGTACAGTCAGTGGATGTGGTGTCGGTGGTGGTAGCGGGCCGGTGTCGCCGCCTAGCGCTAAGAGGCTGCACCACCGAAGAAGATGATGATGCAGCCGCCTGGGATCCCCCAGGACCAGCTAGCACGTGGTCCTGCTCCATCAGTGCTGGAGCAGTGGCAGCTGATACCGGCTGAGCCGGGGGCTCCGAACTCGGTGTAGCCGTCACCGCCCTACGACGTCTAATCAAGTCTGACATCTGCACAATTTCATTAATCCAATGTAGCACATACAATGTCAGTAAAAAATTGAACTAACTAATTAAAATCATAGTTTGACCTAGGGTTTGCGATTTCGGAGTATTCGGGACTCCGATCCACGATCCGTCGAATCCTAAACAATCCTATAAATACATGGTACCACATACGTGAGTTTCAGCTCGATCCAACGGTCCGAACATATCAAACCCTAAAATCGCACAATAGGTTCGAACCGTTCGAGACTCAAACGATAACCAAATTCCAATCCGAGCACACCTACGCGCTCGTGACAACAAAATGTTTGCACTGGGACAAAATGCCCTATGCCACAGTACCCCACGCGCCACCACACGCGCCGGCAACGCGTGGGTGCCCTAAGCGATAACAATCCCCTGGAAATCCTACAAATTAAGGGCAAGGTTCCTACCCTAGGTTTAAAACATCAATTGGAGGCACTTTTGTTCTCGAACCTACCCCGAAAAACAGACGGAAGTGGCCGGAATTTCAATTTCAAAACCGGCCGAAACCTAGGGTTTCAAATTGACTACCCTATGCACACAATCAATCAAATCCTACACAACCATCAGCTAGAGCATGAAAAATAGCCCAGAAAGCATACCTCAATTGCCGGATTTGGTGCCCGGAGGAGAGAGAACAACGGCGGCGAAGATTTTGCCTAAACGGAGCAATTCACGGCGGCAGGATAGACGGCGACAGCGGAGAAGCTCCTGGGTTCGACGGTGGTGGCGGCAGGGTCTGAATTGGGGCGGAGTAGGGGCTGAGGTCACGGCGGAGAGAAATGGAGGTTTAGGGTTCCGTTTGAGAAATTGGGGAAGAAGGAGAAGATCGCGATTTTCAGAAAACTTATTCGACTTTGCGCGACGAATATATAAATCCGTCGCGCAAAGTTCATTAAAATAACCTTTGCGCGACGCAAAAATAAACTTTTCGTCGCGCAATATTATAAAAATTTGACCTTTGCGCGACTTAAAAACTTGATTTCGTCGCGCAACGTTGTGAACAGATATACCATGCGCGACGAAAGAACTAGTGTCGTCGCGCATACTTGTCCAGCCGCCCAAAATTTTGGGATTTGATTTTGCGCAGGAAAAATAAATGCAATGAGATTGCGCGACGAATACGCATTCGTCGCGCAATCTAGCTGTTGCCAAAAAAAATTTGCGCGACGACTGGACACGTGTTCGTCGCGCAATCTGGCTTTTGCCAAAAAAAATTTAACCAAGTGTTGGAGCGGAGGAGGGAGCGAATTTTTTTCTTGATTTTGCGCGACGAATGGGCATATGTTCGTCGCGCAATCTGGTTTTTGCCAAAAAAAATTTCACTAAGTGTTGGAGCGGATAGGGGAGGGAATTTTTTTTATTGATTTTGCGCGACGAATGGGCACGTGTTTGTCGCGCAATTGGCTTTTGCCAAAAAAAATTTCACTAAGTGTTGGAGCGGAGAGGGGAGGGAATTTTTTTATTGATTTTGCGCGACGAATGGGCATATGTTCGTCGCGCAAACTGGCTTTTGCCAAAAAAAATTTCACTAAGTGTTGGAGCGGAGAGGGGAGGGAATTTTTTTTATTGATTTTGCGCGACGAATGTTCATATGTTCGTCGCGCAAACTGGCTTTTGCCAAAAAAAATTTCACTAAGTGCTGGAGCGGAGAGGGGAGGGAATTTTTTATTGATTTTGCGCGACGAATGGGCATATGTTCGTCGCGCAATCTGGCGTTTGCCAAAAAAAATTTCATCAAGTGTTGGAGCTGAGAGGGGAGCGAATTTTTTAATGATTTTGCGCGACGAATGGGATTATGTTTGTCACAGATGTTTTGCGCGACGCGTAAGTGTAGGTTCGTCGCGCAAAACCATACCCTAGTACCCTAAACCCTAAAACCTGTACCCTAAGCCCTAAACCCGAACTCCTGAACTAGTTTCAATGATCCAACCGGCAATCTTCTTTTTTCATAGTTCAAGATCGTATACGTCAAAAATCATAATGAATGAACATTCAGAGATTGAGTAACGGGACAAAACTTTTCGACGGTTCTAAACAAATTGTCCCGATTCAACGGTGATTTTAACTCCGATCTTGAAAATTTTTTACAGCTGCGGTTCTTGACCCTATATGAATACAGAGATGTAATTCGATCTTCAATTTCAAATATTTACAGTACAAGACATCACATAATCTTATGTTAGACTGAAAGAATGTATAAAGAAATTATTCAGTTTTTATGAATATTGTGTTTTTATGGAATACGCATTCTAGGAAACTAGTTTCAGCAATCTAGCCGTCAAATATGTTTGTTTATACTTCGAGATCTTATACGTCAAAAATGAGAAAATAAAAACATTCAGAGCTCAAGTAACGGGACAAAACGTTTCGACGGTTATAAACGAAAAGTCATGATTTAACGGTTATTTTGACTCTGATTTTGATGATTTTTTACAGCTATACTGTTTAACCCTATGTGAATACAGTGAACTACTTCGATCGTTAATTTCAACTATATACGTGTGTATATATCAGAAATATATATGTGTATATGTTTGTGCGACGAGGTCTGTTTTTCGTCGCGCTAAAGGCACTTGCGCGACGATATTATTTGTCGCGCAAATAATAGAGTATGCGCGACGTGTACGTTATCCGTCGCGCAAAATTTGCGCGACAATTATGCCTTCGTCGCGCAAGATTATTTGCATTCACATATTATTAATCTGAAGTATTCATCATTACATATAATTAATTGTATGAAAGTATGATTTATTTTATTTTCTTTTGATTTGAGAATGGAAGGATTGTTGATAATCTTATGTTCTTTGTATTCATTTTTTCGGTTATATGGTTTTCATTTTTTAAAAGTTTTTTGTGAAAATAAATTTAAACTTTATGATACAAATTAGTTGGCTATATTTATTTACCAATGGTTTATAACTACAATTATTTTAATAATGTTTCACTTGGTATCATATATAATGTTTGGATATAACAAGTACATATATGAAAACATTTGCATTACACAAAATATGTCCACTAACATAATAAAATTACAAAAAAAATTAATCATTCATCATCTGAACTATAATAACTTTCGTTATCGTTGCTATCATCACTTTCGGTCTCCCAATCCTCTTCCTCCTCCTCCTCCTCCGCCTCCTCTATAACTACATCATCGTCGTTGCTCGGGCCAACTGCAACATCATATCGCGGAAGATCACCGAGGTCAATTGTAATTGACTGAATCGGTATTTCGATTGAAGACACTCCTTGTATTTGAAATGGCTCTTGTATAACATTAGTATCTCGAAGTGTTTCCGCATCATTTTCCATTGAAGATTCTAAACGTTGGTCAGCTACATTGTTGACGTCGTTGTCAGTTGGGTCTAGTTCTGGTATAGCATACAAGTTCCTGTGATCCATCTTTTGAACAACGTTCCAACCGCTTCCGGCTTTAGGGTCATCTAGATACACAATTTGTGTTGCCATGTTTGCCAAAATATAAGGGTCGTCATCATACCAAGTTCTGTTCATGTTCACAGATAGTAAGCCATGATCGATTTTAACACTTCCCGGCCTATTTGGGTTGGTGTCAAACCATCGACACTTAAACATGATCACTTGGTATCGATCTTTGTAAAGCAATTGCACGACAGTTGTGAGTTTGCCATAGAAATCAATGTCCGTACTTTCGCCTCCACCTGGGACATGGACACCGCTGTTTTGCGTTCACAACTTGTCATCTCGTGCTTCGGCCAAAAATTTGACACCGTTGACATTACAACCCGAGAACAATTCAGCGCGAATCGGGCCGAACGCCAAGTTATATAACTCATCACTGTAAGTTGGGGAATTCGATGATTTCAACTTATTCACCTAATATTATACAAAACCATTCATATGTTAGTCTGACAAAATTTATAAAAAAAATTTATATTTCTCAAATAACAAACACTGATAACTTACAGAATCCAAAAACCATTGTGGAAACAATTCACGGTGTTTCTGGGCAACCAAATGTGATGGATGTTCTCGCTTCATCATCTCTTCATGCTCATATAAGTATCCCATGATCTCATCACAATTGTTCAGTACGAACCAATGCGCTACCTCCATGTCATTTCTAGAAAACGACTCTCCGCGTCCAGGATCTCCGAAGGGTTGTGCGCTTTGGGCAAAAACAGAAAGTTTTTCATTTCTCATACCTCCATCATGATTGCGCTGAGGACGATTGAAAACCGTCTCCACATCTTTTAAATACATTCCGCAGAAAGTAAGCGACTCATATTGAACCCAAGCCTCTACGATTGATCCTTCGGGCTTCGCCCTGTTGCGTACACTTTTTTTCAGCTCTCCGAGAAGCCTGCCAAAATAAAACGATATGATTGAAATTAGCAAGCATGTGATAATGATGCATACACAAATGATAAGGATTATATACCTTTCTATTGGATACATCCAGCGATAGTTGACAGGACCAGCAAGTAATGCCTCTTCTGGCAAGTGAACCATCACGTGCATCATACTTGTGAAGAAAGCTGGAGGAAATATCATCTCAAACTTGCATAGGACTTGGACAATGTCATGGCGCAACTGAAACATGTCCGTTTTTCGCAAAGTTTTCGCCGTCAGTTGGGAAAAAAATCTGGACAACAAAATGATTGGCTTCACTACATCTTCCGGCAATAGGTGTCGAATACCAACAGGAAGTAGGCGTTGCATAAACACATGGCAGTCATGGCTTTTAAGTCCAGTAAATTTACCCCCGTCAACATTCACACAACGTGCGATATTAGAAGCATACCCATCGAAAAACTTTACAGACGATACAAACTTTAGAAACTCTTTCTTGTCATTCGGTTTCATAGAAAAGAATGCAAGATCCCTTCTAGCTTTATCATTGTCCCTATTCATCCATAAACCCCTTCGTATGCCCATTCTTTCCAAATCAAGACGAGCTTTGATCGTGTCCTTTGTCTTCCCCTCGATATCTAGAATCGTGCCCACCAATGTGTCGAATACATTTTTCTCAACATGCATCACATCTAGATTGTGCCTCAATTTTAGTTTCGACCAATATGGGAGCTCAAAAAACATAGGCTTGTGCGTCCAGTTCATATGTGTAGAAGGTCTGATACGACTAACTGTTTTCCCGAAGGGAGCAAAATCCAACCGGTTAAGCTGGTCCAATATCTCATCACCGGACCATTCTCTGGGTCTAAGGCGACGCTCAGTGTTCCCGTCGAACTCTTTATCTTTTTCCCTCCACTCATGGTCCCATGGCAACCATCTCCGATGACCAAGGTAACAAACTTTTCCAGCATGCCAACCAGAAGTTACATCTTCCTTGCATACAGGACATGCCATATAACCTTTTGTGCTCCACCCAGAAACCATTGCATATGCTGGGAAATCATTCACAGTCCACATAACTGCTGCCCGCAAAGTGAACATCTTCCCAGTTGATTTATCGTACGTGCGAACACCGTTTGTCCACAAATCCTTCAGCTCATCAACCAGCGGCCTTAAGTAAACATCGATTGACCTCCCAGGATCCTCAGTTATCAAAACAGTCATCATCATGTATTCTTTTTTCATGCATTTCCAAGGCGGCAAATTATATGGGAATACGAAAATCGGCCAAGTGCTGTGGTGTTGGTTTAGAACCCCATACGGATTGAATCCGTCAGTGGCAAGTCCCAATCTAACATTTCGGGGATCAGCAGCAAACTCGGGGAACGTTCGATCGAACTCTTTTCATGCCTCCCCATCTGCAGGATGCCGCATCACATCATCGTCTACCCGTTTTTCCTGATGCCATTTCATGTCTGTGGCAGTATGCGTCGACATATACAATCGCTGCAACCTAGGTTTCAGGGGCAAATAACGCATGACTTTTTGTGGGATCTTAGTCGTCCTATTCTGAGATGTCATCTTGAACCTCGACTCATTGCATATAGGACATGTATCCAACGATTCATGCTCTTTGTAGAATAACATGCAATTGTTTTTGCAAGCATGGATTTTTTCATAACCCAATCCAAGACCATTCAACACCTTCTGCGCCTGTTTATGGTCTTTCGGCAAACAATTGTCCGTCGGAAGCATTCTCTTGAAAACCCCCAAAAAGTAATCGAAACACAGGTTCGACATACGATACTTTATTTTTCCGTGCATTAGCTCCACAATGGCTGTGAGAACGGAAAAGCTCTCGCACCCCGGGTATAACTCTTGGTTGGCATTTTTTAACAATTTCTCATATTGTTCAAACTCCGCACTGTCTATTGGTGTAGGCACATCATCTTGCTCTTCTTGATTCATGTTGGTCGATGCAAATGGAAAAACATCCTGTATAATATCCATGACTTCATCATTAGCATCCACAATAGGTTGAACATTGTCCACTCTTGTGGCATTTGAAGACGAAGCATGCTCTAATTGTTCCCCGTGAAGGTTCCAAATGCTATATGTCTCAATCATTCCATTCCTTACTAAATGAAATCCAACATTTTCAATTGTCTCCCATAACGTGTTGTTGCACCTCCTACAAGGACAACGGATTCTAGTTGCACCCGGGTTGTGTCTACGTGCAAACTCAATAAAATCCTCGATTCCATCCAAGTATTCGTCTGCGCATCTGTTCGGGTTTTGTATCCACCTTCTGTCCATAATTCCTGAAACCAGAATCACAACACAACAATCACAACAACTTCATACGAAGTTATAATGTCACCTTATGCCTCCGGTAAGGGTCCTATCCCATTCGGGAATGCATACTCCTGCCACGTAACCTACGACTACATGAGATTAGATTTCGACGTGGATGAATTTCGCCAGCATCTCGCTACAGTTCTTGAGGTGGCCATAGGTATAAATACCTATGTACCACCCGAAGAACGTACCGAGATGACAACGAAATATCCACAATCGAAACCTAATCCTGTAGCCATAGATTACGTGACAACACTATGCATTACCAAACTGTCCAAATAATGGGACAATTCAAGAATTAATTGGACCGCAGTCATGCATTACGCATCCATGCACGAAATCCAACTAATCTCGAACGGGAAACTAAGTGTTACTAAACATAAAAATAAAAGCACAAAGTTAATTTCAATTAACTTCGTACATCACAACAGATTGTACTACGTTACGCACAACATAATATAAATATAACTTCACAAGAACATTTTAAACATATATAAAACAAATAAAATACCTTCTCAATCGTTCTCCACCAATCGCTAATTACAAATATCCCTAACGAAAACAAATTAAAAAACCTTAGTACGAACTTAAATTAATACTTTTAAACTAATGACGAAAAATACTTACCCAATCAATGTATTGAATTCCAGCAGCGGCAGAGAGGTTGAGAGAGAGGCAGAGGCAGAATGCTTTGTTTTTGCATTCTGCCCCTGCAATGGCAGAATTCTAATATGAAGAAGAAGGACTTTGCGCGACGAACATACTTATTCGTCGCGCAAACTTCCGTCGCAAAAAACCAAATCATCCGTCGCGCAAACCCATTTTTTCGTCGCGCAAACACCTGCCGACATCTAACTTTTGCGCGACGCTGGTACTTTCCGTCGCGCCACCTTTCGTCGCGCAAAATTGTCGCGCAAAAACAAAATTCCGTCGCGCAAAACAAGATATTCGTCGCGTAAACGTTGAACTTTACGCGACGAAATGTACTTACGTCGCGCAAAAAAAAATATCCCACCCAGGTCATTTTTGGCGCCAAAAAATAAAATATCTCTTGTTCTCTTACGCGACGAAACGTCTTTCCGTCGCGCTAAATAAGGGGACTGTCCTTTTTGCGCGACGGAGAATTTATTCGTCGCGCAATGTTACCTTTAGCGACGATATTTCTCATCGCGCAAATGTTTCGCGCTAAAAAAATTCCCCCCGCTTTTTTTAACTCTGTTTGCCCGACGAAAAATTGTTTTGTCGCACATATACATTTTGCACGACGAAAATTTTTGGTGGCGCAAATTTTCAGTGGATCGCGCGACGAATAGTTTATTTCGTCGCGCAAGTAGGGTTTGCGCGACGAGTTATTCTTCGTCGCGCAATCTTTCGTCGCGCAAATAGTAAAACGTAGTAGTGTATGCACATCCCAAAGCTTTTCACCAAGAATTGAATGGGATGAGAGAATGAGTAGACAACAAGTAAAGAGTGGTGCTACTAGCACCTTCACTTGATGTGATAGATTCAAGGGGTTAGGAAGAGAGAGTTTGATGTTTTCTCTCTTCCAATTTCACCAACTTGAAAAACCCTAAGATGATAGGATTCCATAGCTACACACTTATAGGATCAAACACTTCTAGTCCCACCTCCCCTTTTGTGTGTCATCTTTTGCTATCTTGTTCCAACAAATTAATCCTATAATGTGCCACATATGTGACTAAGTCCATATGGTCAAATCCCTCTTGAATTTTCAAGTTATATAGGACCTTTAATTAAAGTTTCATAACTTTAATTGAATAATTAAATTAATCTAATCGATTTAATTACTCTAGTGACTTGACTAATTCAATCACTCACTTGTCTAACGAGTGTTGGTCCCGGTCATCCTTAGTTGACCATGTCAAGTGTCGGGTCAATCATTTGACCTTTGACCTTTGAATTTTGACTTTGACTTTTGACTTTCACATTAACTTTGACCAAGTCACAAAATCATTCGTTCTCTTCATAATTTCCCAATCGATTCCTTTTCGGTGTGGAGTATGAATGATTCACTCTAAATCAAGTGTGAATTGTATCCCTCCATACAATTCTCTCTATTGGCGAAGGCTAATTATAATTAGTCCTTACAGGCCTTCCACAAGCCATGTTTCCGAAATTCAAAATTTTGTTTTCATACATCATAATCGAAGATAATGTTGCAATGGATTTTTAGAAATTTTATGCGCATTTTTCTGCTTTTTTTAATTCATTTTTTGTGAAATTTTTACGTTTAAAATACAAAAATGAACCTCTAATGACACATGTCGCCACACGATATGTCACTTGTCAGAAACTATGATGACACACCAATCTGGCGCTGCCATGTGTCATTATATTCCATGTATTAGTATTTCCAATGCCTTAACTTCCAACAATCATAATAAATTCATAAAAATTCACCAAAAATTCCCACAAACTCCCTGTCACATTTCCTTCATCTTTTAAGCTTTAAAATATAATTTTCACATGTACAAAATTCTAGTAATTTCTCAAAGTCAAGTTTGTTTCTATACTAACAATAATACTATGAAAATCATTACTCTTCTCACTACAACTCTTCCTCCAATTATTACTTACAATTTTCCAAAGTCAATTTTGTTTTCACACATCATTGTCGAAGAAAATGTGGCAACGGAGTTTTAGAAATTTTCGGCTTTTTTTTTTTCAATTTTTTTTTCATTTTTTGTGAAATTTTTAAGTTTAAGACACAAAAATGAACCACTGATGACGCATGTTGCTACGCAATACGTAGACCTGTCAAAAGCTTTGATGACACACCAATCTGACACTACCATGGTCTAAAATATCGATGATATCGGAAATATCGGTAGTCCAAAAACATGGAAATTTCTATGGAAATATCATAATATTATCGATATCGATAAAAATTGAATAAAAACCACGGAAATTGTAAGAAAAACTTGGAAATTTTTATTGAAACTGTGGAGAATGTTTATTTAGTCAATTATCTATTAGTTTATCAAAAAAAAATTAGAAGGAAATGCATTACATGATGGATTTAACTGATTTAATTTGATTATACAGCGAGTTGGCAAACACTATGAGTGTAGAAAATAGGTAGTAATTAATGAAAAAAAGATTAAACACACCATAATCATTTATATATAATGATTTACTACAATATTTTACACTTTATACATTGCATGGTAAGATACATGAGTGACTTAGTACCACATAGAGTTCTTATGAGGTTCAAATTTTTCACTATCTTCGTCATCTCTATGTGTAGAGTAAGTGTATTGTGAAGAGTATTCATCAAATGATAAATCCCCAAAATAGTTTTGCACGTAATTGTTAACATGCCACCCATATAAATATAAATATAAATATTTAGCATATTATCACTAAAACATATGTGATATATGGTGGTTAAGGTGTTGGAGGAGTAAAATGGGAGGGGTTTAAATCCCCTTTGTGTTTTTTTTCCCTCTCTTTTTCCCTTTTTTTTTTCTTCTTTTTTTTTTTTTTTTTTTTTTCTTTCTATATTTTCAATATTTTAGCGATATTACACCAATATTTTGACAAAATATTGCTGAAGTGTGAGCGAATTATCGACATCGATATTTTCCAATATTATCGTCAATATTTATACGATATGTACATGGATATGTTCCGAAATTTCCGTGATTCGAAAAAAAACCGAAATATCCTCGATATTTTGTCGATATTATCAATATTTCAGACTATGGACGCTACCATGTGTCATTCTCTTCCATTCATTAGTTTTTTTCCAATGGTTTAGGTTCCAAAAATCACAATAAATTCATGCAAAATCTGAAAATTTCACCAAAAAATCCCACAAACTTCTTAGTAAATACATATATATATATATATATATATTTATGAAGCTTTAGTGAATAGTAAATCATGTGATGTTGAAGGTCTAGCGAATCCTTTTGAAGCATTTATTGCTATTTCCAGTGATGTTATGTTGTTCTTCCTTCTTGTCTACCTTCCTACTTAGGGCCAGTTTGGAATTGCTATCACTTTTAAAAAAAGTTGTTTCCGCTGTGCTTTCAAAATAATTAGCTGTAAAGTAAAGCAGCTCCATGTTTGGTAAATAATTCATTTAAAGTGATGTTAGTATAAAAAGTAGTGTCAAAACCATTTGGTAAATTTTAATATAAACCTATTGTAACTGTGAATAATGACTCAAATATGGTGGGGAAAGAGGTGGTAGTGGAGGTGGTGGTGGGGATGGAGGTTGTGGAGGTAGAGGTGGTGGAGGTTGAGGAGGTGGTGGCGGGGATGGCGGTTGTGAAGGTGGAGGTGGAGGTGGAGGTGGAGGTGGTGGAGGTGGTGGTGGAGATGGAGAAGGAGGTGGTGGTTGTGGTGGTGATGGCGGAGGAGGATGTGGTGGTGGAGGTAGTGAAGGTGGTAGTGGTGGTGATGAATGTGGAGGTGGTGGTTGTGGTAGTGGTGGTGGTGTGGAGGAAGAGGTGGTGGTGGTGGTGATGGCTAAGTAGGATGTGGTGGTGGTGGTGGTGGAGGTGGTAGAGTTGGATGTGGAGGTGAAGGTAGTGTCATTTTTAAAAATTAATGACGGTATTTTGGGAATTTAAAAAATTCATTGAAGGCTTATCTCTGCTTCTTTTGCAAGTAACTTTGAAAAACAACCCAGAACCTGCTTTTAAAAGTTGCTGTCAAAACGCTACTGCTTTTAAAATAATCGAGATATTTTATTTTTACCAAACACTGCTTAACTTTAAAGTGAAGCGGTTTTTTGACAGGAAAAAAGAAAAGCAATCCCAAACCGAGCCTTAGTAGCCAAGAAGTCAATACCCGCTTTGCACCAACAGAAATCAACAAAACCGGAGTTTCTATGTTCTCCATTTCTCATATCGGGTATGTTGGTCACATCTGACGGAACTATGCTTATCTTTGACACACAGCATATTGATCTCACAGCTGATCCACTAACATGCTCCCCAAGCAATTTTGATGCAGACCAATTCTCAACACCTGGCATATACCTACCTAAGTGATCATTAGACAATTAGTTAGTCTTTTATAAGCACCTAATAAATCACTCAGTTTTGCCACCCAGGCGGGTTCATATGTTAAATAAATATCATGCATATATTCATTTTTATGTAGGCTACAACATGCATGTATACTGTCAGCTCTGTTCTCAAGGATAACAAAAGTGTAAATACATTCAATTATTTTTCGCTTTACAATTTTATTTTTAAATTTCAAATATTAAATAGCTAATAATTATAATCATACGGTACCTAGTCAACCTCACAGTTCTATCTTCACACCCAGTTGCGATCCAACTAGATGCAGAGAAGAGGTTTGAAAACTTGCTAGACGACGGCGAATTCCCGTCGTATATGGCTCTTTTTGTAGTAGTGTCAGTTATTAAGCTCCAAATAATAAAATCCACTGATGCAAAACCAGCAGCACAATGGCAGCTTGACAACTCATTGACAGAGCTATTATCAGTGGAGACGGATTGAATAACACTCAACTCCTTCACTTGCTTCATCCCTATAAACTCTAATGTCTATTGCTTCACCCCTGTAAACTCTAATGTCTACTGCGGCTAAGCTTTAAAATATAATTTTGACATGTAAAATTCAAATAATTTCTCAAAGTCAAGTTTATTTTGATGCTAACAATAATACTATGTTGAAAATCATTAATCTTCTTTACAACAACTCTTCCTCCAATAATTACTTCAAATTTTCGAAGGCCAAAATTTTATTATCACACATCATAGTCGAAGATAATGTTGCAAGGAGTTTTTCAAGAAATTTTCGGTGCATTTTTTTCATTTTTTATTCATTGTTTGTGAAATGACACGTGGCGCTACACGATACTAACACCTGTCAAAAACTTTAACGACGCACAATTCAAGTGTCACCACTTGTCATTCTCTTACATTTATTACTATTTTTGTATACTTTAACTTCCAAAAATCAGAATAATTCATTAAATAACATGAAAATACACAAACTGCTTGCGACACTTTGTACATCTTTTGGGTAAGAGGTATTCTTCAATTGTGATAGTTTGCTTTGTTGTATGTATTCAAACTTCCTCAAAATGTTTTCATTGGTGTGTCTTGAGTTCAATACCAACAAAAATTTTTAAATGACAAGAAATTATGAAAATCTTATACATAACAGACATAGAGTTGAACATAGCTAGAGTGTATATTTAGAAGATGTCATTGTGCTTCAAATTAGCATATTTGTGGGGTGAAAGCACAATGGTTGACATGTCATTCTGCATATGATGAAAATAATTGATGACTTTGGATGGAAGTATACTCATTAAATATCTTAGATTCTATCAATTAATGAAATATTTGCCTTCGAGAGCTTCATGTTTTTCGGTTTGTTTATCTTATATTCTATAAATGAATGAAATATTTTGGTAGATTGGAGAGACTAGTCAGCTAGTGGATTTTGGATCATGACTTTTAAAGGGGGACTAGGCTTGAGCAACTGCAAGAGTAAAAGGGATGATGCTTCATGTAAATTCAACAATTAAATAGGAGATTTTTGTTTTCAATTTGTTTATCTTGAGATATTTGGTCATTTTTAAGATTACGTGAAATAAAAAACTTGTATTGAATATTATTGTATAGGAGACTATGTAATTATTTTGATACCATTAAATAAAATTTTAATTCAATTTACTTGAAAACTTTGGGATCTTGAGCAAGATACGGTAGTCACGTATACGACAGTTTTGAAACATAAAAGACGACAATGTAAGAATGGTGAATTTTAACGATATCATGTAGATTATAAAGTGGCAATAGACATGCAATACAAAAGCAATACAAAAGCAATATAAAAGCAATAAACAAGCAATAAAGCGGCAATAGACAACCAATGCAAAAGTAATAAAATGGCAATAAACAAGTACCATATGGATGTCTTTGTACTCTCTTTTCCATATTATATATTGTTCTAATTGTTGAACTATTACAATATTCAGTTGCTACATATAATAAATAGTACATAAAAAATAATGACCATGTATGAAAATTTCATATCATTATAATAATGACCTCAAAAATAATATCAAGTACATTACACAAATATTAGAAACATACGGCTCCATAGGAAGAATACATGATATCTTAGATGTCCTTACTAATTCTTGGGGCCTAATAACAAGTATAATCAATGATGTGTACAGTTTGCTTAGCATTTTCATAATAGAAGCTTTGCTTTTGTCTACAGAAGGCATCTCAATGAACTCCTTGTCTACACATTACATTATGCACAAAATGGTCTCCAATGCTAGTGTATGACTTGCACATCAGTGTCTACACAAACCAGCTAAAACACATTATGTGCACATGAAAAAACTGTTATAATCCATGACATACCGCTACATTATAGGCAGCAGCCTTCACGCCACACCTACAGAGATAGTTTGCGATGCTCGATGTTCCTTTTCTAGTAGGAACATACGATGATGGTTGACCCTTTCTCTAAAGGCTCCTGCTGCACAAGTGTTTGTCTTTCTTCCGGTTTATTTGGCAGATCAATAATTTCAGAATTCCAGTTCCCAAAGAGATTGTCCACAGAATTCACCGCAGCAAGTATGAAAAAAGATCCGCACATTGAACAATAATCATGTTTGACATGCTATCAATTTTATTTCAGATACCAGAACTTGAAAATTACAATACCAACCCAATCATTCACACTCTGGAAGATGTCAATGTCATTTTCCAAGTACTCAACTGACAACTCCCTTCCTTTTGAGGAACAAGCTCATCTCTTGTTACAACAACAAATTACAAACACCAAGACATGATTCAGAATCTCATAAACAATTGAGAAACAAACGCATATTCGCACATAATCACTACTAGTATAAATCCCTAAACACTAAAAAAAATTCAGAAAATTTGCCCTAATTCCTATATAAATCGAAAATATATACAAAAAGATAATGATTTTCACAGATAATTTACAATAAATACCTAAATATTTTAACCCTAAATCAAATTAGGGATATAGAAATTGAATTTTCAAAACACATAGAAATAATTCTAAGAGAAGAAAGAACAGTTGTTGTTGGAGTTTTACAGAGTAGCAGGTTTACTTGCACAGAAAGTTGATGAGAAAATATTTAAGAGAGAAAAGAGAGAGAGGTGTTGAAAGAGAGAGAGAGAGAGAGAGAGAGAGAGAGAGAGAGAGAGAGTCTGTTAGGCAATGATTGTAATCATGCACACACTCATTGTGTGATCTCATTTCAGTGTCAATATATTCTTCTAACTAGTACAAAAAACGACTCAGCCAATACACAGTTGTACCAGCCTGTGAGCTGTACACTTGGCATGAATCTGGACCTATAAGTCCAACAAAATGTGATAGCATATGAGCCATACACCTGGCTAACTAACAATTTAAACCTGAAAACAATTTATACTTCAACATTCCCTTCTAAATTGTTGATTGGTTTAACACCAAGCAATCCTCTCAGATAGTTGTACCGATCTTTGGGCAGAGCTTTAGTGAAAATGTCAGCCACTTGTTCTTCAGACTTGCAGTACCTCAAGTCCACTACCCCATCTTGCAAAGCATCTCGAATGAAATGATATATGCGGTTAATATGTTTAGTCTTTTGATGAAAAACTGGATTCCTTGTCATTGCAATGGCAGATGTGTTATCTACCATTAATAGAGTTTCATCAGTATGCAATTCTCCAAAGTCCTCAAGCACAAACCTCAGCCATATAGCCTATGTAGTAGCCTCACTTGTGCTAACATATTCAGCTTCAATCGTGGAGAGGGCTACTGTGTTGTGTGACTGATACCCAAGAAAATACTCTACTGCCAAAAGAGAAAGCATAGCTAGAAGTGCTTCTCATGTCATCTTGGTTTCCACTCCAATCACTGTCACAATATCCAATTATGATGGCCTCTTTTCCCTTCTGATATTCAATACCAAAATCAATGGTGCCTTGAATATACCTCATCACCCTCTTAGCTGTTCCATAGTGTTTCTTTGTTGGGCAATGCATGAACCTAGCTAATAAGCTAGCTGCAAACATTATGTCAAGTCTTGCAGCTGTCAGATACAATAAGCTACCCACAATTTGTCTGTATTCATTCTCATCTACAGGTTCACTTCCATCATCCTTGCACAGTTTCTCACTTGTCACCAGAGGAGTACTAATTGGCTTACATTGTTTCAAACCAAACTTGCTCAATAATGCCAGTGCATATTTCTTTTGGTTTATGAAAATGCAAGTTTTAGTTTGAATTACTGCCATACCAAGAAAGTGATATAACATACCTAAGTTAGTCATTTCATACCTTCTAATCATTTCAATCTTGAATTCCGCAATTAATTCTCCATTGCTACCTGTATACACAATGTCATCAACATAGATTGAGACAATTAGAGTTCCAGAGTCTTTCTTAGTCTTGCAGTCCAATGAAGCCTCACTTGTGCTTCTGACATAACCACAGCTAATGAGATAGGAATTTATTTCCTCATACCGGGCTCTTGGAGCCTATTTTAAGCCATACAAGGCTTTCTTCAACTTGTACACCTTATCTTCGTAGTGTGTGATCACAAATCCATCAGGTTGATCTACATAAACTTCCTCCTTAAGCACACCATTTTTGAATGCAAACTTGACATCTAACTGGTATAGTTTCCACCCCTTTTGAGCTGCCAAAGCTATGAGAGTTCTAATTGTGTCAAGTCTGGGCACAGGAGCAAAAGTCTCATTGAAATCAATTCCAGGCTTTTGTGCATAGCCTTTGACCACAAGCCTAGCTTTATGCTTCTGTATTGAGCCATCAAGGTTCAATTTGGTTTTATAAACCCATTTAACACTAATAATAGGTTTATCACTTGGTCTATCAACTAGTTCCCAAGTCTCATTTTTCTCAATCATCTCCATGTCTATCTCCATTGCTATCTTCATTGCCTTTTGCCAAGCCTTATCCTTTGAAGCTTCTGCAAAATTCTCTGGCTCAATGATGCTCATATTGCATCTAGCATAGATCTCAGTGATGTCTCTGAGCTTCACAGGTGTAGAACTTGGTGAATTACCTGGTGAATTAGCATTAGTAGCATCTGTAGTCACCTGAACTGGACTAGAGATGATATCAATCATTGTTTCTTCATATTCCTCTTCAGAGCTTCTGGATGTATCTTCAAACCTCATTGGAACTGAGATAGAATCAACAGTTTGCTTGTCCCAATCCCATAATGAATTCTCATCAAAGGTCACACCTCTAGATGTACTGATCTTTTTGGTCTGCAAATTGTATACTCTGTACCCTTTTTCACATTTGCCAAAGCCAACAAAAATGCATGTTACAGCTGAGTCTTCTAGTTTAGATCTTAATTGACTAGGCACATGGCAGAAACAGATAGAGCCAAACACTTTGAAATGCTTAATTCTAGGTTTTCTTCCACTAAAAGCTTGAAAATGAGTGATAGTGTCTAAAGCTTTTGTGGGGCATCTATTATGAATATAGACAGCTATATTCACTATCTCTCCCCAGAATTTGTATGGTAGTTTCTTCTCTTTCATCATTGTCTTGCTCATCTCTACAGTGGTCTTGTTCTTTCTCTCAGCAACTCCGTTTTGCTGAGGTGAGTAGGCCACAGTTAGTTGGCGTTCCAAGCCAATTTCTTCACAAAACTGCAGAAATTCAGTGGAAGTATATTCTCCACCTCTGCCACTTCTAAGTTTCTTGATTTTGTAGCCACTTTGTACTTCCACCATAGCCTTAAATTTATTGAAAATGTTAAACACTTCTGACTTAAATTGCAGAAAATACACCCAACACATTCTAGTATAGTCATTGTAGTATACACCCAGCACATCTGAATGAACCAGTTCCAAAGGTACACTAGCTCTCCAAGTTTTCTCTTTACCAAAGGCCTCCCTGTGTGATTTTCCACTTGCACAGTCTTGGCAAAGTCTGTCTGCATTGCCAATTTCAGGCAACCATATACCAGCTCCTGTTGTTGTAACAACTTCAAACTCTGCATATTCAAATGACCAAACCTCCTATGCCAACACCAAGTGGATTCTTCAACTGTTGCTTTCATAGCCATAGAGTTTGCATGTTTTAGTGAGAGTGGAAAGCATCTGTTTCCTGTCATGGAGACTTTTACCACCAAATTTTCCATGGAGCTGTCATCAAATATCTCCACCATAGAATTGCCAAAAACCATACAGTATCCATACTCTACCATTTGACCTACACTAAGTAAATTTTCATCCAATCTTGGTACAAGCATAACCTCTTTAATATATCTAGGCCCAGCTTTAGTGTCAATCACCAAAGTGCCTTTACAAGTTGCTTGCACTAAGTCTCCTGTGCCCATTTTCACTTTCGTAGTGACCTTAGTATCAATATTAACTAGGAGAGATGCATTGGAGGTCATGTGATTGCTAGATGCATTGTCCACATACCACACACCATTATTCTTTACAACTGCAGCAACATGACAAGCATAGAACATGATACCTTCTTCTTTTTGTGTGATGCATAGTTAGTCGTTTGATCAGATTTTCCTCTGCATTCTTTGGCTATATGACCAAACCTCTCACATTTGTAACATTTTGGTTTACCTTTGAACCAACAGACACCATAGTGCAACTTGTCACAGGTTTTGAAGGGAACCTTTGCTCCTTCAGTCTGATTTTCCTTCTTGGAATTATTGTCAGACTTTGAGTCCCACTTCTTCCCTTTCTGAGATTTCCAATTCTTCTTAGACTTGGAACTACATGCCTGCCCTGTGTTTGATTGGTCCTTAGAACTCACATTCAGGCTAGAGAATGCCTTCTCGGTCACTCTCTCATTATGCCTTTGCAGTCGTTGTTCATGAGATTTTAGAGAGCCTATAACCTCCTGAACCCCTATAGATTATGTATCCTTTGTTTCCTCTATAACTTCAACAATGGAATCATATTCTCTGGATAAACTAATCAAGAGTTTCTTAACAATTCTTTGTTCAGTTAACTCTTCACCATAAGCCTTCATTTGGTTTACTAGCTCAAGCAGTTTAGTGACATACCCAAATAATGATTCATCATCATGCATACGAGTGTATTCAAATTCTCCTTTGAGATCTTGAAGTTTCATAGATCTCACCTTCTAATCACCTCTGAACTCTTGTTGCAGGATTTCCCATGCTTCCTTGGCTAACTCTTTCAATGCAATTCTGGGAAAAATGTCATCAGAAATTGCACCTTGGATCAGTCCCAAAGCTTTAGGATCCTTTGCAACATTCTCTTCCAAAGCAAGCTTTTGAGCTGTAGTCAGAGCTTCTCCTTCTTCCTTCTTCACAAGTTGCTCATACCCATTTTCAACCATATCCCACAGCTTGTGAGATTTGAAGATTGTGCACATCTTTATTCTCTAGAAATCGTGGTTGCTTCCATTGAAGATGGGAGCACGAAGCTCACCCATTCCAGATCCAGCCATGTGAGACAAGATATAGCTTTCCTCAGTTGGATTGCTATGATTTCACGACGCCCAGTCTAAGATCGCAACCTGGACTCTCGATACCATGTTGGAGTTTTATAGAGTAAAAGGTTTACTTACACAGAAACTTGATGAGAAAATATTTCAGAGAGAAAAGAGAGAGGCGTTGAAAGAGAGAGAAAGAGAGTCTGTTAGGTAATGATTGTAACCATGTACACACTCATTGTGTGATCTCATTTCACTGTCAATATATTCTTTTAACCAGTACAAAAATGACTCAGCCAATACACAGTTGTACTAGCCTGTGAGCTATACACTTGGGATGAATCTAGACCTATAAGTCCAACAAAACGTGATAGCATATGAGTCATGCACCTGGCTAACTAACAATTTATACTTCAATAGTTTTTACCTATGGAAGGAAGGGAGGCTCTCATGGACAGAGAGCGCCAGAGACAGCGAGAAAAAGAGCGCCAGAGAGAGAGAGGGAATCGTCGATGCCAAAACCAGTCTACGGAAAAACATATCACGATCCCAAACAACAACAAAGGCTAAAATACTGAAATAGCAAAATAGAGTAATAGACCCAAGTACTAGGGAAACATTCCTAAACAGAGCCAAGGCCCGTCACTCTACCTCCTAGACTGGCGGGCAAGGAAGGCCATCGTGAGAAAGAATGAACATACAAAAATAAAAATAGTTAAAATTAAAATTTGGATTCTAAGAAATATATTTGAAGGTTGGAATTCTAAAAACTAAAAGATTTTCTTGGGATTCATAGATGTCTCAGGGTATCGATATCGGTGTTTGGGTACTACGTGCATGAAGGAGGTGAAGGAGATGGGAAAATGTGAACAGTAACTATTATCAACCCTAACCCAATCGCCACTAACACCGAGAATAAACAGGTGTGAGAGAGAGAGAGAGAGAGAGAGAGAGGAAAATTTGTTGGAGAGGAACAAGAGGGAGTCTGAATAAAAGAGATTTTATATTTAAACCCCGCACTTCTCTTTGTTCAACCCAATACTTAAATCATTAAACTGTCAGTTTTATTACAGTGTGAAAAGACAAAAACAGTCATCCAACTAAATACTTAACTCTAGTACATCTATGCACACACCCCACCACTCTTCATATTAAGTTTTAGAAAAATACAAATTCCTCACCACTCTTGATATCCTTGAGATGCAATGCATTAAAGCACCGTGTGCAGCTAGACAATTAGGCTCCATAACTGTAGAAGATTCTTTCCAAGGCTTGAAGAGAAAGATTAGTCGTGACAAAATCTCATGTATACTACAAATACTTTTGCTTCAAACTGATGCCTAGCACAAGAAGAAAATCTCATGTATTTTTGCTTCAAACTGATGCCTTCAAACCGTCCTTAACCTAATGCCTAGCGCATACTTTTGCTTCAAACTTTCACCCCAAACAAAATCTCATGTATGCTACAAATATTGTTTAATGATTTAAATATTGGGGTGCACAAAGAGAATTGTGGAGTTTAAATAAAAAAATCTTTTTTATTTCTTATTTTTTTCAGTTTGGGGTGTATTTAAGGGTAGTTTGAGAAGATAGTGGGGTTTTCTTAGAAATTGTGAAAATTTAAATTAAAAGTTGGGGTGAACTAAGAGAAGTGTGGGGTTTAAAAAGAAAATCTCAAAAATAAATAAATAAAACAAGCGGAATTGGAAAAGGTGTGCAAGGACATGTGCGGTAAGCGGAAGTGTAGCGTACCCATTTCTATTGTAAGCTCTCTTTTTCTCTCCAGCCATTGAGATCACTTTGACTGTGACATCTCGACCCAATTTTAACCATTTAATTTATCTGTATGATTTATTTTATTTAATTTATTTAATTGAGAAATTACAATTTTGCCCTCTAGTAAGGTCACGATAGTCACTTTTCTATATGCAGGGATTTTTGGGATTTGAGTAACAATGTTGCGTAGAGCGCGTTGATATGAGTTCGTAGACACATAGTGGGCTCAATGCAAGAAGTTACGGTCAACGGAAGTGTAGTGGCACCCCCGTAAATATTTCAAAGTTAGATTTTTTTTTATAAAAAAAACTCTCTCTCTCTCTCTCTCTCTCCTCTCTCTCTCTCTCTCTCTCTCTCTCTCTCTCTCCTCACGACAAACAGTGTCAGTCTATTGACCGGTGACAACATCTCCCTCCGGCCATAGTTGGCCACGAGACCGGTCCCAAAATAACTGGCTCGACTCCCTCTTCGCATCCCACCCCTTCTCTGGTGAAACCCATAGCCCCGGTGCCTGCAGTAGCTCGAAAATCGTCCAGTTTTCTCTCAAATTTTCCGTCATTGTTTCTGACGATTCCCGGCCACCAATTTTGTCTATCCAGGTATACTTTTTCATCTATTCAATGTGATCTAGTTGATGGTTGGATTGGTTAGGATCGATTTTGAAGTTTTGAAGCTCGATTTAGAATCTAAGTTTTGACTTGTTTTTTGCTTGAATTTTCGACAAGCTCCAGCCACTTTTTGGCCATGGTCCAAGAACAAAACTTTCTCTCCTAGTTGTCACGAACACGTAGGTGTAGGTATTGTTGGGTGTTTCGAGAATTTTTCGATCCCTAGAATTTTCTCAAGACACCCCTCTTTGCCGGCATGTGGGCCAAGGTTAGGTGGCCCATTTGGTTCTAAAAGGTTTCTCATGTTATTCCTATTAGGCGATGTTCGGGTTCGATATGTTCGGACCTTTGGATCGACTCCATTTCCAAGTATGTTGATCTAGGTACTTTCAGGATTGTGTAGGAACTCACGGATCGAGAATCAGAGTGTCGGATACTCTGAATCAATTATTCAAAGATTACGTAAAACGATGACTGTCTGATCATGCAATCGAGAGCGATCTGACCACTCAATCTAGACCAAACTTGCAGGATGTGTTTAGTAAACTTTGTTGAACCCGTAGGAACTTTTGGATTGGAAATCGTAGGTCGTGGGCTCGGGTGACCAAAAATGAGAAGTTTGACCAACTATTGACTACGGGTCTTTTGAGACCGTCTCATCCTTTAGGAAGGTACTAGAATGGCTTCAGGACCTTTCCAAGGTTTTATATATTTATATATTGTTATTATTATTATCATTTTATTTTGATGATAGTTATTATAATTCACTTATGGTGTGATATAGGGGTTTGGTGTCAGTAAGAATCTAATTAAATTTTGATTATATGTTTACACTCAAATATATGTATATGTGTTTGGGTTATGGGTACATTGGATAGTGATGCGAGGTTTATAAAGGTTGTCTTGGAAAGTGAATAATAAAGGTTATGAATTCTGGTTTGCTGAATGGTATATTATACGTTTGTGGAATTGATTTGAGAACGAATGTTGAAAGTTATGGGTGATCTAATTCAAACTAGTGAATTTTTAGGATGGAATACGTGATTATGGGAACTTCAGAAATGGTGACTTTGGGTATGATATGGATTTTGGTTTTGGTGTATTAGTTTATGTGGTTATCGGACTTTGAATTTCAATATCTTTGAGAATTTTGGAATTGGTATGTATATATTGATGGGCTATGGTTTTGGGAATTTTAAATATGGTATTTTGGATTTCATTATCTTGTCTTATGGGATTTTCAGGGGTTGTATATTTCCTAAGTATATGAATAGTGTTTGAATATTAATAAAATCGAATGGGCTTATTTAGTTTTGGTGTTTTTCTTAATTATGGTTTTAATATGGTTTCAAAAGGGAAGTGTGGATGTTATTTTATTATATATGTTTATGTTATATGGAAACGATTTGTTTCACCATTTCATCCCCTCCCCCCCCCCCCCCCCCCCCCCCCCCCCCCCCCCCCCCCTCCCCTTTATATACTGGAAATGATGGATAATGGATACTTGGAAACTGTGGTTGTGGTTTGGATATGATCAGAACACGGGTACCCTTGGTGGGGTGTTTCATAAACCCTTAGGGGGGTAGTCTATGCGCGTAGGAATTGTCACAAGCGCACGAGTACTGAGGATTCTGATGTGCGTGCTAGGAGCCCAGTCTCCATGTTGGACGGCTCGTCCCTATCCACATGGTTGTTGAGGATTCCTTCGTGTGGTTCAGCCAAACGATCCCTGGTTGGATTGTTTCCCCTCCTTGGCACTTGGATACTTGGATATGTCAGAACCCTGGGCACCCTTGGCAGTGTGTTTCATAGATCCTTAGAAGGGTAGCATGTGCGTGTAAGACTTGTCACAGCAGCACGAATATTGAGGATTATGCTGTGTGTGCTGGGATCCCAGTCCCCCTAGTTGGACGACTTGTCCCTAGTCAAACGATCCCCGAATTAGATTGTTATCCCCTGTTACATGATGATGGTGTGAGGTGTGTGTGTGTGTGTGTGTGTGTGTGTGTGTGTGTACATATTAAATATATATGTGTGTGAATTTGTTTTCGAGTTGAGATTCTTGAACTTGTACTTCGTGAGTACTTTACACAGACATGAATGTTTGATTTATGGTTTTGAAAAGGTTGTTCGGCAACATACGCCTTGGATAGGATATGGTTACGGGAAAAACTGATAAAAGGAAGGGAACTTGTAAAGTGTTCAGTGTATGCCTTGTCGAATTTGATGTTGTAAATGAATCTAAATTTAATTGCTAGTATTTCTTTAAATAATCATATATTATCTTAATCGTAATTGTTGACTTAACAACTACGTGTGGCTTGATCCCTCACAAAGGGATACATAGGTAGCCTGGGGTTTAACCTAGGTGCAACCGCAAAAATAAACTGTTTGAGCTGTGCTTATAATGTTCTAAGTGTGGAAATGAATTTTAGAAGAAGAAAGGTCTTCCCTCATTACTGTTACGATAAGTGTTACGGATGTATGGATTTACAAATGAGTTCAAAAGCAAGAATGTTTTAGAAAATGTTTGGTTATGAGGTTGGAGGCCTGTTTGTTTATTGCATGTAACGTACTTTGTGCATGCTGAAGTTCGGTGATTTTAAACTATGTTTTTGACAGGTTGAAAATTTTGGTAAAGAACGTTTTTCAGGGAAAACTTTGCCGAAATTTCGGTAGAAGTCTCGGCCCTCTTTTCCTTTGTTTTTGGGGAAGAGGATGTTTGAAACTAGTAAGTGGGCCCGTCATCGATAGGATGTCGAAAAAACCACATGATCTGTCACAGATTCTAAGGAATTCAGGGCAGGTCCTGTCATTGATGGCTGAGATGGAGCCGCAAGTAAAAAGGACTTCCAACCTGAGCCGCGTGCATCACGATAAAGGCACTTTAGTTTAGCTTGTGTTTTTTTCTTTATAAGAGTCCAATTTTCTGTTCTTTCTTCTTGTTCTATTTTTTCCCTTTTCAATACTTAGAAGCATCTTCAGCAGACTCTCTATCCTCTCATCCCAAGCTACTTTGGCTATAAAAAAAAATAGGAAATCCTCCTTCCAGGAGACTCCCTACTTGGCTCTTTACATCTAGAGAGGAGTAGAGAGAATTTGGCTGGGAGGAAAGAGAAAAAAGGGTAGAGAGTTAGAGACATTTGGGAGGTTGATGGGGTTGGGTTTCTACTTTTCTTTTTAATACATTTGATTTGCAAGAGAAAGAGGGAGAAAGAGAAAATAAAAATAAAATATTTCATATTAGCCAAAATAGAGAACATTTCTGCAGGAAACACCTTTTAAGTGGTTTGCTATCATAGGTTTCTAGCTATTTTAGCTAGAATTTTGCTAAATTTTGGAGACTCTCCTAGAGATGCTCTAACATTTCCACCATAAAGGGTAAGGGCAAGGCAAAGACAAAGCAATGTTTGTCACTATTCACGTGAATAGTGGCAGCCCTTGCCTTTTTTGTTTCCACCTCTATGGCAAATTCAAGGGCAATTACTATTCACTTTAATTTATTTTCTTTTTTTATATATAAACGATTAATTTTGATAAGATTTTCAGTTGTCATGTGTTACTATTTATTATAAAATTTTCACCTAAAATTTCAGATAACATTTTCGGATAAGATTTTTAGTTACCACATATCCATATTTTGTTATAACATTCATATCTCAAATTTCATATAAGATTCTCGGTTGCCATGTGTCGATATTTATTATAAAATTTTAATCTCATATTTCAGATAAGATTTTCACCTTCTAAAATTATGTCGCATGTCATCTCTATCTTCTAAATCCCTCTATAAAACTACACCCTCAACTCAAACCTCTCACACCATATCTTATCTATCCTTTCAAATCTCAGATTTTGCAAAACACATCATACTCTCAATGTCTAACCTGAGGAGGGTGTTGGAGAGGCAACAACTAGAAGATGAAATTGAATAAAACTACATTTAGAAATATTTTACCTTGCCACCAAGATTTTGACTGCTTCGAATGTTGTCCCTCGCTTTTGCCAACACATCTCTCCATTTCCCTAATTCTTTATTCAAAATTTTCCACCTACCAGCCAATGGCATTTCCGTATGAGCCGAATCCGTTCTTTCACAAAATTTTCCATGAATTTTTCTCCACATATGAGAGGAGTTCATCTCATTGCCCGTGATCAGGCAATGACCAACTTTGACCCAACACTTACACAACAAAATATCTTCCACGGTTGTCCACACGTCTCTGTCTTCGATGGAAAAGGCCATCTATATTTTTACACAAATGGAATTTAATAGTAGAAAATTTTGTGTGGAAAGTGAAAAATATTGGAATGAGATGAATTTGTATGAAGATTTGGTGTGGAAAGTGAATAATATTGGTAGGTATTTATATAAAAAAAATTCAAGAATCTTTTACAAATTTTAACACATTTTTTTGATTTTTTTAGCCAAAAAAAGGACAGTCGTTGGAGTTGACAAGATTTTTGGATCGGAGGCTCCAGGAGAAACCACGTGGTTTGTAGTCGTTGGTTTCTAGCAACTGTGGGTCAGTGCTGACCTCAGGCTAGCGCTAGCGCAAGAAATCCAAAAAAAAATTACTATTCAAATGCATTGACATTAGCAGCCCGAAGACAAGGAGACGGGCTGGATCTCCCCATGGACTTGCCCGGGCTGGCTCTTGCGTGCTGGAGTTGCTTCCAGGGCCTATAGCCCAATCCTACTGCGCGCTGGAGATGCTCTTAGACCCTGCCAAATAGTCAAACGTGAGCTAGTTTTGTACACCTGCATAATTGAATATTAGGAAATAAAATATATATGCACTGCACACATTGGAGACATACCAGCAAGCTCGTATTTCAATAGGATAGAATAGATAGACTATTTCTTTTTCTTAATATCTCTCACATTGAAATTGCAGAAACGTCCAAGTTCCTCCCATCATGAGCTTTCCTTGAAGGTGAGCAGTGAGAACCGGGATATATCATTTTCATTTGCAGCTGAAATTACAGAAGCTCTTTCTTGAGGGGGCTAGAAAGGAACTAACCACACGGACATGGCTGCCAAGACAGAGTTAGGATCCCTAACTGTCCAAGAGCTGCTCGGAAAAGGCAAAGGGGAACAAGTGCCTGAGAAATATATCCATAAAGTTGGAGCCCCAAATGCTTCTTCCGCCCAGTTGATGGATATTCCAGTCATTGATCTTGGCCTCCTCCTCACACCTTCCTCAATCACTGCACAACAACTTGAGAAACTTCGATCAGCTCTTACCACATGGGGTTGCTTTCAGGTCTGAATTCAAACATATTCAAATACCCAATTTAATGAATTAGCAAACTTTTGTGTTTAGTTCAGAAAACTTGGTACAAGTGATCTAGATTTCCAAGCATATCCCAGGATCAGGATGCTGTGTTATTATTATATTAAATTTGGTTTTTCCCTCTGTTTTGTTTGATTTGACCCATCCACCTATATGTAAAACATGTTTGAAACTCTGTGTTCCAGGTAATAAATCATGGCATGACACCTGAATTCCTAGACGAGGTCCGCGAAATGACCAAACAATTTTTTGCACTTCCAGTGGAAGAGAAGCAGCAATACTTGAGACAAGTCAACGATATTCAAGGATACGGGAACGACATGGTTTTTTCAGAACAACAAACACTTGATTGGTCTGACCGGCTATACCTTTCTGTATATCCAGAAGAGCACCGAAAGCTCAAATTTTGGCCTCAAGATCCCAAATCTTTTAGGTAACTTGTGTTTGCCATACATCTTCTTCCTTCACACTGAAACAATAACCATATCTGATCTCTCAGAGTTCAACATATATTATTACTGCAGTGAAACTTTAGACCAATATACGATGAAGTTACAAGTGGTAACAAAAACTGTCCTGGAGGCCATGGCAAGGTCATTGAATTTGGATGTTAATTGCTTTCGGGACCTGTATGGAGAACAAGGGAAAATGGATGTGAGGTTCAACTTTTATCCTCCTTGTTCAAGGCCTGATGTTGTCCTGGGTGTGAAACCGCATGCAGATGGAACAATAATCACCCTTCTCTTGCAAGACAAACAAGTGGAAGGTCTTCAGTTTCTTAAAGACGATCAGTGGTTTAGAGCTCCCATTGTTCCTGAGGCGCTTCTCATTAATGTCGGTGATCAGGCAGAGGTAAATTAAATGTTCTTTCTCAACCTGTTCATTTATTGGTTTTAACCTTTAAAGCAATGCCTAAAGAGTAAAGCTTAAATTGTAATTTGGTGTGTGATTGAAAGCTTAATAATGGCCAACGGGTCAAGCATAGTGAAAAAGGGTCTTGACTTGCACACCAGTAGTCTTAGGATCGAACCCTATGACACCTTTGATTGTTCGTTTCCTTGTGATACGCAGATATTGAGCAATGGAATATTCAAGAGCCCTGTACACAGGGTAGTGACAAATCCAGACAAGGAGAGGATCTCTTTGGCTGCCTTCTGCATCCCAGAATCAGATAAAGATATTGAACCCTTTGAAAGCCTGGTCAATGAGTCAACGCCAGGATTGTACAAAAAGGTAAAAAATTATGTTGGCATCTATTTCGAATACTACCAGCAGGGGAAGAGACCAATTGAAGCAGCAAAAATTTAAACTTACCCTTATATTTCTCTCTGACCGTACATATGCATGGGGGTGGATGCATGACACTCAGTTTGTTACATAAGTCTTGGCACAAGTTTTGCAATATTGGATTAATACACTATAAATGGTTGAGATTAAATCTCACAACTAATTTATTCGTTTTAATAAATTATGAAGAGACATAAGCTGCCTGCAAACGTTTTCCTCCTTTCTGTTTGAGGCAATTAACTTTTGATTGCCAAATCTACTTTATTTTTATTTTTTTTCATAAATGGTTATTTAGCATTACTCTAAGCAATGAAACTACTGCAATGATACTCCTTAAATTTCTTAGTGAAACTGAGTTGAACTTTCCTCTCTGAATCATGAAATTCCAGAAAACTACTCGATAGTTAGTAGAGTTTTGATCAACTTGAAGGCTGTTAATTTGACTATTAAGTTTGTGTAGAGACTGATAATCTGCTTCCAATTGATTATCACATCTCTGGTTCTGTTTCTTCTTCTGAGCAAGTAGAGATAGATAGTGATCAAATCTGGCTGCAGACACTGAATGGTTTTGAAATCAAGAAAATAACTTATTTTAACAGCCCCTGTAACATTATGTCTTTTAAGCCAATTTTTTTCCAATTAGCGTTGGGAGAGGATATTGGAAATCTCTTTCAACATTAGGAAAAAAAAATACTAATTGTGTCGATAAAATCTATTGTAATGTGTCGATAAAATCTATTGTGATGTGATTTTAGTTGTGAAGTAAATAAGATGAACATTGGGTAAATTTTATTTAAAACTCAAACTGAATAAATATAAAAACTTATATTTCACTGTAAATCGATGACGTTTCTTCTATTATTGGTTTGGCCCCAATTGTCACTTGTGCATGAAAGGGATGCGCTGTTGGCTGGTGACCGTAAGCATGCAGTGCCACTGTCCATGAGAGTGATGCAAATATGCATCTCTTGCACCTTCTTCTTGAGGCATCACACTATCTTTACAAAAACCCACCTCACCATTTACATTGCTCATCATCCCACACCGGACTTGAGTGGCTGCCTCGTCGGTGCCTATATAAACCTTCATCGTCATCTGTATCTGTAAAAAAAGGAATAGGCTAATGTTTTGATTCAACCAGAATACTTTCTCATTACAACGTCAATCATATTTATACAGTGGTGATCCTAGAATTAAGGAACTCATCAAGAAGCAAATACAAGAAGTCAGCTGTACTACTATGGCAACAAATATACAGAATCAATTGTAAATCAATCAACCTAAACTATAGGGATTTCGGTGATATCTCAACACTCCCCCTCAAGTTGGAGAGTGGATGTCAAGAACTCCCAACTTGCACAGCATTGTTGAAAATCCTTCTTTTCCTAAAGGCTTTGTCAGGATGTCTGCCACCTGTTGTGAGGAAGAAACATGTTTTGTAACTATTGAACCATCTTGGATCTTGTCTCTGATGAAATGGCAATCCATCTCAATATGCCTTGTTCTTTCGTGAAAAACCAGATTAGCAGCTATATGTAATGCAGCTTGGTTGTCGCAATGTAGTGTGACTGGTTCTGAATGTGTTAGTTGCAAGTCTTGTAATAGACACTGCAACCAAGAGAGCTCACAACATGTGCTAGCCATGGCTCTATATTCAGCTTCCGCTGAAGAGAGAGACACAGTCTTCTGTCTCTTTGTCCTCCAAGAGATCAACGAGTTTCCTAGAAACACACAGTAACCTGTGGTTGACCTGCGAGTCGTCGGACACCCCGCCCAATCAGAATCACAAAACGCCTTCAACTTTAAGTCATCCTGTGTTGGAAAGAGTATTCCTTGGCCTGGAGTGTATTTAAGGTATCTCAAGATTCGAACCGCTGCATCCATATGTGGGATGCGTGGCTCATGCATAAACCTACTGAGCACATGTACAGCATATGTGATATCGAGCCGTGTGATCGTCAAGTAGATTAAACGTCCCACGAGCCTTCTATACTTGGCTGGGTCCTTGAGTATCTCCCCTTCATTTGAGAGCTTGATGTTTTGTTCCATGGGAAAACTTACTGGTCGTGCTCCCAAAATACCTGCATCTTTGAGAATCTCCAACGTGTATTTCCTCTAGGAGATGCATATACCTTACTTTGAACGGGACACTTCAATCCCTAAAAAATACTTCAAATCACCAAGGTCTTTGATTCGGAATCGAGTGTGCAAAAACTGTTTGAGAGAATTAATCGCAGCTACATTATTTTCTGTAATCAGAATGTCATCGACATAAATTAAGAGAGCTGTAAAAGACTTCCCATTTTTGCAAGTGAAGAGTGAATAATCAGCTTTGGATTGGGTGTAGCCTGCAGCTTGTATGGCTTCTGAAAACTTTGCAAACCACTGTCGAGATGCCTGTTTTAAACCATATAGAGACTTGTTGAGGCGACATACCAAATTCTCCCCCTGTCGCCGACAACCAGGAGGTAGAGACATATAGATTTCCTCATGGAGATCCCCATGAAGAAAAGCATTGTGCACGTCAAGTTGGTGAAGTGACCAATTTTGGGCAGCGGCAAGAGCAAGAATGCATCGAACAGTGACCATTTTTGCTGTAGGAGAGAAAGTGTCGTGATAGTCAATGCCCTCTGTCTGGGTGTACCCTTTAGCCACCAAACAAGCCTTATAACGCTTGATGGATCCATCGGAGTGATGCTTGATTTTATAGACCCATTTGCAACCAATGGGTTCTTTGCCAGGAGGAAGAGTGGTGATGGTCCAAGTGTGGTTGGACTCTAAAGCCTGTAGTTCCGAATCCATGGCTTCTTTCCAATGAGGATCAAGTATTGCCTCTGCAAAAGAATGGGGTTCCATGCTTCTACTAATGTTGGCAATAAAAGAGAGATGTGATGGTGAATAGCGCCGTTAAGACAAATAATTACAAAGAGGATAACGAGTACCTTTATGATGACTTGGCGAGGAAGACGACATAGGGTCATGTGGGGGCATCGTCACCTGTGAACAAACATAATCTTTGAGAAGAACAGAAGGTGTCTTATGGCGATGGGATTGTCTCAAAGGTGGTGCGGAAACCGGTGGTGGAGAAGAAATTGGCAATTGTGGCTCTGGGGTGATATGCGGGTCATGATTTGGAAGAGGTGGTGTTGGTGTATCTTGATTGGTGGTATCTTGATTGGTGGTATCTTGGTTGTTGATATCTTGGCTGGGTGATGAGCTAAGTGGCGTGTCATAAATAGGAATAGGTAAGACAGATGTTGTTGTGGTGGAAGATTGATGGGCCAGTGATTGATATGGGAAAGAATCCTCATGGAAGATGACATCTCTACTAGTGAAGAGTTTGTGGGTATCAAGGTCATATAATTTATAAGCCTTTTGTCCAATGGGGTAACCAATGAAAACACATCTCTTGGCTCGGGAAGCAAATTTATGAGATGGGTTGATAGAAGTTGCATAAGCGAGACAACCGAAAACTCTCATGTGTGAATAAGAAGGAGGCTTAGCATATAGCATCTCATATAGGGTTTTGTGTGAAAGAATAGGTGTAGGGAATCTATTGATTAAATAAGTGGCTGTGAGCACACATTCACCCCCAAAATGGAGTGGGAGATGAGCTTGAAAACGTAATGCCCTAGCCGTCTCAAGAATATGCCGATGCTTGCGTTCCACAACACCATTTTGTTGTGGTGTGGAAACACAAGAGTGTTGAAAAATTGTCCCATTATCCTTGAAAAAAGCACGCAGAGAAATAAACTCTCCCCCATTATCCGCACGGATTTTTTGCACTTGAGAATGAAATTGTGTTTGGACAAAAGAAAAAAAGGATTTAAGTAGACTCTGTGTTTCACTTTTATGGTGCATGAGAAAAATCCAAGTGAACTGTGAATAATCATCAACCACTGTTAAAAAATAACGTGCCCCAAAAAGTGAGGCAATTTTATAAGGCCCCCAAATGTCACAATGAAGAAGAGAAAAAGGCTTTGTAGTTGAAATAGAACTAGTATTGAAAGGTAAACGAGTTTGTTTGGCCAATGGACAAACATCACAAATATTATTTGAATGAAAGGGAAAATGTAACATAGTTTTAGCCATAAATTGTAAACGAGATGAAGATAAATGGCCCAAACGCTGATGCCATAAATGGGTAGAGGTGGTGACAAGACTGCAGGAAGATTGAGGTATAGAAGAATAAGGTTTGGAAGCTGAGGATGCAGAACCCAACGCCACAAGGTGATATAGACCCCCACTTTGTTTACCCAAACCAATTGTCGTCTTCGTAGCCAAGTCCTGCAAAATGCACCCAGTAGGAAAAAAGGTTACTGAACAATTCAATCCTTTTGTAAGTTTGCTTACAGACATAAGATTGACCTTGAAAGAAGGGATATGTAAAACATCTCATAAATGAACTTGTGAATTTAAAGATAAAGTCCCAGTAGAAGAGATAGGAGCCTTTTCACCACTAGGCAAGACAACAGGTGGCATTGAAGAATTTGAGCATTTAGAAGTAAGCAAATGCGAAGATGAAGTGATGTGATCGGTTGCCCCACTATCGATTATCCATTGATGTAAGGGCAAACTCGACCTTGACAAACCTGATGACAGAGCAGCAGCGTTTGCCTGGGACGGTGGCTGGTCATTCATCTTCTCATTCATCATGGAAAGCATTTGTTGGTACTGTGTCTCAGAAAGATTAGGTACAGCAGCTTGTAATTCTTGCAAGGTGGGACTAGAAGTCACATGGTTAGCCGAGAAGGATGCAGCCCCATGCTTGTCACGATTGCCATTCCCATTAGCTTTCTTGGACTTGTGGAGGCGGTGGCCTAGAGGGTACCCATTCGGTTTCCAGCATGTCTCAACAGTGTGATGGTCAACGTCACAGTGCGAGCAATGAAGAGGCCTACGATTTGGATTGGAAGTTCTTTGACTCTGTCGAACCGCCATGGCCGCAGTCTCCACAACAGGTCGGGAGGATCCCAATTCCCGTTGTTTCTCTTCTTGGGAAATTAGGGAATATGTCTTGCGAAATGCAGGCAAGGGTTGCATGAGCAATATTGTCCACGAGCTGCAGCATAGGACTCGTTGAGTCCCATGAGAAACTGCATAATTTTGTTTCGTTCTTCTTGTTCAGCATGAGTCTTCATTGCCCCACAGCTACAAGGAGAGACATTGTTGTATGATGCTAATTCATCCCAGAGACCTTTCAACTTTGTGTAGTACACAGCGACGGTCATCTGATCTTGAGTAAGTGAAGCTATGTCACGCTGGATTTGGAAAATCCTGGGCGCGTTGCTTTGGGAGAAACGTTCCTCAAGGTCCTGCCAGATATCATGGGTTGTGTCTGAATAAATCACGCTATCTGCTATATCTTGTTCGAGTGAGTTCAGGATCCAAGATAGGACCATGTCATTGCAGCGCCGCCATAGGGAAAAACCTTCTGGATCAGTCTTCACTAATGGTCTTTTGACAAATCCGTCGACAAAACCAAGTTTATTCTCGGCACTCAGAGAGATCTTGATAGAACGACACCATGTCCCATAGTTATCTCCATATAAAAGCTTGGAAACGATGACCATTCCTGGATGGTCTGAATGATGAATAAAAAAGGGACTGGAAGTATCGTTAGTGCTTCCATCCTTAGAAGAATGTTTTTTGGTTGAGTCGTCAGCCATGATAGAGAAAGAGGGATGGCTATGCAAAAAGGAGAGCTAGGGTTGGGATCCCTGCTCTAATACCATGTAAAAAAAGGAATAGGCTAATGTTTTGATTCAACCAGAATACTTTCTCATTACAACGTCAATGATTTTATACAGTGGTGATCCTAGAATTAAGGAACTCATCAAGGAGCAAATACAAGAAGTCAGCTGTACTACTAAGGCAACAAATATACAGAATCAGTTGTAAATCAATCAACCTAAAATATAGGGATTTCGGTGATATCTCAACAGTATCTCTGTTGCGGACATCATTAGTTAGTTTCCTGATTTATTAGTTTTCTAGATTCTCTAGTTTTTCAGATTTCACTAGGATTTTAGTTTCCAGATTTTTAGTAGGATTTTATTTAAGTTTCCTAGTTTATTTTACTTAGTTGGTGGATTAGGATTTTTGTTTTAGTAAGGGATTTTTATCCTATTGTCTCTAGGTTTCAGTTTGCTATAAATACCCCCCCATGTAGTTCTTTAAAATTCAGTTGTTCAGATATAAAGAAAAGTTTATTTTCCAGAGATTGGAGACTACTTGGTGTGCAGCCAAAACTCCAGACCTATCCCATTTGTTATATTTTCTATTTTCCATTGTTTTCGCTTCCGCTAAACTATCTAAATACTCAATTCACCCATATCCTACATCAAATTTGGTATCAGAGCCAGATTTTCGTTTTCCTTGGGCTCAAAATGTTTGAGTATTTCTTGTTCTTCACGCCGTGTGTCAAGCAATGGCTCTGACTAAGCTTAGAAAGACAGACGAGCCAAAGAGGGACTTTGAACATCTTGTTCAGATGATGGAAAACCTATCAAAGCCAGTGGCAGATTCAGACACTAGATCCAGACTCAAGGAACGTCGCCTTGCAGACTTAGAAGCAACTAACCAACATGATGAAACAAGCGTGAATGGAGAAGAGAGGAATCGTGATCGACAACGTCATGATAGAAGGAATGATCAAGATGCAGAGAGAAACAATTTTCATCGTGGCTATGAGCAAGACCTTGATGAAAGGGTGATGAAATCAGTGAAAGTTGACGCTCCTAATTTTGATGGTGAGCTAAATCCTAAAGCACTCCTCGATTGGTTAGCTACCATGGATCGCTATTTTGAGTGGCATGACATGTCTGAAGCTCAAAGGATGAGATTTGCTAAGATAAAATTGGTGGGTCAAGCTGGATTGTTTTGGACCAATGTTGAAACATAGCTAGAGAGAGTTGGTGAAGAACCCATCATCCATTGGGGTGAGATGAAAGAAAGGTTGAAGCAGAAATATCTACCATTATCTTATCAACAGAGTTTGTTGGACGAATGGTAAACTCGTTGTCAAGACAACATGCCAGTTGCTGAATATATTGCAAAATTTGAGGAATTCATGTTGTGATGTGACATAAGGGAAGATCGAATGATGACTATTTCTCTATTTAGATCAAGACTTTGTCCAGAGCTTCAAAGGGAATTAATTCCTCATACTGTGAATACTTTAGAGAGGGTTTATCATATGGTACAAGAATTAGAGAAGTATTTAAAGTCGTCTAATGTAGTCAAGCAAACTAATTCTCAAAGATTGGATTTTCATGTTGGCACATCTGTGACTCCAAGTTGTACGACTCCAACATCTACGACTAATTTAGTAAAAATTGCCAAGGGAAAAAGAGTGCTAGTTGATGCACGTGGTGGTGGAACGCAAAGATGTTACAGATGCCAAGGTTTTGGACACTTTGCTATCCAATGCCCAATGAAGGGGGCAACAATAAATCTGTGTGCACACATCAACGAACAAGCTAACAATCAAAGCGAATTTGAGGAAGATATTTATGATCCCCAACAACCTGATGCAGATTGTGGAATCGACTTTGAAGTCCCTCATCCAACATTAGTAGTATTAAGGTGTACTTTGGCTCAACCTAGGAAGGAAACTAAGGATTGGCGTAAGACTTCCATTTTCCACACTTACATCAAATCTGAAGGTAAGGTGGTCATAGGGAGTTGTATCAATGTGGTGACAATGCTAACTGTTTCACGTCTTGGTTTGTAGCCCGAGAAGCATCTTGTGCCATACAGAGTAGCATGGATTGACAATACATCTTCCATCCTTGTTACCCAACGGTGTCACATTCCTATACAGTTTTCATCTTACAAATATCATGTTTGGTGTGATGTGGTGGATATGGTGCTAAAATATGAATATGGTTTGAATACTTTAGGTTAAGTTTTATTTTTTTCCATAAGGAGGTATGTATAGGAGTTTACATGAGTGTTTTACAAGGAAATAAATAGAGCAATCAATTAGGATAGTATCTCCTGATTATACAATAATTTGTCAACTATATAAAATAAGAAGGTAAATCCCTTAATTAATCAAGGAAATAAATCTCTTTGATTAATTAGGAGACTTGCGTCAACACTCCTCCTCAATTTAGTACATATATGTCACCAATGCCCAACTTGGTAATTGAGTCATGAAATACTCTTCCACAAACAGCTTTTGTTAAGATATCTGTCAGTTGATCTTCTTATTTTGAAAAAGAGAGAGAGAGAGAGAGAGAGAGAGAGAGAGAGAGAGAGAGTGTGTGTGTGTGTGTGTGTGTGTGTGTGTGTGTGTGTGTGTGTGTGTGTGTTGATATTTTGAAAAAGATGGTGTGATTTTGGGGCCACAAGATGGTACCATCTTTTGTACCAAAAAAGCATCTTCATTTTCATTGGTTGCTTTTTAAAACTTTAGGGGACAAAAATTATATACTATATGAAAATGTCATAGGATGTCATAAAATGTTTTTGACTAACATTCAACATACAAATGTCAAGTATCAAATAAGATCAAAAAGCATGCTTGACAAGAACTCCTATGAACATATCATGAACACCAAGAACATTTCAAGAACCTTTTTCAAATCTTTATGACTCTTCATAAATCACACAAAAATCCTAAATTCATGCAAAAATCATATCCATGCTTAGAATTTCAAGACTAACACAACCATGTAAACATTTCACACATGAACACACACCAGACCCAAAAAGCCTCTCCTTGCTGCCACCTCCATTGGTGTCATCTCTTATTTTTCTTTTCATACTCCTACTCATTCATCCAATATCCCATATCCTATGAATAAGTGACATGAAAAAGAAAATCTAATACATATATCACATAAGTTTGAAAACAAGCCCATATTAAAACCAATAACCAAAATAAAAGGCTCAAAGAGACTAGACCTTGGCTCTTGATACCACTTGAAGGAAACGTGCATCTAATGCTTAGGAAATGAACTTTAGCCACAACCTATACAACAAAAACATTCTAAATGGCGGATTCATTTTGTTTATATTAGTTGAGCTAAACATTTTTCATTTTAAACCAAGTATCTTAGCCTAGTCTCTTTGAACACAATTAGAAAAAGAAAAAAGGGAATAGATCTTTACCCTTGATGACATTTTCTTGATTTCTCAAGAATGAACACCTTTGTTGGAAAGAACCTATTCAAATTGAAATGACCGTGCAATTGAATCCTTCTCTTATGTCAATATTCCTTATTCACATTATTATATCATGAAATCCAATTGTCAATATCGTAATGTGAACCATTCCTTTTATATGTTTATCTTGGTAAGATTTGAAGACTTCTTCTTTCAAGTCTTATCCACTACTCTGCGCAGAGATTTGACCAATCATATCTTGGAGTATTCTCTCTTCAAGGTATGATTGGTCAAATCTGAAATTCGAAAATTTTTACGCTAAGGGTTAAATTGATTATTTATGTAAATCTGAGTGCTAAATTGGCTGAAAATTTTGTTTGGAGGGTTTAGTCCGATTAGGGTGATAGCTCAGGGGATACAATGGCTGAAAATCATTTTTATATTTCTATAATCCAAATGATTTTAGTGTTTAAATTTCTTTAACTTCTCCAATGCCCAGTTGTATGCTTGTAGTTTATTTCATTATAAGATAGACATTACCATCCAATTGCATCTACAAGAGAGCATGCAAAAGAATAGGCAAACCACATCAATATTTTCCTCCTCCAACGGAGTAGGTATCTCAATAGGCAAAATATGCATACTCCCCCCAACAAGGCAATGTCGCCTACTTCAAAATGAATAGGTATATAGAGTCCCACTTACTTTTTACAATAAAATATCATGTCAGATCCCTCACCTATTTTTGTGAAATACAAAAGTAAATATAAAAGATAAAAATAAACATGTAGGCAAATAGGTAGGCAATATGCCAAATAGGTTGTTATAATACAATTTTGCCTACTTCCTTTACATACTCCGTTGGAGATGCTCTAAGTCATTGACAACCCGAAACCAAACAACCCAAACCATGCTCAAAGTCTCAACTTTAGTATACTATTGTATATGAAATTTTCATTTAATCTTAATTAGATAATTGTTCACCCATAATGGGCGAGTGTAATGTATCTTAACAGTATTGCCCGGTATGTTAGACCAAACTACGCACGCAGCTTACTTTGGGCCCAAGTAATGAGCCTTGGGGGTAATCCTAGTAGCTTAATGAATAGGTGTACCACTATTGGTGCTTGGCTAAGCCCAATAGAAAGATGTTTGTTTGATATGTTGTTTGAAATATGTACGATGAATTTGCCCTTAATTTCTTAACTTCTAATCATGTCATTGTGCTCCAAGTTGGGCACTGACTCATATTAGTTCTTTTTTAATGTCGTGTATGACTAAGGACTTCAATATTCTATTTTATGTGCTGGAATCAAAATGTTTATTGCAGAAAAAATGCAAATCAAATATCAAGAGCCTAAATCTGGGAAGTTGGCCCTAAATCGAGAAAGTTCTCCAATGCATGTAGGTATTGTTAGAGTTGCCTAATTTGGGTCTCGCAAGGTGAATGAAGATAAACAAATTATTTATAAGTTTAAAATGAGTGAAAATACAACTTGGAATTGAAGATTTCTCTATTTAGCCCAATACAGAAAGATTAAAGACTAACTAATGAATTTAAAGAGACTAGCCTAGCAACTAGGAATCATACCAAGTGTTGGCTGAGCAATTATTAAAAGATATCTCATAAGTTGTCAATTGGAAATCTTAATACAAGATAAATGCATTTGAATTCAATGACATCAAGTGTTGATCGAGTTTAAAGTCTTTTTCTTCGAGAAATTGTGTGTTCGTGCTCTTCCAACTTGCTAGTGTATATAGCCTTCTTGGTGTTTGAATCTGTACGTTTGATGATGAGATGGCTGAGTCTGTTGTCAATCCTCCTTTTAAGGGTGAGCTGGTGAACTCTAGTGCTTTGATCCTTGCATCGACGGTGAGAACTGGCTTCAGCATGGTCCTTTACTGACAAGTTGGTTCAGTAGGGCTTCAACACTCAAATCGCATTTAATGTAGTTGTTCAGTTCTCAATTTACCACATTGATATAGATTATGATGCTTTTGGAGATTTGAAAAGATGAATCAAGAGAATAAAACAACATGTCAATTACGAGTTTTGAATTATTGAGTTACAAAGTGTTGAAGAATACACATAGCCCCACATCGGAAACTTAACAAAATAGAAAGTCTCATATCATGAATGGCTACACTCCTAATAATATCGAGGCATTTTGTATAAAACCTCACACCTGCTAAACAGGTGATTAAGTTGGGGACAATATCAATGTTGCTAGTAGTGTGCCAAAGGTCCGTCTCTTTGAAATCTTAACACAAAGTAAAAGGAGAATACAAAAATCAGAATTATAAATAATAAAAATGTGCCTAAGGAAAAACTAAAGTAAAATCAATCAAGAGCGCTTCTGGAATTGATGATTTCCTTGGACAAATAGTTTCTCAAAATCCGTAATGTTTTGTGTTAAAATACAATAAAACAAGTATTGTACCTAGTGAAACTTTGAAAGTACTAACAGATATCTGTAATGAAAAAATTCTAGAGGAAAAAAATTATATATATAAAGAGATAAATTGAGAAAATGAAATAATTAAGCAAAACACCAATCACCTCTGATGTTGAAAACTAAATGAAAAGGCAACATATGGAAGGTGTGCGAGGGACTAATAATATGAAATTATTTTTATTTTTATGATAGAATATATGAAGAATTATTTGAAGGGCTTTTCATAAATAGGCACATTCTAGCATGACATATTACAAATACCCTTATAGAGCCTATTTGGAGAGAAATACCCAAAACTAGCCACTTGTCATTTTCCAATTCGTTCTTAGTGCATTAAAGTTTTCTAAGAACCAATTAGAAAATAACAAGTGACTAGTTTTGGGTTTTTCTCTCCAAATAAGCTCTATAAATGATAGAAAATCATTAGTAACAGAAATTGGTTATTTGTTGAATTTAATTAATGAATATGACGGTAAAATCAACATCAAATTTAAATTTTCAAAGACTTTGGACATTTGTATAATATGTCGTACTAAAATGGGCTTATTTGTAAAAGCCAAAAAGGAGCACAAAGGTGCTCGCAAGCCTTGTTCGAGTCATGGAACTAATTTTTTCAATGATTTAGTGATCAATTTGACAAAAAATAAAAGGATTTAGTGATCAATAATTAAAATATAGTATTTTAAAGTAATTTTTTTTATATACAAAATTAAATTATGTTAAATAAAAAGTGAATGTACATAGCATCTTAGGAAAGGACATAATTTAAAAAGCAAAAAAACAAAAACAAAAAAAAGGAAAATACGTCATTTTAATTTTAATTTTTAAAGTACGAAAGGGCGGTGTCCTATGATAATTTAAACATGAAATGGAAATTCACATGATTGTTCTCTACATAAACATACTGGTAAGTTGTGAATATTATCTTTTAAATTATGAAGAGACATAAGGTTTTTTTTTTTAGAAATGGAATTCAATCATAGAATCAAAGTAGCGTACATAGAATGACATGAAACAGTGGCATCATTAAAACCTTCATGAGGGACAGGGACGGACCCAGGATTTCAAAATAGGGTTGGGTAGATTTTAGGTTTGGGTAAACCTTATAGGGAGACTTATAAAATTGATCATAATATTATATAAATTTAATTTAAGAATCTTTTTTTTTTTTTTTTTTTTTTTTTTTTTTTTTTTTTTCAAAGTTTTACACCAACATTTATTTCACATGCAACAGCAACAATTGATTATTATATTCTTAAAAATTAATATTAGTTGAGAACGCACAACTCATATTGCAGCTTATTTAGTATATGTCTTTTATACTAACAATAAGAGAAGAAAAACACTCGACTGGGCTATAGCCCAGTTTGTACATACTGCAAGTCCGTCCCTGCTGAGGGACAAACCTCATGATAGAAAAGAGTACTACACATGTCATAGACTAACAAGAGAGTCTGAAACAGTCACGCATGATCAATATAGAGCAAGATAAAATAAAACAGCAAACTGACACATAGACCTTCGACGCAAAGACCTCTGATGAGAACGCTGCAACACAATCCAACTGTCAAAAGAGTCCTGCTATCAAATCATAGTCCTTTGCACATCCACAAGACAGTGAGAACATCCGACAGAGAACACAATACGCCAAGAAGAAAGAAAACAACAACTAAGCACACCATCTCCAGCCACCTACAATAGTAATTGGCGATGAAAGAAAAGAAATCTGCAAGGAGCAACACAAAGAAGAGATTAACCACAAACAGGCCAGGAAAGAAAATATAAATAAAATAATAAAAATAATAAAAAAGCCCCAAGCATGCCATATCATCTCAACACTGACAAAGAAACCTCCTATAAAAATGTAGTTCTTGAGACAGACGAAGAATCAAAGATTAGTTAAGGGGAGAACGAAGAAAACACCACACAACAATAACAAAACGGGCCTAGCCACTTAACCTGAACACGGGGATCATGCATAAGAGCATTCGCCGAATGTCAAGCCCATGAATGCTCCAATGACATATTAAGAAAGGCGTCCAAGAGACTCCACTAGGCCAGTCTCCATAGAAAGACATAAGTTGCCCGCAAACGTTTTCTTTCTTTTTGAGGTAATTAATTTTTGATGGATTATTTTTATTATAAATGCTTCTTTATTTAACCATCCAATTTCAAAATTTTATTTAAAAGCAGCTGGCATATGCAATATGTGCAACTATAAAATACGATCTTTTCATGTATAAAGCTTCTTTCTTTCATACAAATTATGTCGGTTTAAGTCACTTGTTTTTTTATTAATGGGTGAGTGGATATTTAAATTTCAGATATTTTTTAATATTAAAAAGAGAAATATCACGTATTAAAGTATATTGGTTGTCAACTAACTTTTATACTTTAATCTCAAACTCTTAATGTGGGAGAGGATATTTTATGCACCAACTAATTTTAATTTAGTGATACTTTTGTTTTTTTAACAAATAAAATTATGAATTAAAAATGAAAAAATTATAGTGTGACAATGGCCAACCAACTTGTGTATCTACCACTAGTGCTTTATCTTTTAAAAGAACCTATTTTGGCTATTTTGTGCCAATAAAATCTGCTGTGCTGTGCTGTAATTTTAGTGGTGAAGTAAATCAGATGAACATTTTATTAAAAAATCAAACTGAATAAATAAATTATAAAAAGAAAAACTTATTTTTTTTCACTGTAAATCGGTAAGGTTTTTTTGCTCCCTATTATGGGTTTGGGCTCCTATTGTCAGTTGGGCATGAAAGTGATGGACACTAGGCTTATAGCCATAAGCATGCAATGCCACTGTCCATGACAGTGATGCAAATATGCGTTTCTTTCTCTGGGAATCTGCTACTGCTGACACATGTAACTGTCTTTTTTGGAGAAAGACTTTTATGAAATGGGTATAGCATTATTTTCCTATCTAGTCCACGTGGAGATAGCACTACAAAGTTTTCCTCCCATTCTTGGCACTTTTTTCCTGGGGCGCCACACTGCCATCAAAGCAAAGCGTCTTTCTACATGGGATGGAGGATAACCAGAATACATTACACGTGGTCTCCTCTTGATAAAGTTTTATGCAAGAATTTTTTGTGCTTTTGGAGCCTTGAAGTTGAAGATATAAATATAAAAAATACTTCGTGAAAATTAGAATATAAATTTTTGGAACAATTAATGTTACAAGTTGCAACAAGCTGCGTCTGACAGCTTCTCTCTGTCACACAGGAATACTAGTCATAGGCTGTGGTTGGTGCGTTTCTGTTGTGGAAGTCCTTGTCAAATCAAGGGGGAAAAACCTTTTTCTTCTCATGGACTTCGGACATGAAGCTATTCTTGGATTATAGGTGTTGGAGTTTCTAAAGCAGAAGTTGAAATTTCAAACCCAAATTCCATTTTGAGTGTACGCTAGCAAGATATAAAGATCACGCCAGTGAAAGGTGAGGGTCTTTTCTTGATTGGTTTTGAGCTTTGCCAAAAAGCTGAAATGTTTACGAGTTCTTTTAATTTTCAAGCCCAAGTTTTTTTTAAAGTTTTTGCATGAGTTTAATTTTTCTTCTAGGCTGAGATATTAAGTGATTTTGCTTTTGAGTGTCTGGTTTTGAAAGTACTTTTGAAACTGTTTCATTGGCCTTGCTGCTGAAGTGAAACGTACTTCTTTGTCTCCAGGATTTCTTCTGATGGTGGATATTTGAATTTCTAAAGCTTTTATAAGTTTCTCAGTTAGGATATCAACTGTTGAACCCAATTCTTTATTTGGTGGTCAACTGTTTGATATGTGTAGCCAACTAATTTTATTAATTCTCTGCAAGGATACTTGATACTGTTTGAATTGCTTCTGTATTTCATCATTTTTGGGCACTTCTGGAAAATGGTTATCTTGTTTTTGGAGTTGAATGCTTCGGGTCTGCAAGCAACAGAATTATGAGTTAACACTATATATAATCTGCAGGGGCTGCAGCACAATTTGTGGATTCTTGTCTGTAAACAACTAGTTCAGTAACCGTCCCAGTTAAAACCCGATTAGTTAAATCAGCTATCTAACTGATGGCTGAAGAACATGATTCATATTCCAATGGGAACAAAAGCAAAACTCCTATCTACATTTTATTCAAGGATTGCAGGTATCATTTCGATTATTTTATGCCTTTTCATTTCTTTTTCCTGATTAGTTTGGTTTGATAGTTAAAAGGTTCTGTTGAATTTAGCAGACAAGCAATGGCATATATTTTCGATAAGTAACAAAGCTTTTACTCGCATCCATCGGCTAATCTAACCTTATTATTCAAGCTAGACCAGTTCAGAATTTATTTGGTCTTTGCCTGCAAGAGCCATTATTCAAAATATTTTTTTATTGCAATTTGGACAGCCAATGCTTGGATTTGAATAGATGTGTAAAACCAATGCTTGGATTGTCTTTTCTATGGGCAGGTTTGTTTTTAATTTTGACAAACTTGGCTTAGAAATAGCGTCGATTGCATTGCCTGCAGCACTGGCTTTGACAGCCGATCCAATTGCTTCTCTAGTTGACACAGCATTCATTGGTCAAATAGGTACTTTGCTTCTTATTCTTTTCATTTTGAACTGTGCATATGTTCTTCCATCTGAAACAAGTACTTTTTGTTTCTGCTTTGGGTAACAAAAACAAATTTTATTGAAAAAATTCAAGTTTCTTTCTTTAAATGACAAGGATGGGGATAAAATGAAATATAGTGTCTACATGAGAGGCCAATGTGTAAACATATCCACATTCACAGTCCACTAATAGCCTAATGGTTAACAGAGATGTATCTCTTAACACTATCCTTCAAAAGTTGACCAATTACCAAATGCTAAATATTAGTCTTCAATCTGAAATGAAATTTTGTGGCTGAACCTTGTATCTTTGTTAAAATTTACAGTTGTGGAAATTTAATATCCAAGTTGTCTTAATGTTTAAAGGTCCAGTGGAGCTTGCTGCTGTAGGAGTTTCTATCGCTTTGTTCAATCAAGCCTCAAGAATTGCAATATTCCCTCTTGTTAGTGTCACAACCTCTTTTGTTGCTGAAGAAGATGCTATTGGAACAGCGAGTCCCGAGGAAAACCAGAATGATTACCTAGAAACAGGTCCATCAATCAATGGTGAAACTAGACAGTTGATCCCAGAAAGGGGTATGCGTCATGCCTTTTTTTTTCTTTTTTTTTCTGGTTACAGTGCTACATCTTTTTTCCACAATAAACTCAGCATGCATTCTGTAAAGACTTATAGAATATGATTTCATCAAGTTTTCCTCTTCATTACAAGATATTCTTTTACTGGTTTATGAAAACTTCTTACATGATAGTTTTTTCTTCTTCCATTTTCTTTGTCAGGTACTGATCAGAATGCATACAAACCAGTTGGTGCAAGCTTTGAAATAGTTACAACCAATCATCAAAAGAGGTACATCCCGTCAGCGTCATCAGCAATGGTTATTGGGAGCATCCTTGGCCTCATCCAAGCCATATTCCTCATATCAGCCGCAAAACCTCTATTGAACTTTATGGGGGTCAGTTCTGTAAGTTAATCATCTTTATGCTTTTATTTTATTTTATTTTATTTTTCATTTTGACATACATTTTACTTAAGAGTTTGTTGTACCAAGCGCTGAAATACTACTATAACTTCTAAGAACAGAAAGAACTATTGTTTGTTTAGGATTCCCCTATGCTAAAACCTGCACAGCAGTACTTGATCCTGAGGTCGTTTGGTGCTCCTGCAGTTCTTCTTTCACTGGCTATGCAAGGGGTCTTCCGTGGGTTCAAGGATACAAAAACTCCTTTATATGCAACCGGTATACCTTAATGAAGCTGCACCTTAGATTCGATGCCATCTTTTTCAAATAAATAGTCTTGATCGTGTTCTAATCAATTGTCTGTTTTAATCTAGTGGCAGGAGATGTTACAAATATAATTTTAGATCCAATATTTATGTTTGTTTTCCGTCTGGGTGTCAATGGTGCAGCTATTTCTCATGTTATATCTCAGTAAGTTTTATCGAACTCATCTCCATTTGTTTTTGGTCCTCTTGTGGGTTTTTCTAGAATTCTGCACTCTGTGTACCAGCGTGCCTCTTATCATTGATATGTTCATTATAGGTACTTAATATGTGTCATACTCTTGTGGAGATTAACGGCTCAAGTTGATCTATTACCCCCAAGTATCAAACATCTCCAATTCAGTCGGTTTCTTAAAAATGGTGAGGATTTAATTCTTTAATAGGCAGTGGTGACACTTTCATGCATGTTTTATACAATCTAGAACTTTGCTTTTGTTCTGAGGAGCTATACTCCTTAGGCCTTGGTTTTAGTGAGCAGAAAACGTCGGAAGCATAACTTTAAAATGCTGAGAATATAGCATAGGAAATTTGAATAACATCCACTGAAGTATTTACTAACATGATCGAAATAGCAAGTTCTTTCTAATTCATATTTATATCTGAATAAATTTCAGTACATGTTGAGAGAGAGTAGCTTGAATTAGTTGATACCCCATTAGTCCTTTCTTCACTCCAGGTTTTCTTTTATTAATGAGGGTCATTGCTGTTACATTCTGTGTAACTCTGGCTGCATCATTGGCTGCGCGGCAGGGACCGACACCCATGGCGGCATTTCAGGTCTGCTTGCAGGTTTGGTTGGCAACTTCCCTTCTAGCTGATGGACTGGCTGTTGCTGGACAGGTTGGAAAACATTACTTTGATAAATGAAACTACTGCAATGATACACCAAATTAGTTTTGAGATAATTTCTTCCCTGTACTTTAAGACAGAGGCCAAGAAGATGAAAATCACAGAAGCACATTGTTTGATCAGCAATTAAATTCTTCTTAAATTTTTTTGTGAAACTGAATTGAACTTTCCTAAGCTCAAATCTTGCTGCCGTGAATGGTTTTTAAATCAATAAAACAACTTATTTTAACAGCCCCTATTTTGTGTATGTGTATGACATTTATTTCAGTGTTTCCGTTTCTTTTCTATGGACTGATCAATAGGTTATAATCCCTTCCCACTTTCAGGCAATACTTGCTAGTGCATTTGCAAAAAAAGACTACGACAAGGCAACAGCCACTGCGTCACGAGTGTTACAGGTGTTTACTAATATTTCTGAAGTGTCAAATATGTGTTCCATGTGATGTTGGTTTCTCTAAAAATTCATAAATACATTTAAACCGCAGTTGGGATTGGTTTTGGGGTTGATGCTCGCAGTCATACTTGGAGTAGGGTTGCAGTATGGGGCAAGGCTATTTACAAAAGATGTCGATGTCCTACATCTTATCAGCATAGGCATTCCGGTTAGCCCCCTTCTCTCCAAAAACAACACAGTATTTCAGGTCACTTTTCTTCAATACCAAATGACATTTTGAACTAACTGTCTTCCAATTCATATCAGTTTGTTGCAGCTACTCAACCCATCAATGCCTTGGCATTTGTTTTTGATGGTGTCAACTTTGGAGCATCTGATTTTGCATATTCAGCCTTTTCCATGGCGAGTCTTTAGTCCCTTTCTTGCAATACAATTAATAATGTGAACTCACTTCTTTTTAACTACATATGCTTTTTTTTTTTTTTTTTTTTTTTTTTTTTTTTTTTTTTTTAAATTTGCATTAAATTTGTCACCAACTTTGGGTTGTTTTGTACGCTAAATGTCTCCAAATTTGAAAACTCTTTTCTCTTCTTTGCTGTGGACCTAAAGGGAAAAAGACTACATTCAATTATGTACTTAAAAGTAAAAAAAAAAAAAAAAAAAAAAACACAGGTTACACTTGATGTTAATCATCATTCTCTTCCAGGTTATGGTGGCTATTGTCAGCATCTTTGTTTTGTTTATTCTCTCCTATACCAATGGATTCATTGGAATCTGGGTTGCTTTGACCATCTATATGAGTCTTCGAGCATTTGCCGGATTTTGGAGGTATGTTTTACAAATTCTAGTACATACGAGCATGCTCACACACACACAAAATTTTCCCATGCCCGAACGGACCATTTTGCTATGGAATTGCAGGATAGGGACAGGAACAGGACCTTGGGAATTCCTACGGGCATAAATGGACGCTGGTTTACTCAATCGGAGGTTCAAGAGTTTCTTTGCTTCCATTGTTGCATGATTTCGACTTGATTGCTTGAAAATTTTTACCTTGAGATGTTCGAAGAAATCTCAGATTACCTTGTTACATGTAGAGCAATCATACAAGGAGAAAATTTGCCCGTTACTTATAATATCAGGGGAATCTTTAATGAAATTCTCTGCAATGCATTTTGTTTTACTACAAAGCATAGGAGAGTATTTTCAAGAAAGGATAACATATTCTCTGTATATATTTTTTTTCATACAATTGCAACCTAATAAGTGCCTAAACAGTCAAATAGAAAGTGAAGGCCTATGCAATTCAAATGGAACTATTTTTGCGTCATTTTAATGCGGGGATTCAACAGACATTTGAAGTTAAGACACTTCATGTTCGGTGACTGGGATTGGATTAAATACATATAAACCGTAGAATAATAGAGAAGGGATTTCCAGAGAAAGAGGAGCTGTTTTTAAAAATAATAATAATAATAAATCTTTAGAGTGATTCTAGACCAGTACAAGGAAATGGTCCCACATCACATCTAATTATCAACAGGGAAAAAAAATTATATTAAAAAATGCCACATCCCACGTCTGCTAATCTCAATGAAAAGTGAGAAAGAATCCATATAAAAAGAAGTTTCCACCTCTCAAATCAATAGTGCTGCAACCACCATACAATTAGGATCCACCTTACCATAGATTCTCATGTTTTCATGAAACAGAGATAAGGAAACAAACAAAAGGAGAGGAAAAGCAAATTCAGAGACAATCAAGGATGATAAATAATTGGGGTATTGGAGCAATAATTTGGACGATAAGAAAATGTACTTTACATCAAGGAACCAAGTGTCCCAGACTCTACCAGCATCTGCCTCTACAATAATTCATTCAGATATGGGACATATCTGCAGTGCCATCTTTCTCTTTCTTGACAGAATATGTTCTAGTTCGTACAGGGACCATCTCAAAGCATTGATAAAACACAGGGAAAAAAATAAAAAAGGAATACATTTCTTCCTCAATTCTGTTTTACAATATTACAGGATGTATCTGAGATTGGAAAAAGGAAAAAAGTTCCCGATAATTATTCAGAAAAGCATACTGGTAGGGCAAATGCTTCTGCAGTTTTTGCTCCGCCTTGATGAAGCATGTAACATATTTAATGAACAAATAATTTAAGGGGGAAATGAAATAATTAAATTATGACAGACTTGGGAGTGAAGTTCCATAACCTGGGATGGTCTTCGCGTAACCCAAATGGGAATTTTCATCCCTTGACTTCTGTAAAATTAATAAATTTAAAAAATGGGATATATGATGATGATACTTTTCTTTTGGCTTTGTCCAGTCCTTTCCTTCTATTGTTTGTCACTGTTACCTTCTTAACTGCCGCTTTAGCCACCAACTAAAAGAACATATAATTCTGTTGTAACTAGATCTCAGTAAAAATGGTTTCATTTTCACTATGCAACAAGTTGGTGTACCTGCAACTGCAGAATCCAAGCTTTGGGAACTGAATGATCATTATTTTCACTGGGAGGTATTCAATTAGAACAATCAATGGACAGCAGTGTGCCTGATTCTGGGGCAGATGCTACTTCCTTTACGTCATATGGTGATTCCTTCACCAGAGATTGAACCCATGAAACATCAGGCTCTTCCACATTATGTTCACCAGAACAGAATTTGGTTAGATGGCCCAGTTCATCTGTTTGAACAGACCAATCTAGTTTCCCATTGGCATACTCCCATTTGGACAAAGAAGGTACAGGGGAGCCAACAGCACCATTAGATCCAAGTTCACGAGGGACGTTAGATCCAACATCACGTGCGCTGAAGCTGTAAAGCTGTTGCAGCTTCTGCTTCTCATGCTGAGCAAGAGCAGAAACCCTAGAGCCTATTGGAGATAGAGGCTCTATGCTTTTATGTGACATCATCCTCGGTGAGGAAAAATCAAATGGAGCTTGCAAGAGATTCTGCTCAAAGGTCCTTGGGGAAAATGCATTTGTTCTGATAGGAGATAAAATTGTTTGTTGCTGCTGGAGTTGATTGCGAACTGCTGGTCTATTTGACGGGGAGAAACCATATGAATTCACAAGATGGTCAGTCAATCGAGGGGATGAGACCTGGGCAGAGAAAAGCTCATTTAGATTTGAAGGTGTCAAGGTTTCTGGATGGAGGGGATGACTCACAGAGGAAATATTGATGAATGACTGTGAGAAGGAAGACACATCATGAAGGGGCTGCTGTTGTTGCAGTTCAAAATTATGCAACAGGTCAACCTCTTCAGTAGGAATATCTTTTGCATTAAGAGAAGATCTCAAACGGCTTGCTCGAAGATTGCTTTCTGGGAGATGCAAACTGGGGATATTTTTCTGAGGCCATGCCATGCAAGAGTCAGAAATAACATTACCAGGAGATATGGGTGGAGAAAAGGGAGAAGGTAGCATAGCCTGCACTGCTTTGGGGGAGCCAGGTAGGAGGTTCAAGGCTGCAGCCATGTCCATGAAAGCAGCAGCAGAGGTGGCTGAATGAGGGGATGGCATGGCAGATCCAGTGGAAACATACACAGGTCGCATTTCCTCAGGTTTGTGGGCAAAGAAGCAAACCTGGCGTAAGCAACTCATGCCATCTTTGCAGAGTCGAGTCTTATATTGTGCTGGATGTAGCCAGCACTCAAAAACCCCATGAGCATATTCACATAAATCTCCACGCTTACATGTTCCTTTTCGATAATCCAGGCAAGGCATACAGCTATAGTGGAACTTCCTCGGGTCCCTTCTCCTTGCATTCTCTCCAGGATGCACAAAAGGGCATTCAGTCCAATCATGTGAATAGGCTCGTGAACAAGGCCAGATCTTGAATGAAAACATCCGAAACTCATCCGTAGCATAAATACTATTCTTGATGTTGGGAAGCGAAGGATCGAAGGGGTATTCTTTCTTTTCAGGTGCAGAAGAAACATGAATATCATCAGAATTACATGTTGAATCGGGGATGGATGATGGCAAGGAAGCATTTTTCGGAGACGATGACAGAGATGGTGAACTAGATCTACAGCAAACATTTGAAACATGGAGATCCAGCTGACAGGCTGAGCCATCATATTGTAAGAGCTCTTGAAGCACAACCTTCAGATTGGAACAATTCAGAGGAGAAACAATAACATCAAAAGGGCAGCATCCATTGGCATCAATAGCATTGGGATCTGCACCAGCCAGCAGAAGAACCTTGACAGTGTCAACAGCATTTTCAGACCCACCAGAAGCAGCACAGTGAAGAGCAGTCCTCTTATCTCCACAGGGAGAGCAATTTACATCTGCCTCTGAAAGAGAAAGAATCAGTTTCACAACATCAACGCTACCATATTTAGAAGCAACCATTAATGGGGTCCTATGCTCAAGAACCATTCGTCTCGAAGCCCTGTCGCGACCATACCAGAGTCCAATTTCATTAACAATAGAAGCCTCACTAATAGATTGCTTAAAGCCCTCAACATCATTATCGGCCGCAAGCTCTAGCAAACTGCAGAAAGAATGTTCAGTTTCAAGTACTTTGATCGGATTAGCCATGGGTTTATTCACAGACTCAGTTTCCTGAGAAGATAATGGAACTGGAGACTCAGGACTTAACTGCTCCAGGACACCACACATGCTTCAATTAATCAAAAAATTTACCTGAAAGAGACACCATATCCAAAGAGAATCATATACCATAATACCAAAGAAAATAGAGAACCATATACTTCTCACAAGAATAACACATATGAAAACAATTTGGAATTGTAATCTGATAATTGTTCTGCAAAAGAGAAAAGAATATACTTTGGTCCATATTCCAGTACCATACAATAATTCCTCAAGAAAGAGGTAGAATAACAAAAGAGACTTGAAAACACTTCCCAGAAGACCAGAACGGTTAAGGAAGAACAAGAAATTCCTTGAGAATTATTTACAAATATGGAAAGGAAAATTAGCTGAAATTATAATGTGCTTAACTTGGAATTCCGAGACAATTAAGGGTTTGGACCCAAAGTCGCTTGAGAATCTCGTTATGACAGGAATATTATAATAACAATAAAATTGCTCAATAAACCCAAAAGTTACCATTTCAAGCCAGCTTACACACAAGTTCAAGATCAAACCAACATACATTTTTCCTTTTTACCCTAATTTTCAGAACGTTTAATCAAAACAATCAAAGTGGAGCACATGAAAGTTCTATAAATAAAATAATAATAATTATTAAAAAAAAAAAAAAAAAAAAAAAAAAAAAAAAAAAAAAAAAAAGAATGTGCTCTGCTTAGTAAGTTTGAATGTTCAATTATATGAAAATGGGTTTTTGTGCTTTCTTTTTGCCTTTTTTCCGCCTTTATATTAGTTTTAACTGAGTCAGTTAAACAACGAAAATTCGAATTTGGAACCTTCTGTGTTTTCCCACACTTTCTCAGTAACCAAACGGAAACCGAACGCACGCCAAGCACAACGTAACCAAAATTGAAATCGCCAACATACAAAACCAGCCCCGGTGATCAAGTTCCAAAATGTACATATCAACCACTCAATAAACACTATAATTTGCCATCTAATCCAAAAATAAATAAATAAATAAATAAATAGAGAGAAACGAAGATGGACTTACAGAGTGCACAAACATCAGACCCAAGGAACTTTACGAACCGCATTTAGCGAAAGGCGAAGTAAAATCAGAGAACGAAAACTAGTGCTGGCAACACCTCAAGTGCCCGGCGAAGATGACAAAGAGAAGAAGCTTGCGAGCAGAGAAGCTCTGTTCCCATGGCGCAGAGAGAGAGAGAGAGAGTAACGGAGTTTTCAAATGAAGGTGAAATGGAAGGAGAGTGAGTTTGGGTTGAATATATGCGATGGCATGGAGGAGTTGGGGGTTGAAATTTTCGGGGTGGGTTGGGAGTAGAGGTGACTGGCTGAGGGGGTAGACGGTGAAGCAGAGTAGGTGAGAGGGAAGGAATGAGGTTTGGTAACCGGATAAAGCGGTGGACCCTCCTAAATGTTGGATTTGATGGGTTTTGGGCCTTTTTCTCGATTTCTTCATTCGGATTGCTGGAGGAGCGGGAGCCTTTTTGTATTCGTTTTTCTTTTCTTCTTCGTGTGTTTTTTTTTTTTTTTTTTTTTTTTTTTTTTTTTTTTTTTTTTGGGGGTGGAACATTCCAATTCAATTTTAATCGGTTTTGACGATTTGGAGGATTAGATTGGATTGCTGATTTTTAAAACTGACATGATTGAATTAGATAATGGATTTGTTTGTGAGAATCCAATTCAGTCTAGTTAATTTCATGTTTATTTTACTCGAGTAAGTGCTTGTAATTGAAAATTTTATGAACATTTTAAGTTACTTGATGGAGTTATCAAAATAATTTTCTCTAGCATTTCATCTCTATTTTATATTTTACATCTATTAATATGTTTGATTATATTAAAACTAATGTTAAATGTTTCATGTTTCATTGTTGTCTTTTTTCATTACCAAAACCGATCGTCCAATCCAAAATCAATGGTATCGGATTCGATTGGATTTAAACCTTTGATCCAATCGGATTAGATTGGAAAAATCACAATCCAATCTATATTGAATTGGATGTGAATTGGCTGGATTGTATTGGTTTCAAACCGACACACACTCCTAGTCGAAATTTTGTATTCGCTTTCGTCTAAACGTGTAAAGAGTTATTCAGACTCTAAAATGGTGGATGGAGCCCTACCGAGGAATGTTTAGGGTACCTTTCTCAAAATATGAGCTTTAAAAAAAATTATATTTATAAAGTAGGTACCTACACCATAAGCCACAAGGGGCAATACAAATTACGACAAAAGGTTAACATAAAGATAGAAAGCATAATAAACACATAGGGTTAATCTAGATACATAGAGACACACTGGCAAGATTAAACACACACATGAGAACAAAGAAATTTTGGCATAAAAGCCGCAACCCTGAACAAGCCAGACATGAATCACAATGTCTAAAACTACTAATACAACTACAAATTTTAAACTCTCACAAGTAGAAACTACAAGTAGAGACTACTACAAACAAACACTCAACTCATAAAGAGTTGATGCAATTATTACAATATGAGTGGATTTGGAGACAAACACGATGGTTGAGCGGTTTTTACTCACTTGTTATGTGTTCACAATAAGAGCTTCTTCTATACAAGAAACGCTATATTTGTTATTAACCTATTTTGTGTTAATGTTTATGTTATGTTATGTTTAGTTTTTTTTTTTTTTTTTTTTTTTTTTTTTTTTTTTAATTATTGTATGAACATTATTTTTTTTTTGATTGATTGAAAAAAAAAAAAAAAAATTGACGAGATTGATTCTAAAAACATTTTATTCATCATAGACATGATCATGACCTTCAAGGGTGTGCAATTGGTGCCACTACACAGGGCCCCAGAAATTTCGTCACGTGTATCTATTTTATATGTTATAGATATGCCATTGAGCAATATATTTAGACAAATGTGTGTCTAGTAGAGTTAGTTTGCTACCCTTGTACTTTAGTTAGTGATACTATGACTCGAACAAAAACCATTTTAATACTAAAGGTAAGCGTCTCATTACCACACAACTGGTACCCAAGCACATGTCGTGCCACTAAAGGAGAATTCTAGTTAGGGACGGACTTGGTTCATGAACCGACAATTTTTTAGACAATCAAAAACCAACCGATATTTGGTGATATTCCCATATTTGGGACTGGTCCCAACCCGACAATAGTCGGTTAATCGTAGATCAGTAGGGCTGACAAAGCAGTTAGTGTAAAAAAAATCGGCAACACCAAATTGGGCCGTTTTGTGCCCAAAATTGTAATTATTAGGAGTTTTCTATTCCTTATTATTAGCTAGCATGCCATTTGAACCCAAGCATACAATCATTAAATTCCTTGTTTAAAGAATCAAATAACTTCATAGGGCAAAAAAAACAAAGACTCACATTGCATCAAAGAGATATACATGAACAAAATTACACCTTCACTACTGAAACCACTTAAAAGAAAGGCCTCTAATTTTGTAAACTTTGCACATGAAACAAAAAGGATTAACTACAACCAAACCCCCCCCCCCCCCCCCCCCCCCCCCCCCCTCCCTTCCCCCCCAATTTTATGATGGGTCATTACAAACTCATATCCAACGTTTATTGACCCGTTTGACCAATGCACAAACTTCACGGAACTTCTCAAAATACACCCTCCATTACTAATTCCGTCAGGAGAGGCGTTAAACCATATCGTGGAAAATGTAAATCCCATTTTTTAGATTGACGTGGCACAAAAAATTAATTAAAATTAATTAAAAATGAATTTCCTTAAAAAATTACTTATTATAATTATATAAAGAAAAAAAAAACCTAATCTAGAACCCTACCCACAGCCAGCCGCCCCCACCAACCCACCCTTGGCCTCAATTCTCCATCCCCACCATAACTCACAAGCCCACCCTCATCCCAGCCACCACACTATACCTCATTTGCCTTTCAATAGCCTCCTAATTATATCATCCAATAATACACCCTTATCCATCATCCCCTCTATTATCATAATAATCATCTCCTCTGCTTCTTTTGCTCCAACCAATGCACTAAAGTCTCGAAAGAACCAAGATTGAAATTCTCAAAAATTGGAGAACGAGAGGTGTTGGAGCAAATATTCTTACAATAAGACTATCTTCCACAAGTTCTCAGCTTTGCTCCACGCACATGATAAATAAATGAAATCTCTAAGCAACGCTATTTTGAAATCGAATAAGAGAGGGTAGGGTACTTGCAAAAGGTACTCTGACACTCAAGTTAGTTTTTGTATGTATTTGAGTGCACAAGTTAATTTGAAATCGCATATCTTCTTCTGGTTGCGAAACTTCATCTTTATACCTGGTGACAGCCTTGGGATGCAAGCTCCACTTTGCAAGTCCTATGCCCACTTTCGTCGTTTTAAGTCACTGAGAGTTATGTGAGATCAACTATCAACCATGTTTATCTTGTTCCGCAATTCATGCGGATAAAGGAGTATAAATGTTTGAATATACCCATGAATCCACATCGGGTTGTTCGTGTATGAGCCCATATGGGGTAGTGCACACCTAAACCCATCTTGAGTGGTGCACATCCGAACTTGTGTTGGGTGGTGCACATCTGAACCATCATTGACTTAATGCACCTCCGAACACGTGTTGGGTTAATGCACATCTGAACCCGCATTAGGTTAATGCTTATCCGAACTCGTGTTTAGTTAATGTGCATCCGAACTCATGTTGAGTTAATGCGTATCCGAACCCATGTTGAGTTAATGCGTATCCAAACCCATGTTGAATTAATGCGCATCCGAACTCGTGTCGGTTGCGTCTTAATCCAATCCCGTGACGTGGCAGATAGGTGACAAATTTATTTTTCTCCCACATTACCCCCTTTTTTTCCTCTTGCCACGTCATTTGTGAATGGTAGAGGGAAAAAATAAGTTGCTACTTACCCTTGAATTTTCTGCCTCTGGTATAAGTTTGACCAAATTGATCGATTGGCTTGTCTGAAAGTCTATAAAACAATAGTATGCAATTAATTCGGTTCAACAGATAGCTGAACCCCCACGTCACCAAATATCTCCTTAGCAAACTGATCCC